TTTTTTTTTAATATATATATATATATGGGCACTCAGTAGTGCTAATAGCACTCTAAACCGAAAGATTTCAATTTTGTAAATAAAATTTTAATGTAGTTTCTCGGTGTGAAGATGAAACCGAAAAAATCAGCTTTTCAATTAAACTGCCCATCTCTATTGAACACTTCGGTAAATCCCCTTTTTCTTAAAATTGCTATGGTTTGGTGGAAAATGTCAGACTTTGATTGACAGTGTTTCTAACTCTGTTTCTTCCACATTTTTTTTACTGCCAAGCTATGTGTTGTCTTTGGGAACTTGCTCTATTTTTCCTTCCTTTAAGGACTGTTCTATCTGAATAAGAGTGGTGTAATTTAAAAATTCAAATGTCAGTGTGCATCTGAATATATAGGACGAATGTGTCTAAGGTTGGAAACTCGATTAGGTCAACACATACCTGCAATTTATTAGATTGAATCATCATAATCACATTCATGTTTTGCAATCTGCACATGAATCTGTGACTGGACAACACCTATTAGAGAATGAGCTATGCTCTTCCAAATTTTGTTGCAACTCATTCTTTATTTTGCATATAGCACATTCCAAACACCATTTGTAAGTGTTGGAAGCTGTATGTGTTAAATTACAGCAACCTTTTTCATGTAAGCAGAAGGAGATCTTTCTTCTGTCACTCCAGTTATTTGGAGGATCATGAGTATCAATGTCTTTCTTATTTTACACTCATGTTAGAGTATTTACAACTTTTTGAATTTATATATATTTTAATTGTGAATTGATATGTTTTAGATGTATAATCATCTTCCATATTATATAATTTCTCACACCAATTTTGATATTATAATTTTACTAACATCGGTCCCTGATGAAGTGTTGGCTGCAAGGTTAAAAAAAAAATTAACACTAAACTGTGTTTCTTTATTTCAAAATATATATATATATATATATATATGTATGTATGTATGTATGTATTTATGTATGTATGTGTATGTGTGTGCGTGTGTACACACACATACACTCTCTCTCTCAGCTGTTGCAAAATAAATATGACCAAACCTGTTAGTCTCAGATAACAGGATGTAGTTAATTGAACCCAATATATTTTGGGACTGAAATAAGAATGGTTTTTATTTAACTTCAAGAGAAGTTGATGAACTTGTTCGCTGTATAAGGACTAAATGTAAATGTGTTTTAATGGATGTGGGTATAGTAACAGAATGATTGATAGACTCTTCCAGTACAATCCATCCTCTCTGAAAAGAAAAATTTAGTACAAAGCAAACACACCAATTAGTTATAAATGGAAGTAAATACAAAAACTGGTCTACTTCAGTTTTTTTTTAGTTTTTTTAATTTTTTTCAAGGGACAGAATTCTTTGAGCAAAATCTAAATACTCTCAGAGTACCTTAGCAACACCGGATCTTATGACGTTTTTGGTGAAGGGGTGTACCTTTTAAATGTGAGGTGTGAGGCATAACATTTCATATCATTTCAGGGGAGTGCAAAATAAAAAAAAGGATAGGTTGTTAACCACAGTAATATAATGATTCTAATTATTGTCAATGCCAAACATTGCTAAGATTTTATTCTATCCTAGGGAGAGGGTTGGCATAAAAAAGTGAAGTTGTTAATAGTTTCATTAAGCATTTATTTTTATTTTTTTTTTTTTTAATACTGTTACAAAGTTATCAACACTTCAGCCTGCCAAGGAGAGATACTAAGTTCATTTCTACAGTCAACACATGTTAAACATCTGACATAATAAGCCTTTTGTTAGCATCAAGAAATCTCTTTAGTGACAGGAGCCAGATTACAAAAATTTTATTTTAATAGATATGCAGTATATGATGGAGAGCTGAGTTGTCATAAGTGTTCTACCTGGATCCTGAAGCCTTCACAGAATGGTAGATCACAAAACCACAAATATTTTCCTGGAATGCGGTAGTATCTTTAACTATGGGAGCTAAACATGCTTTTTTGATATATAGGAATCTCTACTTACATTATTTACATTATTCAGACTGTTATCCGAATCTTTATTGTTGTATTCACAACGTTTCAGCCATTGTACGCTGCAACTTTCAGGTGATTGGAATTTTGAACCAAACTCTTTATTTTGTCCACCAGGGTAGATTGTTCTAGTTCTTCTGGATGTCTCAGTTATTTCCCTTTAAATCAACTCTCTAAGTTTGGTTCACATTGAACTCGCAACTCTTTAGGTCTAGTCACTGGATCTAACCAACATCTTTATCCACTGGGCCATGTGTCCTTGAAGACATGTGTGTATGTATTTTTGGGGCTTATAAACCTAACGTCTCAGCAACATTTTTTTATCAGAGCTTATATTGCAATTTTTGTTGTTATTCATTGCTTTTCTCTAGCACTCCTTATTACTGGTTCCCATATTGTATTCATTTCTATGCTTGGTCAACTCAAGAGATTTTTGTGGTCAAACATATGTGCTGATTTCTTAAGTTTTTGTATTTACCAATGATGCTCTTTATTATTTCAACCTCATCCTACAGAGGGTGGTGATCACCCTTTTCCCTCCATATGTGGTCAGTTACACCTGATTTTTCTATTTCCCCTTTACCACTTTACAATGTTCTTGCAGTCTTACCTTAAGGAGGCAGCCTGTTTCTCCTTTGTATTTCCTACCATAGCTACATGGGATGGCATACACACAGTCCTTAGTCATGTTTTCCTCTATGGAGTGGGGGGGGGTCTTACTCAGAGGAGGTGTCTGCCAAGTGTTGAACTATGTTTGAAGATTGTCTTGATGTTATATGGACCAAAGATCCTTTGTATTTTCTCCAATAACCAGATAGGTGAGTTAAAGGGAAATAACTGAGACATCCAGAAGAGGTATGGCATGTGGAACTAGAACAGTCCACCCCTGTGGACAAAATAAAGGGTTCGATTCAAAATTCCAATCACTTGGAGAAGGCCAGAGCATACAACGGATGAAACGTGAATATGGCAATGAAGATGAGGATAACAGTCCGTATAATGTAAATAATATAAGTAATCATAATACCTCATCTCAGAGATATAGACAGGAATCTTTACTTTTAGAGTTGATTAAGATAACCCTGTATCTATCTAATACTATGAGAATGGTTGCACAAAAGAGACCACCAAGAATTGTGGTAACTGAGGAGGATACAGTACAGGTTAGCAAAAACAGATCTTTATTCTGGATAGTCAGAGCTGTGGACTTACAGACATTTCTCTTTGCATCTGTGGCATTTAACATTTCTTGTAGGGCAGGAATACTGAGGTTGCATATGTCCACCATAAAAGTAACATAACCTACTTGATGTTGATAGTCTACTTTGTCTTACAGTTGCACTAATCTGGCTATGGCATAGCACATAAAATTCTGATTGATGATGTGCTAATTTTAAGGCCAATGTCTGATTGTAAGCAGTCTAAAGTCCAGAATATTTTTTTTCTAAAAGGTGTTTGCAAATTGTTGATGAGGCTAAGCGAGTTATAAACGTATTTCACATTACCTTTTTACCATATTGCTGTGCATTATAATCCCAAAAATTAGTTTTCCTTCTACTCAATTCAAAAGCAAAAAAAACACAATCACCAAATGATTTGTTGTACTTTTGCTGTTTGGAAAGCAGTAGATGCCTGAGTTTTTACATATCGACTGTACATTCTAGATAATGCAGATTCAAAATATTTGCTTCCTTCAAGTTGCAAAGGCTCATGTAGTTCAGCAACACACTATATTGAGTATGTCTCTTGGTAATCTTGAATAAAATTTGTAAAGATTGTATGCCGGTATCAATTCTTGTGGCAAGAAGTGAAATTTAGTTGATATCCAAACACTTAAGCTTCCAACTTACTTCCATTCTTACTTTTATTCAAGACAATGCTTTTTTTTTTTTATACAGCTCATCAGCCTTTTGCAGATTATTTAAAGCTGAAATATATTTTGAATTTTAATTTTTTCTTTTTTGAAAAATTGCATTATTAATTTTTTTAAAATAATAGTTTAAAGAAGACAGGTACAGGAACAAGATTTATGGGTTATTGCTTTATAGGAATTTAATAAAAATTATTTTTATTCCTTTTAATTTCAGATTTATTTTTAAAATTTTGACAAGTGAACTTCACTTGATGTCACAGAAATGATTGTGAAGCAATGAAACTGAAAAGAATTTTAATATTGATTGAGCTGAGTTTGGTGCCCGCTTTAAAGAGGAGTGGGGGGGAAAAGACATACTGAGTGGTAAACGGATAGGTAAACAGATTGTGTTTGTACCAATCTTTTAACTGGGAAAAGCTTAGCTGTTTTGAAAATTATCTTCCAGAATAATGGCTTTTACTTGGTCTCAGTGGGGAAATAAGTGGTTCAACCACAATAAGTTTTAAACAGGTGTACATTATAGTTTTTACTATTTTAATATGGGAAACTTTGTTTTATGTGGTATTTGACAAATTTTATTACCTAATCTGGTAAGATGTTTTCTCAAGTTGAAAGGATTCAGTTTTTTTTTTTTTTTTTTTTTTGTTGAAAAGTGATTTGTTAGGAAGTACAGCAAATGAATTGGAGGGATTTCTTTGATTTTGGGTTTCACTTTAGCCTTTATGAAAATATTTGTAAATAATAATAATATTGGTGTTATTGTAATGAAAATATATTTAAGTGCAGTTTCATAAAAACTTAAATGTATAATTATATTTTTCTTAGTTTAACATGCCAAAAAAAAAAAAATCAATGTCTGACATAGATTCTAGTTTAACAATCTTTAAATGGTCTTTGTACAAACAAAACAATTTGTATAAAGTGTATAAGTCAGTGCAAGCTTTTGGCATATTCAAGTTTCATGCTGTTAATGTTTATTTTCTATTTAAGCCAACTGGTAATTTTTTATTATAAAAATCAAAACAAACTAATAACCTATCAATGAATATAATTTTCCTGTATTTTGACAACTGATTCTCACTTTTTTCTCTCTCTTCTCTATTTGTTAAATTTGAGCAGATGACTATGGTTAAGAGGAGTGAAGCATCATTGCCCTCCCTTTTTGAATCCCCCAAATCGGCACCACTCAATAGCCCCACTCCAAGCTCTGCTGTTCGGCTGTGCAAAACAAGTGATGAGGAGTTGGCCAAAGAGACGGCTCGCATCCTCCTTGCTCGGCAGAAGCTGAAAGCCAAAGATGAAAAATGTAATAAACCAGGTAAGTCATTAGAATTAGGAGCTTTTTTTTTTTTTTTATGGATCTTTTATTTTCAAATATTCTCTAATATTATTGACAATATACTGTTTACTTTCCCCTTTAGCATAATAGGTTTTCTGGCAATGAACCTTCTTTTCTATCTTAACATCCCAATGGCACAGTTTAAGTTGGTAAATATTTGTAATAAGGCAAGTAATAGTCTGCAATTAAATCTTACAAAAGTTTAGTATTTACTGAGAAATGTTAATACATATGCTTTTTTTCTTTTTTCTACAATGAAATCCTCATTACTTGACTAAATAGTGTTTCATCTTAAAAGGAAAATTAATCAAGTATTGGTTTTTGCATTTGATTACAAATTCAATTTATTAATTTAAAATACTTTGTGGTTAAAAATAAATAACCCTTAAAAATTAAATTTTTAATTTTCATATATGATGTAATTTTTTATTTAGAGAAAAGGGAAAAGAGTATGTGAATGACAAAAGTAATGAAAAGTTTTTTCTTTTCAGTTCAAGAAAAAAATTATTTGACCTTTTTTTAATCAATAAAATATATAAACTCTACATTGAATGTTTGTAAGAAAAAAAATAATGAAATTAGGAGCACAACAGAAAATTAGAATTATTTACATGATTTGGACTGTTATCCTCATCTTCATTGCTATATTCACAATGTTTTGGCTGTTGTATGCTCCAGCCTTCTTCAGGTGATTGGAATTTCAAACCAAACCATTTATTTTGTCCACAGATGTAGAAATTCCAATCACCTGAAGAAGGTCAGAACATACAACAGCTGAAATGTTGTGAATATGGCAATGAAGATGAGGATAACAGTTTGAATAATGTAAATAATCAATAATACCTCATCTCAGAGATATAGACAGAGAAAACTAGAAATGTTTAAGAGAAAAAAAAAGCATATTATAATTTTTCTTAAATGAAAGTGATAAGCATTTCATCTTTTCTGCATCATCAAATTGAAAATCTTCATTACAACTGTAACCCTGCATAACAAGTTGCATATTTTTGGTGCTTATTCTTAAGCTTATGAATTATGAAAAATGTTTACTCAAATCTTTCATAAACAATAATTGTTAAAAAGTATTCCTCTTCCTTGAATCGTCCTTAAACATTGCTGAATGGTTAGATTCAATAATCATGTTTTTTCAGTCGCTATCTAAATACACAGTACAATTGGCAATAACTTTTTATCAAATAAAAGCAAATTTTAGGCATGGGAAAAGAATATAGAATCTGACATTTTTAGAAAATAGAGAATTTATGGTTCTTCAAGGAAGAATCTTATTTTAAAACTAATTTTGTTGTGTTGCTTGAATGTACAGGTTGCCGGTATGGCTGTATCTGTCATTTATGTTGGATTTCGGAGAACTTTGAAGACTCCAGCAAGACTAGTGCAATTTGTACAAAGACCTGTGATAAGGAATACTGCCGCCTCGGCTGCATCTGTGATAGTAATGATAATATAAAACGTGAAAATATGTGCGATGAGCAAACGTGCAGTCTAGAATGTTGCCGATGCTCTGAACACAAGCATGTAAACTCAGAGTCTAGCAAAAAGAAAGCAAGCTTGAAGCAGACCCTACCAACTCCCTCAGATGTGGTAACCATTTCTCCAGAGAAACTTACAAATAACCAGGAACCTGGGTCTTCTCCGGAAGTGATTATCAAATCTAATGGCACTGACATTGTTGGTTCTCTCTCACTTAAAAATGATGACTACAATACTGACAAGGTGATCAACAAGAAGAGTGATGTCTGTGCAGAAAAAGTGAAACGTCAGAGGAAGGATAGGCCTGCATCACAGCCAAAGAGGGAAACTGCACATCGAGATGTGAAAAATTTAGATGCTTCCAGCCGAAAACCCTTGACTACTGAAGGCAGTGAAATGTACCAAGCAAAGAAAAAGCGGAAGGTATGTAAGGTTGTTGCTTGCTTTTTTTTTTTTTTTAATATGTTCATGGTATGTAAATATTGCTGAAAGTACTATTTTAAAAATTTTTTTTTTATTTTTTAAAACTGTTCTCTTTTGGACCATTTTAATTACCAAGTGGACACAAATTTATTCTTTAAATGATGTTAAAGAAAAAAAAAACACTGAAAATTTCCAAATGTAAGCTTTCATTCATATTCAGTAATGGGTTTCCATAGGCATCTGACTTAGTCTATATTTTCCCCTCCCTTTCTCCTGTTGTTACTTGCTCACACTCTCCCTACCTCCCACTGCATCTCTACCTTCTTCACTCTATCTTCCCTCCTCTAAATTTCTTCTCCCTCCTGTGAATCTAGAAATCTGCAGTATGTTTTCTGGATCCAGCTTTACTTAACTTTATACAATTCATGATGATGGCTGCTGGAACAAACATCACCACAAAGAAACCTGGTGAATCTAGATGGGTGCAGATGATCTGCAACTTGATGTCTGCATATAATGTTGGTCAAGAGAAACTCCAGTTTCAGCAGTGGACCTTGTGAATACCAAAAGAATATATACCCCCGTACTGTTAAAGAACCACCAACAACTGCTACAACATCTTGCTGACAGACTGGATCCATAGTTTCATTAGCACATCTCAGTGCACAAACTCAACCATCTGGGTGCAATACCTGAAAATGTGACTCATTTAACTATGGAACAGTGCTAGCCTTTTATGGTCCAATGTTCTCTGGCTGAAGTGAAATGAAGTAATAACTGATGATGATGATAATAATGTTAAGTTTATTCTTCAGCTTTCAAAGGAAATTGCAATAATTTGAAGATGCTAGCAAAAAAAAAAATGTAAAATAATAAATTTACTTCATTTACACCTCAGCAATTGAGAGTATTACTACTATAAAGTAATCAGTGAAAAGGTGCAAAATAAGTGTAAAGGCATTTGATTGTAGATAAGAAAAAAGTAGCTGTTTAAGAAGTGGTATAGGCATTGTTATATTATGTTGTGGGGGATACATGATCCAACTTTATCTGAAGTTACTGTTTTGTTCCTCATTTCTACAATTTGAAAGCTGAGAAATGAAACAAAACATTGTGTTAAAAAGCAGCAAAAATATGAACTTTGTCAGAAAATTATGAAGAATAATGAAAATGTTGAAAAATTCCAATCTGAGACAAATTGGTTAATGTATTCTTTGTTCAATTCACAAGTGATTCTCTCTCCAGAAACCATAATAGCTTTGTGGTTCAGTTCACTTATATAGAGAACCACCTCCATGCATACAACCATGTTTTCATTTTTTTTTTCTTTGCTTCAGAAGCCATGTTCTCTTAAGTGGCTGAAAATATCTAAGGTCATCGTTTACACTGGCTTCTAAAATCAACTTGAAATGATTTTGTAAAAAAAACATACAGAAAACTGTATTCATTTTTTTACAAGCAAGCATTTTTTGCTTATTGATAATTTTATTTTTGTTTGTGTTATCTGTTTGTATTTTCTCTTTCATTTTATAAACTTTGTTTTTATTCCAGCTTATTTCTGTTGGCTTTGATGGAAATTCCTCCAAAGTTAATTTTACAAAGGTTAGCCAGTTACAGACCAAGGTAATTAAATTTCTTTGTGTTAAGCATATTCATCATTTTCTCATCAGCCTCTGCTTGTCCAACCTTTTGAGAATATGTGAATGTTGCCAATTGAACCATGCAATTTACCAGAAACACATAATCATTTGAATTTGGATAATTAACCAAAGAAAAAAAGAAATAATTGCTTTATGGAGGGTGTAGATTGCCTCCTGTATTCTCTCAGTTCTTTCTTTTTCATCACAAGAAAGAAGATGCCAAGATAGTTTGAGGAAGATATTAAAGGTTTTGATTGAAATTTTACATTAATTTTTTCACAATGACAATCGTTATTTTCAAACTAAAATTGATGCTGGTAAAATTTTCAGGATATGCTTTTTTTATGTTGGTATCACCTCAAGCAAGGCAGTAATGCCATCAAAACACAAGGGGTTACAGGGTATTGAAGAATTAGAAAAAGAAACAATGATGAGGAGAAAGGGAAGAGCATTTAGAACTGTAGAAAATGATTGACATTGCATTTAAATTTTTAGAGATTAAAGTTAACTGGAAACCTGAATTTGAAAGGGAGTTCTACAAGTGAGTTAGCATAGAATTTATGGCTACATCTAGCCAGGTCAACTGTAAATTGATGTGATCTTAATGCCAGTCTAGTGGTCTGCTTAAAGTCAAAAACTCTAGGTACCATAGTGAAGAGATCATCCGAACAATTACCATGAAAGTATTTGGAGAAAAGACATAGAGAAGCAACCTTACAGTGGTAGGAAAGTGACTGAAACTGAGCCACCATATCAGGATGAATAATATTGCTGATTCTTCTTTGGATTTTACCAAAGTAAATAGAATGGGCACCTGACCATATGCGGCAGCAATATTCTAAGTATGGATGAATGGTAGACATAGATATGCAAGATAGATTCTGGAGAGAAAAATTGTCTTGGCCGATATAGTGAACTGACTTTCTTAGCAGCTGACCGAGCAATGGATTCAATATAGTCTTTCCACTTCATATCAGCAGAGAATGTGAACATGAGAAGGTGCAATGAGTCACTTTCCTGATGGAATGCAGTGAGGGTTCTCTCAGATGATTAATGGAGAGAAGTTTAGTTTTGGAGGAATAAAAATTAACAGGCCATCTTTTGCCCCAGTTAACAATGAACTTAAGATTGTTTTGGACATCAGCTACCATTTTGATTTTGTCGAACTGATAAGCCTTACTATCGAGGCAGGAGTAAATGGTTGTCATCAACATAGATACCAAGTTAAGAGTGTATCTCATCAGGAAGGTTATTAATGAAAATTAGAAACAGAGTAGGACCAAGGATGGAGCCCTGGGGGACATCTGCATTAGTAGGAAAGGATCTAGATGAGTGATGGTTCAGGATAACTTTCATTTCACAATCTGACAAGAAAAACTGGATCAGTTCAAAAAAAAGAAAAAGTGTTTGGAGGCACCATAACCGTTCACCTTGTGGAGAAGACTTGAATGTCAGACTCTGTCAAAGGTTTTTGTGATGTCCAATGCTACAGCCTGAGCTTCACCAATCTTATCCAGAGCATGATAGACTATTTCCACAATTATCCTCAGCAGCTGACCTGGAGAAATGAAAGCCATATTGCTTGTCTGAGAAAAGGCCCTACAATGAGAGATGAACCAATTGATTAGGGCCTCTGGATTTTCTTTAAAAAAAAAAGAAAGGTAGATGGCTGATAGTTGGAAGAGTCGGACGGCTCACCAGAGATGATGATTTCAGCAGGCAGCAAGACATTTATTATACAGTTCAGAGAGAACAGGAGCCAGTTCAAGAGTACACTTCTTAATGAATATTACACAAATACCATCGGGTCCACATGCTTTGAAGGGATCTGGGTTAGAGATGATAGCAGAAATCTTGGAAGGGGTTATATGCATATCACTCAACAGAGACTCAGTTCTCTGAAGGAAGTTAGGCAGGGATATTCTGGATGAGTCAAGAGTAGAGTTTGAGGAGAATTTATAGGCAGAGCATTCAGCTATCAGCAGAGGATGATAACACTTCATAATGATTAAAGAAGGAAGGAAGAGAGACCTTACACTTATCTAATGCCCTGTTACAGAGCTGCCAATAATCACGAGAGCCAAAGTTATTAGAGACTTTGCTCCTTTGAGGACTCGCTTACATTTATTGCAAGCAGCAACTAATAGGTGGCTGTTGTGATGAGAGCCATCATGCTGGTATAGCCAAAAATGGTGGTTCCCGTGTGCTATGGCGGCAGAGCATGCTGATGTGAACCATGGAGAGGATTGAGGTTTCACCTGGTATTTCCAAGAAGGAATGAAAGCGTCCATGCCAGGTTTGACATGTTCAAATGAAGTTGTCAGTATTTTTAATATTGTGAGGTATTATAAACCAAAATTCACATGGTATCTTTATCATATAAATATATCCTGAAAATTTTACCATTAGTTGGTTAATATTAATTTTGCTCTGAAAATATTGACTCTCATAATAAAATCTGACAGTGCAGTATCATTTTTCATGTCGAAACAATTTTAACTTTATGCAAAAGGAAATCTATATGTTGTTGATGTAAGTGAAATTAAAAATTGCAGTTCTATTTATTGATTTTGAAACTTCTTTTGCTATTTGTATTTTTTTGTTACAACTTAACAATAAATTTTATGCCCTTGAAATTGTTTTAAAGAAATAAAATTGAGTGACATTAAGAATAGAATGTTTACCCCCCCCCCACTTCCTCTAAAGAAAGCAAACTTGAATAAAATCCAATTGATAACAATCAGACTTTTTTGAAAACCTTTTGAAAAAGCAAAAATTAAATTGCTACCAAGTATTACTTTTAACAGAAAGCAATTATGAAATTATATGAATCATTGGCATTATACTAATGACTTTCTTTTCTCCCACCACCAATTTCAGTTTTCCTCTGCATATATGGAAGATGAAAAAGATAATTCTAAAACTGGTCCACCTCCTAATTCCATTAAAAGGTATTTATTAATTTCCTTTTAGACATTGATTCCTTTTGAACCTTTTTTTTTTTTTTTTTAAATCTTTATTAGTGTATAAAGATTTCTGTACTCTCCAACCTTCCTAGAAATTGAAAATTTATGATAACATCCTGATCAGTTCAGTAGAATCCTTTATAGAATAGTAAGAAAAGAATTGCTTGTTAAAATTGTAAAATTTCTTAGTAGCTTTTAATTCTAAAAGTTGTTTAGCAATCTCAATTGGTACTAAAACAAGTCCTCTCACTATTGAGTGAAATGTTTTGTTTTAATACCAATTTCTTGTAACACTTGCAGACATCATGATGTGAGAATGCTAAACAATATTTGATTATCTCTGGGAAACAGATAAAATCTGCTAAAAATAATGTTAAGTCAAAAGAATAGGAAAGTTAATATCAATGGTTACAAAATGGATAAAAGTTATATAATGTCAATGAACCAGTATTAATGTGTAAAATAATACTAATAATTTTTCCTTATCAGCAATGATTATATGCTTTTTGATCTTTTTTTGTAAACCTCAAATGACATTTGTAAAATACTTTTTTTTCTTTTTTTATGTGGACTAAGCTTCTCTTTCAGGTTGTGTCCTCTAAAAGATGATTGCCGTCAACCATTAGAGCAATGCTATGTCAACTGTAGCTGGTTTCCTGCAAATACTTTTGACAATTGTGTTGTTGAGATTGATAGACTTGGATCGCCACAACAGATGCGACAGCTTGGGTGCATGTCTGTAGACTGTTTCCCTCAATCCCCAAAGGTCCGCACGCCACAACAGATGGAGGAAAACAATAGCAGCAGCAGTAGTGTTACAAATGCAAATAACAGCAATAGGCATACAGACTGCATAAAATGTGAACTTGTTGACTTGTCTCCCATCAAAGTGAAGCCATCTGTGGAGGTCATGTCTCCTCCAGTTGCCAAGGTGTCAGACTCCTCGTCTCCACAAATTAAATCAAATTCTATAAGTCCGCCTAGGTTACTGGGAGAGGTTGCAAACTCTGAGAAATGGAGTTGTCCATTAGTAGACCTGACAGATGTGTCAGCAGAAGATCCTGCTGAGAGTCATTGTGTTAACAAAGATTGGCAAGTGAAAATGATTTGCCTTAAGGCAAAACAGGACGGGGGTCCGTCCACACAAAACATGGAGGAGGGCTATCAGTTGTTGGAGTTCATTTCTAACTGCAACTGGGACTCTCACAGCTCTGACGTTATCTGTCAGGTCTCTCTGTGTTGCCAACCTGGTAAATACCCAGACCCTCAAAAGATGGCTGTTGGCAACTTTGATGTGGAAATCTTACCCAAGTCAGACAAAGCCCCCAATGTACCAGCTCAGTTGCAGTCGGAAATTTTCTGCTGCCCATACAACATTCGAGTAAAGGTCACTGACAGAACAAAGGCTACTGGATGTGGCGAGAAAGTGGAACCATTGTTGGATGGTTGCTCATATGTTGGGATCTCTTCTGTTAGACCAATACGAAATAACAACCTGTTGGATATTAAAAGTATGCCTCTCACAGCGACACTTCAGGATATTAATTACCAATGCCAAGAAGATAATGAACAAAATGCAATACCAAATGAAGCAAAGGTATGTACTTTCTACAATCTGTTGCTATATATTGGCAGCCTCTGGGATTTGTTGCATTATTCTGATAATCTGTCATCTCTACCCTAGGTTTTCTTCTACACCAGTTTGCAAGTATTGTTACTTTGATTCTCAAACTGCTCTTTTGCAGTTGCCATGTACCAGATGAAGCTTAGTAAATGTGTACCTATTTCAGCACTTTTTTTTTTTTTTTTTTTTTTAAGTGTTACCAGTAGATTTATCAATTATCTTTGTGGAGCATTCCACAGATTTTGAATTCAGAGTTGTCCTTCTTGTAAATCAGTTGCCATCCAAGGCTGTAGAACCCAGTCTGTCCTGCTATTTACCCATAGCTGGGGGAAGAAGAGGATTAATACCTTTCCCAAGGGTATTAGCATGTAAGTGAATGTAATGGATTCAACTGGAATTCAAATTAGGCTCTCTGATTCCTCAATCAGAGCCACTATCCACTACTCTACCATACCTCCTCATATATATATATATATATATATATATATATATATATATATGGTGGACTTTTCCGTTGATGTATGAGGATCAAGCAGCTCAGTTCCTAAGAAATATATATGTGTGTATATATGTGTGTATATATATATATATATATAGATTTCATCTGTGTTATATTTAATTCAAATTGAAAGAATTGCTACATATTGGGTTGTCCAGAATGTTCATGCTGATTTTTAAGAGAAGTTAAAACACAAAACAAAATTATGCTATTAAATATTTATTCAAGTAAATATGATTCATTTTGTCACTCAATCTTTCTCCATTTTTCCTTCAGCATAAAGATTCCATCTTCCCAGAATTTTTGTGGTTTCTTGGCAAAGAACTCATTAAGGTGTTTTTTTTTATGTTATCCAAAGAATTAAAATTTTTACCATTGAGATTATTTTTCAAGTGCCTGAATAAATGAAAATCCGAAGGAGCAGTATCTGTTGAATATGAAGGGTGGGGTAACACATCCCAGACAAGCTGCTACAATTTTTGCCAGGTTGCCAAAGAAACACAAGGTCTGGCACTATCCTGATGGATAACAACACCTTACCTGTTCACCAATTCCTAAATTGCTGTCTTTTAATTCATCCAGTTGTGGGCAGTACTTTTCAGAATCAATTGACTGGTTATTTGTCAAAAGCTCATTGTACAGGATTCCTTTCCAATCCCACCAGATGCACAGCATGACTTTCTTAGAATGAAGATCTGCTTTTGAAGTGGCTAAAGTTGGCTCATGTTGCTTGCCCCAGGATCTTTTTGCTGAACATTGTTGTAAATGAATCATCACCTATCACAATTTGATTAAAAAAAAAGAGTGCATTTTCATTGCGTTTATACAGCAAATCACAGATGTTTTCACTCAGATCATGTGGTACCCAAACAATATAACAATTTGAGTACCAAAGCTTCACTAAGTACTCATGGATGATGGATTTTGATAAATTTAGTGTTTCTGCCAAGTCACACATTGTGTAATATAGGTTATTCTCAATTAATGTCTTTATTTAGTTGTCATCTGTAGTTGGTGGGTGGCTGCCTGAGCCTTCATCATCAATAAGGCTACAATCACCAAATCTAAACTTAGCAAACCACTTCCATACAGTTCTGTCAACTAAAGCACTTTCACTGTTCACAGCACATATTTTTTTTTGTTGTTTGTGAGGCATTTTAGCCCTTACAGGTAAAAAAAAAAAAAAAAAAAATCAAGTGTCTAAAATGCATCTTATCTTCATAGGGATGCAAAATTAACACAAATTAAGTAATTTTAAACTTTCTTTCTCAAGAGATAGTCTGAAGTGTGCTCTAATCAGAAATGTAAGTGTATTATATCTGTCAATAAATTTGATGTGTTCTAACATGTTGGAATATGAACAACTAAAAATTGGCATGAACTTTCCAGACAACCCAATATAATCAATGTTTCTGTTGATTAGTTTTTCATTTGTTTTTTTGTTTTGTTTTTTTTTAATTGTGTTTACACAAACACTATCCACCTTGTCAAATTCACTTATAAGTTAGAAAACCTGCAGTGTGTGTAATAAGCATTATAGTCGTCTTATATTTCACATTGCTACAAATTAGTTCATTAGAGCTGAAAAAAATTCATGGAATTATCTAAATGTCAAAATTAGACTTTTTAATTAGATTTTTTGGAAACTATACCAAATTATTTAAATAAGTGAAAAGATTAGTAAGTTTCCAGAATTATTATTATAAACATTAGCAAATTATTTAAAGGATTCTCTCATTGGTTCCATGTAGCTATGTCTAGAGTTTCTTGCTTAAATTTTATCTGAGAGCTGAATTCCAATTCCAGTTGGGTTTGTTGTATTCACTTACACTTGGGAAAGGTATGAATCCACCTCTTCCACCCAGCTATGAATTAATTAGTAGGACTTGTATTAGTAAATTACTATCGCCGCCCCACCTAAATTCTTAATATCAAAAAAATATTTTCTGGCTTTAAATAACCTATAAAGGTTGATTTAAGGTGTAAAAAAGACAATTCAATCAAGAACATGAAGTTTAAGACCATAGTTATTCTTATTGATGGATGGTTACTTTTGTTGAATGTAAATAGCTTCTGTAATCTTTATTTCTTTCTTTCATGGAGTATTTTAGCATTGTTGTGGAGGAGCTGTATAATGAAGAACAATAATAATGCTTGACAGTTCCCTTCACTACTAAAATACCCCATAAATCCAGTTGCCAAAAAAAAAAAAAAAGACTAAAGATTATTTAAGCTATTTACATTGAACAAAAGCAACTCATATATATATATATATATATATATATATATATAAAAACACACTAAATGTGGATGTGTGGGTGGTGTAACATATAGCAGCTTGCAATCACTAATCAGTGAGTTGAGTTTAAATTCCAACCAGGATCACTACATTGAAATATGAAAGAGAGGAATCCATCTCTTCTCCCCAGAATTATGGGTTAAATAGCTGGGTAGACTAGACTTGCTGGCTGTGGTTGATAACCAGTTCGAAAGAATGATGACTGAATTCAAAACCTGAGAATGGCTGTGTGCAACAACTCTCTGCATTCAGTTCTTCTGAAAAGTGTGGATGCTTCTTCCCAAGCCTTCACTACTCTAATCAATTCATATATTCAGAGATGTTTGACTTTTTGAAGATGGTGGGACAGTCCATTATACATATACACTTCAAAATCCATTTTTGATGCCTGTATAGTCTTTCAAAAGTAATAAAATGAATCCTAAATTTGTTTAGCACCCTCTTCTTGCATGCCCCAAAATTGTCTCTGCATACAACTTTGTGGGAGGTGCCCTGTGTTAAGAACCAACCATTGCTCTATAAAGAGAACATTTATTAACATGTTAATGCAGCAAATAATGAAATATGCAAATTGATTTGATGACACTTGTTCTTTCTTTGTTTTGATCAAGCAGAATGTTGTTGGTGAAATTGAAGTGCTTGAAATTCATCCTCCTTTAGACTCTGCCAAAATGCCTGCTCGAGCACTCGTTCTTGACTTATCTCCTGAAAATCAAAAGCCTTTGCAAGAAGAACAAGTCAAAATAGTGACTGACTTGTCAGCTTGTGATTTGCAATCAGAGAAACTGGCAAAAGCAGGCAAGCAGGAAAGTAACAGTGTAGAAGAAATTGGTTCCCAACCATCCTCTGAGAATTTGGCAGCAACAGATTTAGAATTCAAATCAAAGGGTTCATCATCATGTGAGGAGGAAGAAGAGGAGATGAAAACCACTGCTGATACTCCCACAAATGTCAGGGTGAGCCGACAACGTTCGAAAGAGAAAACTGCAGTTGTGGTACGTGATTGGCCATTGAGATCAAAGTTAGGCAAGGCTGTAAAGCAGGAGTTGTCTGTGGCAGATCTTGAACTGAAAAAAAGCCCAACTAAATCAGCAAAAATCTCCGATTCCGAAGATGAGGTAGGAATAACTGTTTTTTTTTTGTTTTTTTAAAACTTCTTTTTCGTTGTTTACAAATATATAAATAAATTAATGAATATCAAACACTTAAAATACCATAGGTAATAATCTTTATTTCATGAAAGCTATAAAAATAGCCTTCAATCTTTCAGATATTGTATTGAGGGAAGTTTTACTATTGCACATTAAATTCTTAATCTTTCACAGATTTCTAAATATTTTTTTCAATATCCTTAACCAAACAGTATTTTTAAGATAAATTTATAAAAGTTTGTTAAATGGAATATGTATAGATCAGATTTTTAGCCAGTAAGTGACCGTGTTTCTTAACTCAAATTGACTTAAGATTTTCATTCATCCTCTAAATCAAAATGCAATATTGTAGTGAATGTCATATTAAATAGGTCAACTCAAAACTTAAAGTCTACTGTGAATAAATCCTCGGGTCTTCTCCCTTCACCACGTCACCATTACATGTTCATAATTTTGAATCTTTTCTTCTCTTTCTCTCTCTCTCTCTCTCTCTCTCTCCCTCAATACAATATCTGTATATCTTGAATTTAACCTGGAGTATTTTTTTCTGTTTATATTTGGTTTGCAGGTCTGAAAGATTGAAGGCTATTTTCATAGCTTTCATGAAATAAAGATTATTACATATGATATTTTAAGTGTTTGATATTCATTAATTAATAATTTTCTGACATAGAGCTCTACTTGGATCTTTATGCTCTTGTAAATTCCATATTGATTACCATTTTTTTTAATTTATTATATATATCATAAAGAAACAATTTAAAAGAATTAAGTAGCAATTTTAATGTGATTAATGGCAAAATCCCTTTGCTAACAGAACTTAATGAGACATAACTTACTATCAATTCCTTGAATAATAAGTTCCTTATATTTGAGTTGTCGGATGGAAGACACATGCAAAGCACTTTCGACAATTTCAAATTGTCATCTTCAGGGCACAATTTTCTTATATATAGGCAAATACTAAGCATATTTAATGTACAGATCAGATTTTTACCCAGTAAGTGACAGTGTTTTCATTAAGCATATTAACATTGCTATTTAATTCTTTGTATAAAATGTGTCTTTAAGATATAAGCTGCACACTCTAATATATATATATATATATATTCTTTTTGGATATTTTACTTTCTTTAAATTATGAATGAGTTTGTATCTGTAAGTGAAGGAGTTACAAATGCCAAAACTTAATCAGGGATGAAGTGTGAACTGTGGCTAGTGCCAAATAGATGTACCATAACAGCTTATGTAGGATTTCTAATACTAATCTATTAATTGCTACATAGACATAACACTTTTAAAGCTAATTTAGAGCATTCTTTTCAAGAGGTAAAGATTAGTGAGTTGGCCACACAAATCACAATTGTAGTGAGTTGATCTTAACTTGGCATCTCACACTTGTAGCTTTGAACAGACTAATCTAACAAATACCTTTTTAAAAAAAGAGTAATTCTTGTTTGAAGGAGTAAAATTCTCTTGTCAGTACTGGTTAAATAATAAATTAGTTGGCATTACCTATTTTAGTGAATGTATGATGCATTTTAAATACTGTTAAATAATGTTTTGTATCATAAAAGTAAAAATTTCTATAATTCCTACTTTCAGGACAGGAATATGGTGATCCAAGAACCTTTTGAAAATACTATAAAAGAAGAAGATGCCAAGAATATTTCTTTTAATTTCACAACAAAATTGATGAGAACAAGAAGTGATATCAGGGTAAATAAAATTCTAGCCTTGTTTCTTTCTTTATAATCATTTGATTGTTGTTCAGGTTAGATGACAATATTGCTAATTCTTGCAATGTCACAGCTGAGTTGATAATTTATATATGACCTGAGTGAGCAAGTATAGAACAGGTTTTAAATGGCAATTGTTAAAATTGGCAATTCAACTTGAATTTCTACTTTATATATAGGTGTACTGATAGTGTAACATTTATCAGTGCAAAAAGTCGAATTGACAAACTGATTTCAAATTCCAACCAAATCTTTTATGTTTACTTTTGAACTGACTCACTAAATAGCAATTTTGTAAATTGCTGTCCAAAAATGGATGAAATCTGAATAGGGATACCAAAAATCTGTTCTAGTTTTGTCAAACTTTTGGATAAAAAACTTTTATTATCTGTTGTTCTAAAATGAAATAGTTATTTTGTGAATTATTCAGACTAACATTCTTATCTTTTTCAATTGCATTGTTTTGGCCTCCACTCTTTCAGCATTTGTGAAACAATTTGCTCTAAGGAGCCACTAATACTTATTCCAGGAAATTTATTTATAGGAAAAAAAGATTGCGTGAATATGTATGTGACAAGTGTGGAGTAATAAGTAAAATGCTCAAGAAATGGAACTGACAAAGTTATCAATAAACAATAAGAAAAGGAAGAAAAAGAACAGCGCAAAATAATACTAAGCAAATAATATATAAGAAATAAGCAAAAAGTTCACAAAGTAAGAATTGTGTTCATAGACAGAAGGGATACAGTCAAGTGGTTATAGTGTTCTGACTTCAAGACAAGAAAGAACAAAAATATGGTGGCTGAGGCCAGGAATTGTCCATTTTTATTGGTTAAGAAAATCCAGTATGTCTTTGTAGGATTTATAAATTTGGAAAGGGGATTTTTTTTTTTTAGCGGTCATTACCACCAGATTGAAACCAACAAGAAAACCCTTTACAATTCTTTATTATATTTCAGAGAAAGTGATCCAATTTAGAAATATTTTACAGTTTTGATTTGCCAACATGAAAAAAATACTGAGAATGAGATGTCATTAGAGAGAATAGAAAGTGAAGAGTTGCATGTACAAGATATTGCCTAGAAGTTTGAAGAACTCTGCATATGGAGTGGCTATTTTAGGAGAATAGTAAAACTGATTAGAAAAATGACTCTTTATTTTTTTTATTTATTTATTTTTTTTCCTTGATGAACCAATCATAAATGTTTTATAAAATATTAAAGATTCCAGGTAACTTGATAGAGATGAAAAATTTGATCATTTTGTTCAAATTCCATGAAAGTGTAGGTAGCACCTTTGTATACTTTAATATAAGAATGTCTCTAATTTTATGCTTTTTTTTTTTTTCTTTTTCCTCTTCAGAAGAACAAATCAAGAAATTGTGATTCTCCTCAACACTTCCTAAATGATTCAATAGAAAGCAAAATCAACTTGACTTCCAATTGCTCAATACAAAATCTAAAACCACCTGATGATGAACTTGGTAGCCTAAAATCCTTAACAGAAAAGACACAAATTATGCAATCCTTTAGGAAGATCCTACCTGCTCCTCCTTTAAATGGTGGCTTCTTTGTAACTTCATCACAGCCTGGAGTTGGTTCCATCTGCCTTGGCCATTTACAAAGTTGTTCTCTGGTTCACACTGATCTTAACAGCTTCACTTCTGTTCCCCACAGCCATGCTGCTTGTTCTACTTACCCAAATGCCTATAGAGTGGGTAATGTTCCTGCTAATCAGTTTCTGCAATTGGTGCCAGTGCCTGTCCCAGTTCCTGTACCTGTTCCAGTCTCTTTTTCTGTGGCACCAGACCAATCTGTTGTGAACACAAGTGTCACCATTCCTGTCATCAACAGTAGTTGCTACAGCAACAGTAGAACAACCACTTGTAACACAAGCCCCAGCAGCAGTTCTAATTTGAAGACAGATGCCACTTGCTGTAGTTCTTGTTGTTCAAGCTTACCAGTCACCCCCAGCAAGAATGGCTCATGTATAGCTGGAACAAATAGTAATAGTGGTTGTAATATAAAATTTGGCAACAATGGTAACAAACTTGTAAATGGATCCCAATCATCACCAGTTCCTAAACCAGGTCACATCTTGGTGTCTCAGGGTCAGAACAATGCAATTCTTGTTCCTTACAATACATTTATGAAAAATAATGCTAATGTTGATGGTCAGGAGCATTGTGCTGATACATGTCTCTTTGCAGACAAACCATCTCCCCAAAAATGTGTAGGCTTGAAGGAAGTTAAAGCGGTACCTACATGTGTGGTACCCAACACTGACAACGAATTAAACTGCCAAGATGCCACAAGCTCCATTCAGACAAGTGTGGTTGCCTCTTCTAAGGAGAGTGTACCACACCAGCAGCAACAGTCAAGTCAGGATGATAATGAGGTGTGCACAGTTTCCTCTCAGAATTCTAAGCACGAAGAGATTGAAAAGAAATCATGTGCTATAGAATCTCAAATGGTGAGTATAAATAAATATTTTGCTTATAACTCTTACATTTTTATATTTTACTTGTGAATTTTGAGGCTGACATTTGCACAAAACATGCAGGATTTTTGTGATTTGGATTTACATTTTGTAATGTTAACATATCCTACTGATTTAAAATCAATTGCTATGTCTGTTGCTAGCAGAGTTGATTCACTGTGTCATGCTAGACAATTTTTCTTTTCAGAATCTATCTTACATATTTATAAGTCTACCATTTGTCCAGGCTTCGAATATTGCTGCCACATATGTTCTGGTGTTTCTGCTATATAATCGGAGATTCTTGATAAAATCTGCAATGCTATGACCTAGCATCTTTGCTTCAGTTACTTTCATTGCCTCTCTATACCATTTCTATAAATACTTTCATGATAATTGTTCTGATGAGCTTTCTTCTTTGGTACTTAGACTTCACAAATTTAAGGACAGTACCATATTGGCAGATAGGTATCATCATTTTACTGTTGAAAGAGTTTCTTGTAATTCTTGCTTGTAGAAATCTCTTTTGGCTTTCCTGTCAACTATGATCTTCAAAAATGTAAATGCAACATCAATTGTCATCTTCTGTCTTCTTGTATCCTGATCCTTTAATATCCTCTTTCTCCTCAACATTTTCTCAGTTTCTTTTGCTCTCAGTAAAAACCCTTTGCATCTTAGTGGCTTTATCAGCTTGCTTGGCGTGAAATGGCTTTAAAAAAAAAATTAAAACTCACTACAAGTGACACACAACCTTTGAATTGTCTGGTTAATTTCTTTTTAATCAGTTCACCCCAAGCAAGACAATAAAGCCACTAAGAAATAAGGGGTTACTGAGAAAAAAAAGAAAACATTAAGGAGAGAGAACAGTAAAAGAACAAGAATTAAGAAGACAAGATAATGATTGACATTCCATTTAAATTTTTGAAGTTCATAGTTGACTGGGAAGCAAGAAGAGAGTTCCATAAATGAGAAGTACAGTAGAAGAAACTATTTGAAGGTTGTATATTAAGGTTATGTTGAAAAGTTCTCAGCCTGCCTAAAAAGGAATTCTCTTCCATCCCAAAAGATCTGGGAAAATGGGTGGTGCTAAGAAATTCCCAGTAAGCACACACACACAAACACACACAGTTGTAGAAAAATGATGCTTCTTGCATTCTCAGCATCTGAGATTGAATTTATAAATAACTATAAACTTAATATGAATGAATAATTATGGCCTTGATGTTCCATTTTACATTTTTTTCTACAGTTTGCCATATGAATCCTAATGAAGATCTTGACAGTTTGCTGTGATGTGTCTTAACCGCAATTATCACCACTTAATGTCTTTAAACATTCAATTCATTAGTACACTGATATCGTTTAATTTTCATTTCTAAACTAAACAATCTCTACTCTGCCATGTTAATTCAGGATGTTTGCAATCGTGGCTCTCCACAATTTCCTGTCCTTTGTAGCTTAAATTTTGTCTTTTTAAATTATCTCTCCTAAACTTTGCCTTACCATGCATTTACTCAAGCTCACTAGGTAGCTCAAATATTTGGTCCATGGTATTCTCAGCATCCTTCTGTAGAACCACATTTCTGTTGCTTCAAGTCCCTGAAGAATATCTACTGAGGTGTAATAAGTTGACTCTACTTTTCTCTCTCAGCTGAAAATTCTCAAGTTTCAGTTAAGTCTTAGATATGAAAATAAGTAGACTTTACCAAAATAAGTCACAACTATTTGGATCAGACTATAAAAGTAAAGTGATCCCTAAATGAACTAACTAAAAAGATTTTTTTTTTCCTCCTTAAAACTTAAATTATTCCTGAGCATGTATAGTAATTCTCTGTGGTGGACAATCAAGTGTTATCACTTTACCCAATGGTAACTAACAATAGGAGGAGATTTGCTCTTATCACACTTATTAATACCAGCATTGCATCATTAGCTGTCTTACAAACTGTACAGTTTCCGCCTTTTATGATCAGCCTCCTGTCCATTATACCAGCTCATTGTAATAAATATAATATTCAGATAATTTTTCTTTTTTCAGGAAAATGTGTGTGTTACTTACCTTCATAATATATTTTATCTGTTTTGTTTAATTAAATTTTTGTATTCACAATTAATGTAATATAAAAACTTCAATCTTTACAGAAAGAAGAGCCAGTTGAAACAGTTAATTGTTCATCTTTGCAGTCAGGATTGAACTTTGACTTTAGACTAGATCCAATTGAAGATGATGATTTTGATGATGATGATGACCTGGTTGAAGTGAACAATTTGGGCCAATCAGGAGTAAGTATACACTTTTAGAAATGAGTCTATGATAGAAACTATCCACCTAATTGATATAGGCTAAGTTTAACTTAAGACAAGGATGATTAAACTCAATACAGTGGTAAGGGTCTGTGTAACTAGCTTGGTGCTTTTCTTAGATATTTACTAAGTTTAGCTTTCTTTTCAGTCTCTTCTTACATACAAATACAAGCATTACTCTACCATACATGGAGACAATGATTTCATTTATAAGACAATTATGCAAACTATCACTTTCTCTCTTTTCCAAGAATAGATATTCTGGTTATTTAGAAATCTACAGTTCAGTCTATGTAATAAGTGTTTTATTGATACAATGAAAAGAAAGGTTAAGCTTTGAAAGACAAATATCTTGAATTTATCTTCAGTTAGACATCAGATAAAATTTAATGACTGAAGTGTAATCAAGTGAAACAATATATTTAACATGGTGTTCACAGATATAGAGTTGAAGGAGTATTTATTACAAAATATGAATCTGTTGCTAATCATACTTATAATAAAAATGTTAACATTTTTAGCATTTGGTTGGCATGTACTGTCATAAATACTTTAGTTTTCTTACTTCATTTGTTTCTGAACATCATAAAAAACAAAAGTTGTTTAATTTCACTCATTAGAAAACAAATTCTTTTGTTAACAATATTTTGACAGCTGTTTAATAAGATTTTTTTTTTTTTTTAATCAAGTTTGCATTTTTGTGCAGATAATTTTTTAAATTTTACTGCCCACTATTACCAAGTTTACATTTTAATTTGTGTTTTTTTTTTTTTTCTTGTTTAATTTTGGTCAATAGTGGGATGGGCATTGGCTAAATTAAAATGCAGCTTGACTTATCATAAGTAAACCAGTTTTATTAAAAACTGCAAAATTATAGACAAGTTTATCTTGTATATTTCTGAGATGAGGTATTATGTACATATTCGGACTCATCTTTGTCACCATATTTATTACATGTACGCTCTGGCCTTCTTCATGTGGTTGAAATATATTCTTTATTTCGCTTACTAGACTGTTCTAGTTCCACATGCCATGTTTAATGGATGTTAGTTATCAGTTATCTCCTGTTAATTTCCCTCTTAACCAGGTATTGAACTCACACCCCTGTCCTGTCACTGGATATAACCAACACCTTTATCCACTGTGCCATGTGTCCTTGATGACATCTGTGTATGAATTTCTGGGTATTATAAACCTAATGTCTTCAGCAATCATTTTTACCAGTGCTCATATTGCAATTTTTTGCTGTTATCATTGCATGTTTTTTTACTGGAACTCATATTGCAACTTTTGTTGTTATCGCTTCTTTGTTGTATTCTCTGGCACTCCTTATTACTGGTTCCCATATTGTATTTATTTCTATGCTTGGTCGGCTCAGGAGATTTTTGTGGCCTAGTATATGTGCTGATTCCTTAAGTTTACGAATTTTCCAATGGTGTTCCTTGTTTATGATCTCAACCTGATCCCACAGAGGGCGGTGATCTCTCTTCTCTATCCATATGTGGTCAGCCATGCCTGATTTTTCCACTTCCCCTCGTGTTACAGCTTTCTGGTGTTCTTGAAGCCTTACCATAAGGGGGGCGGCCTGTCTCTCTTTTATATTCCTTTCTGCAGCTGCACGGGATAGCGTACACACAGTCTTTAGTCATGTTCTCCTCTATGGGGGGGTACTCAGGAGAGATATCTGCAAAGTGTCATCAAGCTTTTGAAGGCTGTCCTGATGTTATATGGACTGCAGATCCTTTGTATTTTCTCTGATAACCCCTTCACATAAGGCAGGCAGACTGTTTTCTGAGTGTTGTTGTCCTCCTCTTGTACCTGCCTATCCCAGTTTTTTGGGGCTGCTGCCATGTACCCAGGGTAGTTGTTGTAGCAAAATAAAGGGTTAAGTTTGACATTCCAACCACCTGAAGAAGGCCTGAGCATACAACAGCCAAAATGTTGTAATAAATATGGCGACAAAGATGAGGACAATAGTCTGAATAATGTAGATGTTGATTTATTAAAAAAAGGAAAATAAAATTGTGCTGATGTAATCTAGGATTTTATTAATTTTCTTATTGGCTAAAATGGAGTTAGCTTTTCAGTAAATTAAATTTAATAAAAGATTTAAAAACAAACTAGTGATATATTTATATCTCCAGAAGACAAGATTACTTTTCATCAACTTGTTTTAATTTGAGTTGTAGAAAAATGTTTAAGCAAATATATTATGGCAGAATTAAATGCATTTTTCCTCTATCTAAAAGTAAAGTGTCACTTAATAGGTTTATGGTTTACAAAGTGATTGTTACAAAATAATTTTGAAGTTTTTTTTTGTTTTTTGTTTTTTTTTTAACTAGGAAAAAATTTTTTTTTCAATTTCATGTTTTCTTTTGTTGTTTTCTTTTCTACTGTTGATTTTTTTTCCTTGTGTTCATTTTTTTTTTTTGTTTTGCATGTTTAAGCCTGCAAATTTCTTTCAAAGAGTCCAGGGCACAACTACTGATATTAGTTTCCCTTGAAGCCCTCTTTCAGTCCTTATTTATGCACCTACTTTTTTTTCTTTTTTTTTTAAATTTATAAGGCCTCTGTAGAAGTTGTGAGAAGTGTTCATGTGTTTGCTCAGCAGAGAATGTTAGTAAATTCCCCACAGGGTCAGTGGCCTTCAATGGCATCAACGTCTTTGCTTACAAAGCAAAAAGATGGCTGCCTTCATTATCCTAAAAAGTTCAAGAAAGATAAAACAAAGAAAATGAAGAATAAGACAAAAGCTGTGAAGAAGAAAACTAAGGTATAGTACGATAACTCTCGGAGAATTCATTTTTTCAAAAATAGTTAACAAAAATAACTTTTGCAGATTCTTTAATTGGATCAACTTTTCATTTTTTTATTGATTTTATGGGGACGATTTTTTTTTTTTTTTTAACTATTATAAGAGTATTCTTTTATTTTGACTGCTTTCATCATAAATGTTTTGAAATGTTTTTTTAGCAATAATTAGCCTGACCATTTGACATGATATATTTAATCAACCTTTTACCATTTGCATTTGGCCTATAGTAAAATTGACTTGATATTTAGCAGCAACATGGCAGAAACTACATAATCCAAATTACAAAACAGCACTGAACTGTGCAAAGAAAATATCTGCTATATAGAGCTCAAAGCTTGAAACCCTTAAAATGAAATATATATATAAAATTGGTTATTTGGTTGTTTCTTTGCATAAGAGAAAATAGTTATTCAACTAAAGCCATTTTTCCCTTTTGATCACAATTTAGTAAAAGCAAATAGTTACTGTTGAGACTTAGTAATGGTATTTTGAAAATCTAATATCTAGATTTTAATTTTTGATATATTTATTTTAAGTTTTGTTCATCTATTTATCTTAATTGAATTTAAAGAAAAACAGGAAATATTTGATTAAAAATTAATGAGGTACTTTTTATGCATAACAAAAAACAATTTGAATTGCAAAACTGAATTTTCTACACATTTTTTCCAAATGAGAAAGGAAAATAATCTAATATGTAAAGCTCAGTTTTTTCACTCTGTGTGCGAAAAATCCTGGAAATTAAATAAATGGGAGTAAAAGAAAATTTTGACAACGACAGAATTCAAAACTACAGTTACTACCTTGGACCACTTGGCCACATTTGAATATTGTAGGATGTTTGTTTTTTTTTGTTTTTTTTTAGTTGAAGAAAACACAAATCTATCAAAGAAATCACTGCATAGTGCAGAAATGAAAGGGACTTGCAACACCATGTATCATTGCTAGTGTTGTGTGTGTGTGTGTATATATATATATATATATATATATATATATATATATAGAAAAAATGCCTCATTTCAACCTGAAAGGATAACCTTAATTTGTTTTTTCTTAAAAATTGTATTGTTGGAAAGTAGCAGAAACTCTTTGCAAATGGATAAGTATTATTGATTTTTTTTTTTTTCTTTCATAAAAATTGAAATTATTGCATTCCCCAGCACTGAGGATGCTCCAGCCTCAAGGACCCCCCCCCTCCCCCCCCCCACACACACACATCAGTTTTGACTTGCAAAGTGTATGGGGGGTAGGAGGGTGATTAAACCCAATTAGTAAACTTTGGTGTGTAGGATGCAGGGTAAATTATTTTAGATTTTTGACAGCAGAGTTGGAAATGGATAGCATCTTCAATGTTATGAAATGCAGTAATCACAAGAAATTTTAAGTTTGAAGTAATAGTTGCAGGCACCTAAATCTGTAAACAACAGATGACAAATTAAAAACTGATTATGTATTTTTTCTTAATACAAAATTAATTTAGGAATTTTATTTTTTGCTTTAGGATTACCTAGATTTACTTCTCTAAGTCATAAAATTGCAGAAAAAAAATTCTTCAATTATGTTAAAAAAGGAAAAAATATCTGAGAAAATTCTTGCAAAACAAGTAGATGTGAGTTTTGAAATTAGAAATCATTCTATGGTCAGCCTCAATTTTATCATTTAAAATAATGAGAATATAGTTTGGTTGGATGGGAAGTAATAGAGAAATAAGAAGTAAATATATTGAAGATTACATAAAGTAAGTCCAGCATAATGCCACATGTAGGATATCTTGTGAGGAAAATAACCAGTTGTTAGTTGGTGCATTCCACTATAGAAGGCACTCTTTCTGATGGTAAAAGATACTTGGTTAACTGGGAGGTACTTTTATTATTTTTAGTTTTTTTTTGTTTTGTTTTTTTTTTTTTAAACTTCTAATATTTGCACAGATTTTTCTTTTCTCTTTCTTTCAAATGTCTGCTTGCTTGGCCAGTTTCTTCTGTTAAACCCATTTTGCCATTTTCATGGCTTTCCATCACAAAAATCTTGAATTTTACTTGTGCTTTATGTCTTTGTTATACACCTTTCTTTGCTCCAATTTTTTTTGTTAATGTGTATTTCAGCAGATGAGAATTTGTATTTCATTGTCTCTAAGTGTGATCATACCAATTAAGTTTGAACAATTGAACTCCTTGTTCATAATATTTGGGAATTTTTCTTGTCCTTTGAAGAAAGTAGGTTCCCTTTTTTTTTCTTTTTTTTATGAGATATATTTGATAAAAGCTGAAATGTTGTCAACAAGAGTAAGTACATGAAGGAGTTCAACTGTCAAAACAATATTAACTCCTTTGTATTTAGTTTACCTTTTTTTCCTCTCTCTCTCTCTCTGTTTTGCTATCAGAGGCCAGTTTTTGTAGGGGGGACAGTTTAATTTAAACAATCTATTTTTCTTTGTAGAAAGAGCGTCGCAATAAATATCAGCTCTCTGTACATAAAACAAGGTCAGTATAGAAATGTATCTATTACAGGTTTGTTGTGTGTTGTATGATAAATGTTTCAATTGATCTGAAGTCCAATCAATGTATATAATCCAAGCAAAAATGAGAAATATATTAATGAATTTTGCAAACATTTTGTAGAGTAAACATACCCCCTTCCTTCATCTGTTAAAAATGGCCCAAATTCTATAGTTTTAGGCCATAAACTAAGATTTTGGGTTAAGATTAAAATATTTGAGGATGTTCTCTGCTTTGAGATCAACTCTTCTTAATACTTAAAGATCAGTTATGCTTTTTATATTTGGAAAGTGTGTGTGTGTAAATGAAATTAACTAAAAATTGGTAAAATTGGGTTTCTATGATTATTTTTTCTTTTATTATATATTCAGATTTCTGAAGGAGATTTTCTTTGAGTATGTTGGCATTATTTTAACTTTGTCTTCACCATTTTCTTTTTGAATTTCTGTGCTGAAACTTTGTTGATTACTAATTTTTCAACTAGTATTTTTGATATCTTAATTTCAGTTTTTCTACAAATATTTCTAGTTTATATAAATAAATAAAAGTGGCAATATATGGAGTGTTTAAAGGTTGGGAATAGGCAGTGAACAGATTTAAATGGTTGCAACTGAAAGATTTTGGTCTAATCAGAAAAAGGGAGGTTGTCATGTCAAAGGTTTATTTTTGATTTTCAATCTCCATTCTTGTTTTTTCTCATCATTAAAAAAAAAAAAATTTTGAGACTTACTATAAAAAATACAACTGAAATTAAGAGGAAAGAAATACTAGTTGAAAAATTGAGTGATATTTTTTTCCTACGAATTAATGTTTCTGAACTTAATTTTAAACCCTTTTATTATTCTGAAAAGTTGTTTTTATTAATTTTGACTTAACTGATAATTTCTATTTTTTTTAACCAGATGACCATAACATCTGATATTAAGATATGATCTTTGCAAGAAAAAGCTTACTTTTTAGAATCAATTTATTATGGTTAGAGATTTTTTTTCTCTTTTTACTGAAGTGCAACCATTTTTAAGAGTTGCACTGAAGAAGAAAAAAATAACTATTTGACTTTTTACAAATTATTTCAAACCCTATTTTATGCACTTATTGAAAAATGTTTTATATAACTTTCTCAGATTATTAATGCTGTTGAGGTTTAAAAGGTTTTTGAAACACTAGTTTCCATCACTAAATGTCTTTCGTAATGCAGTATTTGCATATAAATAATATCTGGAGTGAGGTTGAAATTGCTTTGGAAATTACCTTAAAGGCAAGAGAAAAAGGATTGAACCAAAAAAAAAAAAAAATGGGTCGACCATTTTGATAAGCTTATGGAGCTAAGAGTGAAACCAAATCATGGTTCGAGTTAGATTAACTCTTTACAAACTTGGTTTTTGATCTTGAATCTAAACTGAAATATCTTGTTACTGGGACAATTTTGTGAAATATGTGAATGCTAAATTATTATGGCAAAAATTTATAAAAACCTGAAACAAATTTTACATTGAAAAATAAAAATAAAGAAAACTTTGTTGTTAATCATCAAACCCCATTTTTAAGTTTGTTTTCTATTCATTTGTTTTAGGGATTGCTTTGATTGGATAATGTAATAATTTCATCAGAGCATTTTTCATTAAGTGTAGGTTATTACAAATTCTTTAGTGAAGAAATTTATATGTATATTTTGTATCAACTAGGCATGCTTCTGAAGTTCATAGTTTGCACAAGTTTTCTTGCAGAACACATAATCAATGTTATGAATTATGTGCATTATCTTGTTTTTTCATACTAAATTTGCTACAAAACTGTTGGAATCTGCTTTAAGAATTTGTTGTGTCAATATGTGATGATGAGTGAATCAGTTTTGACCTGTTTAACAAATCCTACCCGTTGTATCATAAGTTATAATAATGCTTGTGACAGAATTAGTTTCATTTAACTAAGCATCTCGTTGAAGTGAGAGGAAGGTTAAAAGTGCATCTTTTAGATTGTCATGGCAAATTGAGAAATTTAGTTCTTTGATCACATATTTAATCAGGAATGCTGCATTGACCACTCATTTGCATACATTCACTTACTCATTTTCCTCATTTTCTTTAGAGAAGTCAGATGTTTGTAAAATCTGCAGTCGCCATCCTAATTAGCTTTTCTACAGTTTTTCTCTGTTCTTCCCCACCCCAGATTTTTCACTTTGTTCCCAACCAAAATATTTGATATTGACAGAATGAGATTCAAGTGAAATTACTCTATTTTAAAGTAAGAACAGTTTCTACACTTTAATTACTGGCAAAACGCAAGTGATTTTTTTGCCCTTGCAAAAATACTTCATTTTAATAAACCATTATTGTAAAAAAAAATCAAATAAATAAATAATCTCAAATTTTAATAAACTTAATCAATTTGTCCCTCACCCCTTCCATACTTTTGTAGTAGCAGTATAAAAATGACCTACTCATCAAGTGTAGACAGTGTCAGTCAATTTTAAGGTCACTGGGGGTCTGTTTTAGTTCTTCTCCAGGGAAAGGAAGAAAACTCAACCCTCTCCCCCCACCACCACCACAACAGATTTTTCATCAGCTACCTGACAAGAGGATACAAATGTGCTTTGTGACAATGCCTTGTTCTCATTTTTTCTTTTCTTATTTTAAGTTCTATAAAATAAATTTGACAACTGATATTACGGAAAGCAGAAATAGGTATCAAATTTTTAGATTATACTTGTTTGAAAAGGTGTAATTGGATAAATTTTCCTCATTGATGTGGAGGTGTAGACACAAGCAAACTTCAGGGAAGAAAGATGTTGTTTCAACTACATAATTGTAACAAAAAAAGAAAATGTCAATAATATCAAAGAAAAGGAAGATTGAGAACTGAACTTTTCAAGAAAAGCAGGAATATTTATATTTTGTGATAAAGAAGGTTGCTGATTCATATCACTCAGAACTATCAACTGGTTTAATTCATCTTTGTGAGTTCACATACACTCTATCTGAATAAAACTGTTGTCAAAATGTTACTTTATCTTAGATGTTTAAAGAATGAAGAGGTTGCATTCATGTGACTTAGTTTTTGTTTCTCATACACTCAAAACCTCCAGAGAAGAAATGTCCTGGTCTCAAAAAGCACTTTGAATAACATTTCAACCTTGACCACACTAAATGTAAGATGCCCACAGAAATAGAAAATATACCAATACTCATCCAATCATTACAAAATTTGTCTTCAAGCATAAATATTTATCCTACTGATGAGAAAATTAAGAAAGCTATTAAAAAAAATAAGGAATAAAGCATCACTTGACATTGAGGCTGAACTTTTGAAAATAGTTTACTTTCTCCCTGAATTCAATAACAAGTTTCTTTATTTTATGAAAGATGTCTGGAATTCCCTCCCCAAAATATGGTTTATCATATATGAATGCATTATGGAAACAGAAAGCACTAAAAACCTTCTCACACACACAGGTACCTCAGGATCCATCATGGTCAAAGTATTAATAAAAATTATATTAACTAAGCTTTCATTTTTTATGAAAGTTAATTCGTTATGACCCAGTTTGGTTTTCATTCTGGTAAGAAATGTAATAAGTAATGAAACAACTCCAAGAAATTGCTTTACCTCTCTAACAGGAAATTGTATACCTGCTTTGTCGACTTCACAGCAGTATATGACCACATCAATAGAGATTTCCTCTTCTCATTCATTAGAAACTATCTTCCAACCTTCAAATACTCTAAATGCAATGATCTAATAGAGAAACAGTATTGATCTACAGAATCTTACATATCTGGCGAGGACCACAGTATGAAAACATTTTAAACTTCATTAGGAGTACAAAGACAAAATGAGAGCCCTAGTCTATTTAATCTTTTCCTAGACCGTGTCTGCACACTTACAAGCATAGATGTCATGAGATGAGCACTGGTCATTTAAGTATTTCATACCATATCCCTAATAAATATACCAACAGAAGGCAGTTACCTTGTGTTCCCTTCAGAGACCAATGTATTGATGATTGGGAGGGGAAGCGCTATGCTAATGACATAGGTGCTCATAGTTAGGATAAGAATAAATCTTGAACAAAAAATGAATATACTTTTCCAAGAAATAGGATTCAAGATAAACCTTTCCAAAACAGAAATGATAATCTGGAATTGGAATCAAAGCCATGATAGGGACATCCTCTGAATCCATCATAATAATTCAGGATGTGGAATTAGTAAATACTAAACATTTTAGATATGTCAGCATATGAATCAGTAATAATAAATTAAATATAGGAGAAAAGGAAATTGAACATAAAATAGGTTGTACCAGAGAAAGTTTCATCTGAGACTGAAAATTCAAGTCATGTTCTTAAATAACACCATCAGATGGAGGCTTTCATATGGATGTTATGTATGATGCCAAACCAGTTCATAAATATCTAAACTGTCAGCTGTATACAAGCACTTTCTAAGACCAATGGCTAAAAAGGCTTTGAGTGAAGCCTGTGGATCTTGGCAAAGATCATCCTTCTTTGAACATTGTGAACAGGTATTACAGATTCACAAAGAAAGAACTGTACCAAATAACATCACTAAGGACTACCAACAGCAGCAAGAAAGAGCAATAACACCTACTGGTCTTGAAAAACATATTTTCTTGTAAAATTATTTAAGAGAATGATTTTATAAATTTCAGCCAAAAACAGTACTGGCTGCTTGATCAATGAATGCCAAATGTTTTCGTGTAAGGAAATGTCTAATATTACCATTATGATGATTGCTTTAGTTCTTACTTGGAAGAATGATTGTCAAATCAGTGAAAAACAACAACTTCATGGCTGTCATTTCATTTACACAGTCTTATTTCTCACTATGTCACAATTCATTATCAACTTATTTCCTTTTGCCCATAAAACTCTGAATACTGACAACTCTCACTTACTTTCCATTCCCTCTTCAAATTACCAACATGACAAATTTACTGACAGTTCACTAACATGTGTTTCTTATTGTAGGAGGAAAGGGAGTGTTTTCCTCCTCATATTGATAATTGAATTAATAATTCCACATTAATTATCTCTGAATAAATTAAGATTAATACAGTACAAAATCAAATTGGAAGAAAAGTAGTGTTGCATGAATCTTCCAAATCAGGAAGAGTTTGTTTATCTGTGTATTTTATTTGAGCTTGAACTTTTACATAGATGGGAAGAAATGCAATTCCATATGTAAGGTAGGTAATTGCAAATCCCTATCACCTTAAATTGTAGTGTACAAGTTGGTACTTTAGCCACTGTGAAACAAACTTAAAACTGAATAAAATGTATACAAGACAGTAATAAATGTGCACACAATACAATATTATAAGAATTGCTTACATGGCATAAGACAATGTAATTTAACATGTAAACAAAATTGTATAGCATACTTAAAGATATTATTTATGTTAAAAACTTAAAGGTTTGAGACTAGGACTTCTTGTGAGAAAAACTATCCTATGCTACCTCACTTGGAAGTGAGGGAGTATAGGATACCTTCTTTTTATACTGAGCTGGAAAATCATAAAGGGGGTGAGAAGAAAGACAGCAGTGATCATCCCAAGGGGGTCATAAAAAGTTTAGTGCCATTATAAGAAGCAATTACTCTTTTTATATGAGTGGGGGTAGAAATCAAATATATATTTATTCTGTTGCTAATGTTTGTCTTAAACATTTCGATGTTTCAACATGCAAATTAATACAGAGCTGAATCTTTGGCTTAAACAAAGATTCAGAAGAATTGTAAAATACACTGTTTAATCTTCAAATCGCCAGTTGATTAAAGAGTATTTAGTCCATAATATGATGGAAGTGGAGGAGGTGGAGTAGAAATTGTCGCATCATATAACAGGTTTCAAATGCAATTAGCACTCAAATAAAACTATTTCTTTCTACCAGCACTGTAATTATTAGTGACTGAGTAATCTGGTCTGCAATGTCACACATTGTATAAACTGTTTGGAAATAAAGATTGTAAATCAAATGATGGATTATCAGCATGATATTGTGATCTATAAACCTGATAAATATGGGAATGGACATGTTGATTTTGGGTATTTAGCCTTTTGACTGCCGGCTACACCCAGTGGTATAACGACACTTGGTCCAGTCCTTAGAGTCCTTGGACAGGGCTAACTCTGCACTGGTCAATGCTGATGCTGGTCCAAGCTGGTTTTTGGTTGCTTCAATCCACACTAACTCTGCCCATGTTCTTGATCTCAAATGGAAGATCAAATATCATAGTTATAGCAGTGCTGGTTCAAGCCATGGTGAGTGATACATTAAAGAAGAAAAATATCTTCATGGCAAAAAAATAAAACTAGAGATTCATTTCAATCTTCAGTTGGTTTATATAGCTCTTGGAGCAACAAAAATTAACCCCTTTTACATCAATCTCTATAATGACACTGGGCTTTGTCTAAACTTCTGGAGGAGCTAGGTTCAAAGTTCTTGGAATCAGAAAATCTGGTGGCAGCTGACGTGAATTCCAGAAGTACGCAATACAGGTTCTCGGCCAAAATCTCTGAGCTTCAAAAGTTATCTGCTTATATGCACTTCAGCCCAAAATTAGCATTGGGCTAATGGGCTCTGTGAATTCCCCAATCCTCACTTTAATCCCAGTAAAGGGTTTCTTTGTTTACTATTTCTTAATCAACTTTCCAAATTTGGAGAATTATCCACCTTCCTTGGGAGTAGTCACAGGGATTGCTCCTACCTTAACTCCAATCTGCTTCACTTCACATCTCACACCACCACTCCACACAGGTAGCACTAAATTCTGCCTCTTCTTCTAACTCTGCTCACTTCTCAGAGCTAGCATAATTGTCAGAGCTAGCATAATTCTGCATCCTTGGATGATCACTGTCTTAGTGAACACATAAACCAGGCCACCTGCCTGTTATGACAGGATCAATTTTCATAATCTTAACCCTCGCAGTGGGTTCATTCTTAGTTTTTATTTTGTTTTCACACACAAAAAAAAACATAATTCTTGTCTGCCTCTCTTCTTGCCAATGATGAGTTTTTCTAATTAACCAAGAAAGAGATAAAGCCATTTCCCAATTTGTTTTACCTGTATACCAGATTTTCAATAGATAAAAAAAAGAGAAAAGTAAACTTGGTGCATCATTCCAATTCATAGTGGTGAGGCAACGCAGTTGGTTTTCTTTTCACTTCCACATTACCAGGGAAAATGTTTTCTATTCTGTCTATATTCCAGTTTATATCTCATTTTGGGCTTAACACTTTTTCTGCTTAGAATTAACATTTAACCATCTCATGGCTTTAGTGTTACATTAGGGTTATTATAAATAATTGACTGTGTGATGAAGTGGTTCTTTAATTTTCATTATCACTTATCAGATATAAGTTCTATTGTCTACCAGTGTAATAAAACTTGATTCAGCAGCTGTTCGTTGACATATGAATTTTGTACCAAAAATGTTGATGTTAACTTCTATTCTATATGAAGCTGGGGTTATAAAAAATGTCCCATGAAACTATTTTGTTCCTGAAGAAGAAAGTAATTGTCGTCTCTTTAGTAAAATGAGTTTTATTTCTCTTAAATTGGAAAGGAAGTACTTTCTTTTATATATTCATAAATTTGGTTTGAAATAAAGAATTGGAACAATTCTTAAAGAAGTAATTTTTTTTTCTTTCCTAATTCAGTTAAATTTACTATTTTTTTTTTTTTTTCCAAATCATCTGGCAATTTGAATGGGGGTCACAATTGTATTGATCCCATATGAATTTAAGATTAAATTTTAGATCATATTTTTGTAATGCAGAATTTTTTTTTAATTTAATGTTCTTTAAAATGTTTTTTTTTTTTTTGTTTCATGCTTGCTAAATGTAAAATTACTCATTGGGAAATCTATACATATATAAAGGGCAGTTGTCTCTGGTTAAAACTAAAAATTACAGTAATTCATGGCAAAGTGTGTGTGTGTATATATATATATATATATATATATCACCCAACCCAGCATTTTGTAAAAAAAAAACATTGTATGATTAGTATTTATGAAGATATTCTAAAATTAAAATGCATTAGAAATTCTCAGAATTAATATCTAAAAACAAATACTAATAATTCTTATTCCAGATTAGGGTTACTGTTTATTTTTATTTTTTAATTCTGCTAATTGCTATACATGTATGCATTTTTAAAATTTCTATTCTCTTGCATTTATTTTCACATCTATAGTAAATAAGTGTATCTTTAAAAAAAAAAAAAATGAATATTAAAACAACAAAATAAATTTAAAAGAATAATAATAATTTGACAGTTTAATATTTATTTATTCAAATATTTGAGTGTGTGTGTCTGGCTACAAAATAAATATACAGACTCAGATAGACCCCTTTAGAGTGATACTATGTGCATGTGTGTTTCAATTAAGTTTTATTAAAGCAAAAAATTATAGCGAGCCTTATTTTTTCAAAAATTAATTTGAATAAACAATAGTTAAATTTCTAAAACAAATCTTCAACACAACTAATGTTGACCATAACTCATGTCTATCTCTGCTAATTTTCATTTAACTAAAGTTTGTTTTTTTTCTTTTCAAATACAAATATAACTTAAAATGTAAACATAATCACTTTTCAAAACTAAGTTCTCATTGTATCTTGCTTCTACTCTCTTTCAAAATAGTAATTAATGTTTAAAAGTACTTTTACTTAAAAAAAAAAAAAAAATCTAAATTCCCCTCCAAAATAAATAAATAACTTTTTTTGAAGAAGTAAATCTCACTCTAGTTTTTGCTTGAAAAAAAAAAAAAAAATGATTAAATATGTTGAAATATATCTTAATTTAAGTTTATTTACTCTTTTATTATTAATAATTCGAAAAAAGGTTAATGAACTTTTAAGTTTGATTTGTTTGAAAACAACATTAACAGAGTATTTATGTTAGTATTTAAATCGAAAAATAAAGTGTCTTTTTGAATAAAAATATGGGGATGCTCAGCTCCCTAAGCCCACAACCCTGAGCATGTTATTTTCCTAAGTTATTTTGTAACAAACCAAAAAAAAAAAAACTTATTTTTTAAAGATTGAATAAAAAAAATTATTTTCCATAAGATGGCTGAAAAATATTAATAAGTTATCAATAATAAACTATTAGTAAGAGATCTTCTGAGTAATGCCAAATATCTCCGCTAGTTTAATATAGATGTTAAATTTTATTCTAAGAATTTTTTTTAGTTTTAGTGCATTTGTTTGTTTATTGTTACCAGATTGTCTTTGAAATTTCATTTACTAATCTGCTACATTGCAAGCAAATTTATTGCAAAAAAATAAAATAAAAATCCCCCCCCCCCCTACACACATACTTAAATTTTCCATTATCCTCTTTCAACAGTTTTAGTCTTAAAATTTCCTCATAAAGTGATTCCCCCCCCCCCTCCACTGAATGATTAGGGAAATTTACATTAATCAAAGAAAATTTAATTTGGAAGAAATGGATAATGGATCTTAAACAGGATTATCATGTTTACTGTCATGACTTAAAAATATTCTATGAAAAATTCATATCAAAGAAAATATTTTAGTTTGTAGAAAAAATGGTAAATGCAGTAATGATTTTGTTATTAAAACGTATTCTGAAATCTTTCTTGTAGAGAACGTGAACGACGTTGTAACATCTTCAATGGCATAAACTTTCTACAGGAAGTTTTGTGTGAAAATGAGCACATCCAATTTATTTCTCAGAGAAGGGTTCTGGATTTTGTAAGTATTTAGCATATGAAAGTGTTTTGTTTTTTTTCTCTTAGAGTGATAAATGCAATAAATATAAAAAGGAACTTATCATTTGAATCTTATTTCTTGACTTAATGAAACATGAATGTAAGAAATGGGGATGTTTAAGTTTTCATAGTGAGGTGGGGGGGAGAGTTTAGCAAATCTATAAAACATTTTATTTTTACTAATAATATAAAACTTGGCTACATAACATTTACTTTATCAATTATTATTACAGTTTTTGAAAAGTGCAGCAAAAATAAAAAGATCTAAAAATTAATTCATCAATTTAAAAGTTCAATTATTGAAACAATTCAATAAACTCCAAAACATAGACCAAAATTCTTTCAGGGTTTTTAATAAAATTTTCTATCTTTTCATACATTTTCCTTTGTAATATATCTTATGAAATGGTATTTTTCTTAGATTATAATTGCTGCAACTCTATATTCACGTTATACTGTTTCTACGGTTATAGTTATCTCTAATAAATCAATGATGGAGTTTTGTTTTTTTTTTCTCTTTTCCTTCAACAGGCAACTGATCATATAAAATCTCTGCAACTTAGTGAAGAGAAACTAATTGCAGAGAAATCGTCAATGGTCAAAATAAACCATCAACTCTGGGGACAACTGAATAAAGTAAAAGGTGAGTCAACATTAAATCGCTTGGAAACACTTTCTCCAGCAAATGAATCAAATAATGATTAAGGACAATTTGAAGAGAAATGAAGATAGTGAAAGAAATCTCTCTCATCAATAAGACTTGTTTAGAAACTTAAAGAGGATAGTAGGTGGAGCTTGACAGCATTTTCACTCTAAAAATACAAAAAAAAATAAAACTATACTGATCCCAATTGAATGAACAAACTAGACTTGATGATAATAAATACAGCAACATTACCAAATTTTTTTCTCACCATTCTTGTTGATTGTGAGGCATTGCTGTATAAATGCATTTTTGGGGGGAAAATCCATAAGTTGAAATATTTACTCTTTTACTTACTTTAAAGAGACACATTAACAAACATGCAATTTGACACTTTTGCTGTTTGTCAGATCTTGTTTTCAAATGCATTATTAAAAAAAAAAAAAAAATGACGACTTCCGTTTGTCGTGAATTATCGCCCTTGGATGATGAATAGTTGCCAGACTTTTTGTAGGTGGCACTGTCAAATAATGTAAACAAAGACTATCATAAAGTTTATTTTACTGAGAATAAAGTAAATGCCTCTAAAGTAAAATAAATTGAATATAACACCTGTCTTAAAATGTCTCAGTCATTGCTTATCTCCGAAGTAATTTAACTTTTAACCTGTTGATGTTTTTGAAGAGAAAAGAAGTTAATGAAGTGTGTTGCAACAAAATTTTAAAAAAGTCTTGTATTTTGTTGAATGGCAAACAATGTTTGATTTGAATGCCACACAATGTTTGATTTGAATGCCACATGAATATATAACATTTAAAGGCATTATGCAACCACTTATTCAACTTTCTACTACATTCATCATATTTTCACAGTCTGTCATTTAAAGACCATAGTCAGTATTTGAATATGTTGCAGTTAAGATGTAGTACTACCCATGAAATAGCTGTCAGTGAAGCCATTTTCAGAATAAAATTTTATATTAAAAAAAAAAAAAAAACTGATAGAAGAATTTCAGATACAGAAAGAATGTTAACTTTGAGTTTGTGGTTATTGCACTTTTGTTGCAGTTGATATGTGTAGTGTAGATGAAAAAATATGCACATAACAGAATTTGGAGAACTGATACCAATGAAGGTTACTCAAAAATAAGATATTTTTAGTGAATTTGATAAATGTACTCTATGCAGATGGAGCATTGCAAATGATTCAGAGAAAACCTGATTAATTGTTGATCCAAGGAGACATAATTTTTATAAAACCCTCCATGAATTTCAACTGCTTATGAGTAAAGTCATGCAATCTTCAAGTATTGATTGAAAACAGCCAGTTGTAAAACTGCAATATTAATAGCCTACTGTTAAGATAGTGGAGCAATCCATTTAAAATATACTGTGTGTGTGTTTTTTTTTATGTATATGTTGTATGGTAGTGAATGTGTTGCTGTAATAGCATATTTATAAGATATTAGGAGTTTATATATAAATGCATAGATGCATTTATGTAGATATTAACTCCAATAAAAATATATTTAGATACTTACTGGTATGAAGATATACATTCAATGTATACATAAACACAGACAAGTATATTTGCAATTAGGATAATATTGATAAATTCTATCAAGTTTTATGTGTGTGCTTGTGTATATATTTTGCATGTATGTGTTGTTTTTTAATAGATATAATTAATGAGAGTATATGTCTAGATGGGTATCTCTCTCTCTCTCTCTATATATATATATATATATATATATATATTCCAGTTCAATATATAAGTTTATATATTTGCTTATATTTGTTGCATGAAATTTTATGGCTATATTTATTTTTTTCAAATTTTAACTTTAGAGAAAGCAATTTTAGGAAATTCTGGCTAATAGAGAAAGTTCTTGTGTGATGAATTTTGTTCTTTTTATGGCTTCAGGAGACAAAAGTGATGTTTACATTGATGAAACTACACATACACACAAAGGAGAGAAGATGGTGAAACGAAAAAAAAAATAAAAAAAAATATCATTTTAGTCCTAAAGAAATCACACAAATCTTTTTCCAATTTCCCTAAAAATATAAGAGTGTGCTGAACAACAGCAAATCTTCCATCCCGTCTCTATTCAATTAATTTCAGTTGAATGTTTTGCTCAGAAATTCATTTCCAACTCCAATCATTTCAAGTACCCACACTTAATACTCAGTAGAGCCTCTGTTCTAGGACGGGGGAGGGGGAATTATGTGCATACCCTCATCAGAGGTATCAGACATTATTTCTAAATTAGACTCCCATAAGGCAAATGGAGGTGACAAGATCCTAGGTGTCGTTCTAAAGAAATGTGCTCCCGAGCTCCAAACTCAACTATTGCCTTTCTGCTTCCTGCTTGTTGGAAATCCTCCTCTGTAGTTACTGTTTTTAAGAAGTCTGGAGAATCTAACAACAAAGCTGTGGCTCTAGATAGATCCAAAGTATTTGACACACTGGTCTTCTACATGAGCTCCAGGACTATAGTATTATTGGACAATTGTTTCATTTAATCCAATCAAATCATGAAATGAAGGTCACATGAATGAGGGTGTCCTCCAAGGCTCTGTCCTGGGCCCTACACTGTTTCTGATCTTCTTCAATGATCTCTCTGATGCCATAAGTTCCCAAGTAGGCATTTATGCTGATGATATTACCATTTGCTCCTGTTTCAGTGTCAGCTCTGATGGATTTGCTAAAGTTAACCTGGCTACTGTTCTTGAAAAGTACCCCCAATCAGTGGTTAGGAAATAACTCGTAAATATTAATGCTCTCATTTAACCACCATAGACAAATTTTCTTGCTCACCATCACCATGGCTGATGCTAGACTCATGGAGAGCAATACACTGTGCCTTCTTGGCCTCACGTTTTCAATTGACTTGAAGTGGAAGGCCTACATCGAATCAATAGCTGCATCTACAGCAAGAAAATTCATGCCAGAAAGTTTTTCTCATCAGAGTTCATCTTGCACATTTAAAAATCTACCATTCTTGTCAGGTGCTCCTGCTACTCATCTTGAGGTTCTTGACAAAATCCAAAGAAGGTTTTTTATAAATATTTTCATGGCTACTGCTCTGACAAGCTTTTTTTCCCCTGATGACTGGATTACATGTGTTTAACCATGATACTAGATTTTACTTTTACTGTTAATTTAGGTAAATGTAACTACCACTTCTACTCCAACAGTTTCTTTTCTTTCACTTCCCCGTCTGTGGAACTCCTTTCTGCTTCCTTGCTTATTACAATCTTAAAAAATTAAAATGCAATGTCAGTCACCATCTTCTAGAACCCTGTTCAGCTTTCATCCTTTCTTTAGTCCACTCTATACCCAGTCTTTTCTCTCCCCTTCACTCACTGTACCCCCCCCCGTGTACTATTGACATTCCTGCCTTGATTGGGGTGAAATGATTAAATAAATAAATTGTGTGCGAAGTTGTTAGAAATTTACTGTTCCTCATTTTGTCAAGGAGGTTACTTATTGACAATCCCAGCATTGAGGTATTGTTGGGAAGTGCCTGAAAACCATCCCCCATACCACAAGCCTTTGGATTGAAGTTTATCATGTTACAGTTTCATCTACCAAAGGAAAATATGTGCAGAAACTGAAATCTAATAGATTCAAAATTGACCTATCATGGCAACTATTACCTGAATACAAATGTTGAATAAAATGGTGACAGATTGATATGACTATTTGTACTTTTTCAAAGAAAATTCTCAGATGTCAACCATTTTGATTGATGCTTTTTTTTTATTCACTGCATCAAGATTTCCCAGTTAGTGAATAAATTTCAAGAATGGTTAAAACTGACTTTGAAAATCCACAGAATAATTTCTTCTATTTTTGGGGGCAGATCCATTCTCTGTTAATGTGATAGAAGAAAATCAATTGATCTTGTGGCATGATGAATTTGAACTTCAATTTTAATACTGAAATTGGATACAAATTTCATCTTTGCTGCCAAACTTTGATTTAAGACACTGTACTACTGCTACTTAGTAAGACTGATAAAAGTAAACAAACACTCAATTTTGTTTGCTTTTTAAGATTTGGACACTAGAATCATCAATCCCAGTTTCTTATTGCTCAAAGTTGTAGTTATGCCTGACACCCCTGCACCCTGAAATAATATGGATTTCTTTATCCTTCCTGCAACAATCTTTCTATAATGTATTTTTTTTATTTCTTTTGCAGAAGAATTAATATTGCAAAATGTAACAGAATGTGAACTGAACAATATCCTGGATGAATTGGGACTCCCTTTTGACATGTACTTGCCCCAAGTAATGGACAGTACAAAAGTGGAAGATGATGCTGGATCTCCATTGAAACTTCTACCTGCTGTTGATAGCTATGAAGCGTCCGATGTTGAATCAAAGGATCATTCAGATGTTGAAAATGAGATGGACGTAAACTTGGTATCATCGTCACTGCCCCCACAATCTCCAGCTTCTTCAGGTCCCTTAAATGAGGTGCACAGCAGTAACGAAGACACCATCCTCATGTCCCCGGTGACAAACCAGCAAATGCAGGACCTTGATGATGATGATGTAGATGTAGAGATGGTGGATAAGCATGATTCTGTGTTTGATTTCCTGAGCTACTGCAAGTGAACAAAGAGAACACTCTAAAATATCAAGAGAGGCCAAGGACTTGCCTCCTGCTGCTACTAAACTTTCATTGTATAAAGTTTCTTCCATATAATCATATCAAGCGCTCAATGTGCAAAATCACACTCACTCATACACCAACATAAAATATATACTGATGAACATTTCATCCCTTCATTGCTTTTCTTTTGAAATCTACGGAAGTGTAGGTACTTCACTCTATGCTATCCTAAGATGATAGAAAGATTAAACAACATAAAAAGTTTGATGGTTCATTTAAAAAAAAAAAAGAAAAGAAAAAAAAGTTAATGTATATAAAATGGGAACAGATGGATGTTTGCATAAAAAAAGAAACTACTTTATGGTTTTTCTTCCCCTTCTCATACATAAGTTTTTGCCCCCCCCTCTCCCTCCCACTACAATAGATGTGAATTTTGTATATAAACCATTTTCTTCTCTCCTGTGTGTTGCATAAAATGCAAGTGTAATCATTCTTGACATCAGATTCCCCACCCCAATCATCAATTTCAAAAAGGAAGGAAAAGAAAAACTATTCATTTTTGGCAGCAAATATGTTCATTCATTGGTTGAGACAGAAATTGTCTCCTCCCACTCCCACCTCATTTATTCCAGGAGAAAAACAAAACAAAAAACTTTGAAGTTCTTTTTTTTTTCCCTTTCAAAGAAGAAAGGAAAAAAGTTAATGCTGATCATGAACTGTTAAATAATTTCTGTTTCCCAACACCCAATAAATTATCAAGTTAAAGCTGTTTGAAATCAAATCCTGTTTCTGTTTTGGAGTGGGGGGGTATTAAATAACATTCACTATTAGGCAGTCTTTGATTCTTGGTGGTTAGGTTATGTTATGTAGTGATTTAAAAACTTGTTTATATAAACAAGTTTTTGAAATTCTGAACTGGGCATGAAAAGTTCAACAAGCAGGTAATTTTTGCCACATCTACTTCGTTATGAGCAAATTTGATGCTAGTCATTAGTTTTTCTGCAGTGATATACAACAAATCTATAAAAAGGTAGGTTTTGCTTTGTTTTATGATTTAAAAAATAAGGATGAGAAATATCGAGGAGAATTTACCAGGTGAGTAAGTAACTTTTTTTTTTTTCTTCTTAGTCTTGGGAAAGGTCCAACACTAAAATCACCCTGCAATAAGTCATTTAACTGTAGTTTTAGTAACTTTAGTCTGGAACAAGACCACAGTAGTAGGTGACCTTGGCTTGCTAAATGAAATAATATAATCAAATCAGTTTCATAGTTATTGAATTAGCACTTTTTTTTTAAGTGTTACCAAAGTTGAATATACATTCAAGATTTTGCAGCTGATGGGATGAGTTTGTTCCTCACAATTTGTGCACAAAGAAAACCTGGTACATCTAAAGTACTCGTCTCCCCACATTTATTCAGGGGTCTGAGTAGAACTGAATAAATAAAATAAAAATGGGATATATCAGCTGAAGACAAATCTATTGAAGTTTATTTTTATATCATCCCACCCTGTGCTCCAGAAAAAAAGAAATCCATAAAATTATAAAAAGTTTAACAAGATAGAGATGAAAAAATTTTAGTAAATTTTTTTTTTTTTTAAATTACCAATACAAAGAGGGAAATTAATATTGGTTGTCTTCCTTTTTTAGTCCATGTCAAGACGAGGTTCTTTTTTTTTTTTTCTTCTCTCTCTCTCCAACAGCAGTTTGTCTATTTTCCTCTCGCCTGACTGAGATAAGGCAGTCAAGATTCCATGTCAATAGGGAGACCTAGCAACACATGAATGTCCACTACTTTCTGATACATTTCATTCTTTTTGTTTTCCATTAAAGGAGCCAAACTTTTGATGAGTTCTTCTTTAAGTTTTTCTGTCATTAATGATTTGTTGTCCAAGTCTGAAAGAAAAGAACATAATAGCCTTCAGTTTTCATTCAACTTCATCTGTTTTGTATTCATTCTCCAACTAAGGTTTTTTTTTTTTTTTAATTTTGTACAAATTTGATGAATTAGTTTTTTTTATAGAGATCTTCAGAATGCTGTTAAAATGAAAATGCCTCTTACCATTCAGTTTCTTGATGATTTGAGTGATCACAGCCAGTGCTTCAGATCGTATCACAGTGTATTTCATATTGCCTGAGAAATAAAGATTTATCTATGTAGCAATCCATTAATACTTAAGGTCATAAAAGTAAGGTCTCTTGAAAGAAGGAAGAGTAATTAATGCAGAAGCTTTCTCAGAGGAACTGAAATTAAGACATGACTGAAAATTAAAAACTGGTTCAATTACACTTAAATTCAAGTGATGTTCTATTCAAGAGTGGAGCCCCTCCCCCTTGGGGGGGGGGGTTTATTGCCACCAAACATTAAAATTTTAAACATTGACTCTACTTGTTCTTAAAAAGAAAGTCAAAACTCTGGCACAAAAAATGATGACTGCAGTGTCCAAGAGTTCATCAGACAGAATAATCTTATGGAGAGTCTGCTTCAGATAAAAAAAAAAAATTTAACCGTCCAGTATTACTGGCATGACTCACAATTACTAAAGGAAACCTTTGTGCTAGTGGGGTTAACTTGAGATTTGGGACACTGCAGTAGTTAAATATGGCGGGATATAGAGTGATCCACAATACATACGAGGGTAGATTTCTTCAAGAGAAATACTATGAATTTTTTTTAATTCAAAGTAATTAACAGTAAAATAATAAAAAGAAAATATCAGTTTCATGAAATTGATTACTAATTAGTTTAAGAACAAATGGAGCCCATAAACCTTATATCACATAAATGATTAGTGATTAAAATTCTGTTAAAACAACTTATCTTCACCAGTGGACAACTATTTATAAAATGAGTAATCTTAAGAACATGCAATTTTCACTTGAGTTTGATTAAAATAGTTGCTTTGAAAAAAGATAGTTCTGTGTATAACTTAGATTGTGCATTTGACCTTATCCATGTTAAATTTCCTCAATAGAAGATTTTGAAAGAAAGTTCATTACTTACCAAGACAAGGTATCACAGATGAAAGGATTTGGTTGATGATTTTACTTGCAACAGGAATGTTGTTTTGAAGTGTTTCTTGGTCTTTCCAAAGCAACAATCTGTCAAGACACACACAAAATGAACCTAATTCAGTGCTTAATAATCTGGTTCTTAAATTGTAGATTTTACAAGTGTGTAGATGTACTAACTATTTGCAATACTCACATGTACATATGAATGAAAGGGAGATCTTTGTACAGACCAAAAGGAATCTCATTTGAAATACAAATTTTAAAAATTCTAGTAAGGATGCAGGCAAAGTAAATAACTTAGTTGTTATTATATATAATGAAAGTAGATATATACAAAGCTTACTCTGACACAGAATTGCTCTCTAGTAGATCCAAGTTGGGCACATAATTCTGTATATGATCAACAAGAGCTGTTTGATCATAATTGTTTTGTGTTACTGTTCCAAGACTTAAGAGGAAAATATTTTATATGATAACAATGAATTTCCTTACCTTTCAGTGAATTTCTGCATTGACTTCATAATAGAAACTTGGATTTTCCACACACCACGGGCTAAAGACTGGCAAAGCTGATCGCTGTAGGATTCTTGGTAGGCAGCTGGTACAGAAAAATGGTTTTAAAAAAAAAAAACTTTCATTATTTGGACAGAAAAATGGTTTTAAAAAAGCTTTCATTATTTGAGACTTAGCAAAATTGAAAATAACTCTTAAAATATTTTTACAATTCTAATCTTACATAATGCTAATTGACAAACTATATTCTTAAATTTATTTTATAAATTTTAGAGGAGGATTTAAAAAAAAAAATCATCTTACTTTGTGTTTCTTCCACATTGGGCCAAGCTTTGCCCAAACAATCGAAGACACTTTCTTGGTAGGTAACTCTGATACCAAGTTGAGAAGTTGAACCATCTCCATCCTCATTCAATTCGCTCTCGGACTGATAAAAAAAGAAAACACACTCATAGCATTGACACTAAAAAAGCTTATCGGTTGCATTTTTGACAAAAACAATTTTAACTGGAATTTCATTTTAGTTTACTGATTGCCACAGAAGTTAGTGTCAAAACTATGACATAAAATATGATTTTCTGAAACATTTTGATTTTAAGATGTTCATAATGATTGTTAATAAACAAAAATAGAATCTCAGTCATGTGAAATGTTCATCTTAACAATCAATAAATTGTGGGAGGAAAAAAAAAAAAATTTCACACCTTGTTTAATGTTGGCTGCAGTAAAACCCAGAGAGTTTCAAATCTATCAATTTCATACAACTCCAGTATCCTGCCAGCACATTGTAGGGCCTTCATTCTGTATTTTGTATTCTCTTTTTTGCATTCTCTGAGAACAACTTCAACAATCTGCAAAAAAAAAAAAAAAATTATATTTTTATTACTTTGTTGATAGCAAATGTCTGTCTCTTTTTTTTATTATTCTTTTCCCTTGAAAAAGGAAATTTCCAACTTGACACTTGAAAAATATTTCTAAACTTAAAAACCAATGAGAGTTTTAAAAAGAAAAGTTTTACTGAATAAGAATTCAATAATTGTACTGATTTTTGGAAGTTCCATTTGGCCATAAGTAAGGGAAGTAAAACAGCTACCTTAAGAGTGTCATACTCTTACAATTTTTTAAAATAATTTTCGAATGTAAACTTATATTTTCACAAAGAGCAAATGAATATTTGCATACATTTTCGTTGATTGAAAAAAAAAAAAAACCAACAATCTTATAAAATAACATTTTATAAAAATACATCTTCATAACTAGCAACTGCCAATTAAAAACACACACAATGGTCTCTAGGTAAAAAGAAAAAAAAAGGTAGATTCAGTTCAGGTATGAACATTCTAGGTATCATTTCTCCCCACTTTCTTTTTAATATAACACAAGTTGGGTGGCATTAAAATAGCTAAGAACAAGAGATTCATGTTAATTACCAAGGTAGGCAGGCAGGCCCTCCTAACTTGGAACACACTTTTTTTTTTTCATCCCAGTTTTCTTAAATTTGGCTTTGTGCCAAAGTTAGTAAATATCAAGAATAACATTACAAATTGACTGTTGGAAATTTACCTGAGGTAAATTTGGTTTGCTTTCATCAGACTCTTTCCTTTGTTGGAGGGAAACTCTGGAAGAGAGAGAAAAAATACTTGATAAAATGTAAATACAAAACAATAATATAGTTGTTGGGGAAACCTCATGAAATTTCACTATTATCCCAGTAATAGATAAAATAACACTGCCTCAAGAGCAGGGGGTGAGTCTTCCTCTCTCTCATTTGAATATTATGAACCCAAGACACGACTCCAATGAGATTCAAAATTTGAATAAGAAATCACTGACCTGAACCCCTATTGATATTTGCCATGTAGCTTTTCAGATTGTTACCCAGCAACAGTTTTTTTTTCTCTTTCAGTCTCAATGTATATAAATGTAAATAAAAGTAAGTTTCCTTTGATTTAATTATGTTTTTTGTTGTTTTCTCTTTACTATCTTGACTAGAAGTATATGACAAAAGCATGTCATGTATGAAGTGACTCTAAACAAGCTACTGTAGAGAAGTTATTTTAAATAACATTAGTTTGTCATTAATATATTGCATTATGTGATTATAAACAAATTCTCTTATTACTTTTTATAAAACTTGGGATTGATACACCCTCTTTAACACCCAGAGCAAACAGCTTAAAAATTGAAAAAATAATTTGAATCCATCTTTGATCAATGTCACCTTGAATATGAAGAAGCAAGACTCAAATCTGCCATCATTCTTCCACTGCTTACTCTTCATTCTGCCTTTACTTTAGTCAAAGTGAGTAATTTTTTTACATGAACTATTTTCTCTAGTTTTAACTTGATAGTATAATTATAGTTTTATCACATTTTGGGTTGATTAACTCTTCATCCATAAAAACAAATAGCAGAAATCTAACGGTAAAGAAACAGTATCCAACAGAATGTCAATTTTGTTTTACTACCAAATAGCATTGTTCTCCCACCTAATATGAGGTATTATCAATGTCATTTTATCACTGATTTCATTTTAATGCTTTTTTTTTTTTCCATCACATAAAATAAAGTGAGAGTCAAGACTGGTGATAAAATAATTATAGTAAAAATTCTTCATAAAAAAAAAAATATGAATAAAATAATAACTAAAGCTTCCCAATTTCACACGAGGAAAATTATTAATACTTTAATAAAAACGTACAAGTTGGGAAACATGTCTTTCAAGTAAACTAATATACTCAGAATATACTGAATACAAATATGTGTGCACACAAAAGTTTTAAAACTATTTGAAAACTAGAGACTGAATAAACAGACTGTTGGAAACTTTTGCACACACCTAATACATCCTCATGCAGAGATTATTTCCCATCCTAAATATTGTTATGATAAATGTTCAGACAAGCTACATTCCTTAGTTCTAGGAGTTAAATATACCACATATTCATCCTTATTCCATTCATATTCCATTAGGAAGGAGGAAGTTCCATTCAGACAGCTTCTTCCTCAGAACAATGGTATTGTAGAACAGACTCCTGAGAGGATGGATCTCTGAATACAATGATTTTAACCTCTGCAAGTCTAGAGTCAACCATTATCTATTCTACATATCCTCATAATATACACCCTTACAATAACCCTCTACCTTGAGTGGCTCTTGTATTGGATGACCAATAATATAAAAAGAATCAGTTTATAGCAATAAGAAAAGTATAATATCAAGTTATATATATATATATATATATATATATATATTTCTTTAAAATTATTCCTATGTGACACTATCTAGCTATGGTAATTGATTAACTAATTAGCCATAAAAATTAAACAAGAAAATACTGAGAACGAAAAAGAAGATATCCTGAGATTTTATTTTTACTTTAAAAATGTTACTTTTCACAAGAAACTGGGGATTTGAGTCAACAATAAATTCACAGAAGGGCAATGTGGCAAGCTTTTGACAATTGATTAATGATGATTGTAAAAGTACTGATTAAGAAGACACAAACCACCAGAAAGCGTCGAAGATATTCGAAATTGCAAAGATTTTAGGAGTTGGCCAAGCGACAGGGCCATGTGTTATTTGTAAGAAGAAAAAGGGAATTTCATAAACAAGTAGATAATTCTGAACTCAGAAACCCTGAATAAACAGTGATTTCAAAGAGTTAATTAATAAAGCAAGCTTAACTACACCTATACGACTGAGACGCCATTGGTCAAGTGGTAGCAATGGTGATAGGCGGAGGTAAATTGGTAAGAAAAACAGAGAAATTACTAAGGATTTGGTATGAGGTACCAGTGTGAGAAGGAGAGAGTTTAGGAGCAACCTCCCCTCATGGATGAAGGGGTCCCACCCAAAAATGGAAAATAATTAATTTTCCAAAATGGAAAGTAATCAATTTTCCTAGCTGCACAACAAAGTGGTCCCTTGTCAGTAATCAGGAACTACCAAAAACCTCATGCTGTGTCTAACCCTGCACCGGTCTTTGGTCGAAGTCCATATAAGTGAATGTCCAATTCACTAGTTTTTTTTGTTTTTTTTTCAGTTCACTAGCAGAACCAGAGAGTTGCCTCACAGAAGCTGGCCAAGAGATTCCACGACTTCTGCCTCCAACCCCACCTTTCTACAAAACAGCAAGTTATACTGATGAATAAAGATAAGCCAGCACCTAAAAACTAAACCAGTTGACTTAGAAGACCAGAACTTGCCTAGAAGTATAATAGTGTCACTCTCAGAAGAAACGGGGTGGGAAAAACATATACTCCTGTATATAACAGACGGATAAAAGTTGATTTGTTTTCTTTCAACATACCCGAAGCCTTTTCTGGTTTTTATTTATTTCTTTTTACGCTTATGCGACATCACCTCCAGTTTAGACTCATCTTGTACTACGGCCCGATGCCTGATTGATCTCGTTTACTTGAGATTGAAGTAGTTACTTCGGTAACCAGTCATTGGAGCTGGTGTTGAACCAATTGCATCTGGTGTGAAGCTGTTAGAATCGACCAACCCTCCCATTTGGTACCCTGACCAAAGGATCTTGCCAGGTAGCAATGATCGCCGATTGACTGGGTCACATGTTGGTGGCAGCAACTAAGAGTCAACCCTCAAAACGCTGGTAGAAGTATAACAATACTGTGTTACACTATCTTATTGAAAATAATTCAAAACTCATACACTGGAAGAAACAATATAATTTACAAGTCACATTGTTAGTAAAATTATTTACAAAGGCAATTATGAAACTTAATTATTCCCCATCTCTCCAAACCAAATTATCTTTTAATTGCATTTTTACAAATCAGCAAATTAATGCAATTTTTGTATAGAATAAAAATGCAAAAGTATAAATCTATATGTGATGGTTCATTCTTGGTAAAGTTTGTGTTTGTATGACAATATAAGCAAATTGAGTGTAAGGTTCTGTCTGCCCTCTGTGAAATGCAAGTAAACATAATGCAGAGACTATTAATATTCTGTTTATTTCATGGTCATGTCATAGAGTCTAAGAGAAAAGAACAAGCACATTGTAGAAGCAATAACAAGAAAAAGAAAATCTCAACTCACTGGCAACTGCAACAAATATTTTCCAATGCCTCCAACAATTTTTCCTGCAAAATAATGAGAGATGTTTATCAGTTGACAAGGTATTAAGTAAATTTAGGCCTACAGATAGTAGGACAGCAAATGAGGACAAAACTCACCGCAATGATTGGTTAAGGCTTTCAAAGCACAAATATTATCAGACATAAATTCAGATTAAGTTACTTTGAGAATTTATGCTTATCACTTCTGACCAAAATATTTACTAAATATGTTCAGTGATTGCAAATTAAAAACAGATTTCATCATTAGTTTTGAATACAGTCACACGTGTGTGTGTGTATATATATATATATATATATATATATATATATATATATATGGGTGTGTGGCTGAGTACTTACAATGTTCACTTTCTAACTATGAGACCTGGGTTCAAATTTAAACATGGTTAATTTGTCGGGAAGGTGACTTCTTGACATCAGTCTGGAGAGGAAATCCCAGTGTGAGTCACCTTTGAAAAGTGATTGAAAACCATACTATGCCTTGTGAGTGAAATTGCACATATATTCGCAAATGGCAGCAATGTGTACCATATATTTTGAAGTTTCAAATTAAGAGCAATGTTGCAAATTTTGAAGCTTTAAAAAGTCAAAAGGCTGATTTGACAAAGTTGGAAATGGCAGAAAAGATCAGCAGTTACCACTGAACTGTGTACATAAGTTCTTTGATGATTCTTATACAAGTCTGACAAGGGCAAGTTATAAATTCAATCTTGCTGATCTGGGTTCCTTATCATAAGAAAATTTATTTAAAAAACCCTTTTATGACATGCATTATTTTAAAATTTCTCAACATGGGACCAAAAGCTGGAGCAGGCCTTGTTGGTCATGGTGTCACTAATGACTGCTTTGAGAGCCTCCCTCTCCAAGAGGGAGGTGAACAGCAGACCCTTCAACTCAAAATAGTCAAAAGAATTTCTGTCTGGTGATAAGGGGTGGAGTTGGGGAAGGCATGATTTTGGTGAACAAGTGGCACCTTTGGAGCATATAAGATTTATAATTCAAGTCCTCCTTGACAATGTACCTGACTGTTTGGCTGCTGGTGCCCATTTTCTTGATCATTTTCCTCATGTTTTTGCTAAGGTTCACTTTGCCAATAAACTGTAGTATCCTGGTGGCACTAAAGTGCTTTTTATGAGGCTTGCATTCTGGCCTGAAATTGCCCTTGTTGTCTGATACCACATATTAAGGTATTTAAACCATTCAAGGAATTCCTTGGCTTTGTGGCTGGTGCAAAGGCTCTCTACAACATCAGCTCAATGATTGAACAATAAAAGAACAAGATTCAAAGAGACAAAAGATGACAATTGACATTGCATTTAAATTTTTGAAGATCACGGATGACAGGAAAGCAAAAAAAGGTTAATAAAATGTGTATCTACTAATTTTTCAGTTGTACATCAAATGTATATATCACCTGTCACCACTGCCTACCAGCTTGGCTGCACCCCTGCTATTTTCTTCTCATGATATATATTTTTTTTAATCATTTCACCCCAAGCAAAGTGATAATGTCCCCAAGACGAAAAGGGTTACAGGGTGTGAAAGAGAAGACTTTAGTGAAGAGAAAGGATAATAAAAAAACAGTATTCAATTCAGAAGATGGCAATTGGCATTGCATTTAATATTTGAACATTGTAGCTGGCAGAGAAAAGAAACTATTAGAATAGAATATAAGGTTTTTATCTAGCTAGTTCAACAGTAAAATGGTGAGACCTAGTTGCCAATCTAGTAGTATGCTTAAATTCATGGCAGTTGTGACACCAAGGAAGAAAGCTCATCAAAATAACTGCTATGAAAATATTTGCAGAAAAGACACAGGGAAGCCATGTCATGTAGGTGAGAAAGTGACTGAAGTTGAAATGCCAGATCAGGATCATAAACATTACAGACCCTTCTTTGAATTTTGTCAAGAATCTTGAGTTATATAGTAGGAGCACCAAACAAGATATGGCAACAGTATTCAATGCATGTATGAATGATAGATTTATAAATGTGCAAGATGGATCCTGACAAGAAAAATTGTCTGGTATGACACAGTAAACCAAATTTCCTAGTAGCAGACCTAACAATTGATTCAATATATTCACTTCACTTCATGCTAGTGGAAAATGTAAGCTGAAGTGGCTGACATTCTGTTTTGGAACAGTGAGTTTTAAATAAAAGGCAATAAAATCATCAATCCCTGTCTGTTTCTCATTTCTGATAAATTGCCACATTTTTTTTTAATTTAATTTCAGAGTATTTTTTGGAATCTAACGTTTTTCTTTGGGACATATTACTCTAAGTTCTCCCCAACACATGTGGCATCTTTCATCTCTTTAAACTGTCCAATTTCTTTTTGGAATTTAATCCTCCAATAAACACAAGAAAATTATAATGTTTAAGTGGGGATACTCTTAACAGCCACCTCCTAATCCATAAATTAATTACTTAGATAGTTTAACTATGAGTTAATTAAACTGTCATTGGCTTGTAAAATCTAACTAGGGTGGATTTTTCTCTTGAGCCATATTTCTTAACCCATTATGTTCTTCTTTAAGAAATAAAGCTAATAATGCTGAATATTTTGTTAGCTTACTATAAGTACTTATTTAAAATTTTATTTATTCTTATAAAATTTATTCTCTTCTAATCACTGTCACCAAAAGTCATCCAAATTGAAAAAAAGAGTGTAAGTTTTCTTCTGATAGATTATATAAATTGTTGAAATGTAAACTATTTCAATGATGATCATTCAATTTGGTTATATGATTAACTGGCCTGATATGTTCTCACTTTGAGAAACATTTTAATATTAGACATTTAAAAAAAAGAAAAAAATCCATGTAAAAATAACATTTAACAGTAGCTGCTGCTTATTCTGAGTACTATTTATGACAAAGTCACAAAACATATACAAGTGCATTTGTAAAAAAGGAAAAATAGAATGTTACATATGATTTTTTTTATAATTCTTCCATATTTTTTGATCATATGATACAAATTTTTCATCTTTTCTGAAAACATTTATTTTTTCCCTTTTTCCAGATTATTGCTATCCATATTATTCAGTGTTTGAAAATGATTTGACAATTCAATTAACAAGAGTCTATAATGAGTTCAAAATTTCTTATTTCCCAAAGTAATGTTAGGTAATCTTGCTTAAAATTAATAAAAGTCATAGTGATTTCTTCAAAATAAAATTCTTTGATTTCAAATTTACCTTTCCATTCCATGTTCTTCCTGATAATCCTTTCAAAACAGCTGACAACAGGAGATCTAAGCTGGGAGATTCCAGGTTTTTGCCCAATTTTTTGGCCACAGTGCCAATTGCTGTGGCTGCCTGGGCTTTAGTGTTCCACATTTGAGACTCAAGGCAACTATTGAGAATTTCTGTAATTTCTGTCAGGTAGAGGCGGATTCCAGATTCTGTGCCTAAAAAGAAAAAAAATCAACAAATTTTAAGAAAAGGTAAGGCTTATTAATTTACTTCTTTAGACTTGTATATTTTGGGGTGAAGATTGAATGTCTTCAATTTAAAACCTCATTATTATTTATTTATTCTTATACAATTTGTGCCTCTTTTAGGAATTTATAGACATACTAGACCACCCGTGACCTACTGGGTCAAACTTGTCATGTTTACTGTTTATATTAAATTTCATGAAGAGTTTGTGAAAGTAGAGATATTTTAGAAATACATTTATAGTTATTGAAGTTGCTTTCAACATTAAAAAAATTGTCTGTTTGAAGAAAGTTGAAATAAAAATACTTACTGTATAAACAAATTGTATTTTTAAATCATATATATATATATATATTACCTGCTGAATGTTCAGATTATAAAACTTTGCTTTCAACATTAACAAAAATTGTTTGAAGGAAGTTGAAATAAAAATATTTAAAATATTGTTTGTTTAAAGCTGAAATATAAATAAGCATGCACACAATGACGGGAAGGTGGGAAGAGAGAGTGTTTTTTTTTTTCTTCATTTCCTTCTCTCCCCTTGCTTCCTATACGATAATAAATTCATATCTTTCTTTCACCCACTCTCTATACATGACTTCTGGCAAACACACAAGCAACATTCATAGACTTTTATAGTAATATAGATTTTAAGATTTTGTCTCCTGTTTTTAAAGTTAAGTGCCATGATTTAACAAAATTGGTTTCCAGCAAAGTTGTCATGTAAGTAAAATTATTTATCAAATGAACTTTAGTCTTTTGTATTGATAACTTAAGTGGAGAAAAATTTTTTTTTTCTGGAAAAGAAGCAGTGAAAAATTCATAAGAGGTTCTAAGAAAATGGGAAGAAGTATGAAAATGCATGAAAGTGTTTTTTTCTTTTGCAGTGTAGATTTTTTTGTGAAATAAACTGGGATATGCAGAACACATAGTGTAGCAGTTATCAGTGCAGAAAATAGAATTGATATATAAAGTTCAAATTTCAGCCAAATCTGTTAAATCCAATTTCACCAACATATCCTTAGGAAAAGAATGAATCCATTTCTTCTGCACTTAGGTAGAAGTTAATAGCAGAGCAGACTGGGAGGACAATTTTGAATCCCAAACCTGTTGGGCTTGGGTTAGTAATTCCACCCTATAAAAACCTAGTTGCTGTGGAAACTAGAGCAGCAAAATGCAACATGGTTAAACTGTAGCCCTGGAAATCTACAGGATTGACACAGATAAAATTGTGAAATAAACTATTCCTTATTGGTTCTGTTTGGCTTTTAAAATGTTCCAATGTAGTCTAATTGATTCATAATAGTTTTAACTTTTGTGAATATACACATCTGTTTGATGCTTTGGCACACAGTGATATTTTTAGTCGAGGTTCATTGGGGGTTTCGGGTCTCTCAACATCATACCCCCCTCTCCATGGTGACTCAGCTGATACTGATCAGGCATCAACTTGTGTGCCATCCATCAGCCATAACTTTCCTCACATTTAATCACACACTGTGACTCCTCTTGGCAATTTATAGTCCAATCATGGATAACTTTCAGTTCAACAGCAATGTACACTCTTCCATAAAAAAGGAAGCAAATGCAGTAATGGTTTTGCTCTGGTTGGGAATATGGCAGCATGCTCAGCTTGAAGTGGTAAGTAATGTTCTTTGTCTCCCTCAATGATATACATATATATATGTGTGTGTGTGTACGCACTCACACGCAAACACACACATAAAACCAATTCTACTCATTCTTATGCTATTTCCACATTCATGTTAATCATTCAATCAACAAAAAAAAAAAAAAAAAAAAACATCCGCCTGTGTCCATTGTGCATATATAAAAAAAAATGTAACCCTGGTAAGGAGGCAAACAGGTGCTAGATCTTATCCACAGATCACCTGTAGGTAACAATAGTTCAGGGTACACTAATTCTATTCCCTAGTTGAGACTCCATTGTAGGGTGTAGTTTTAGGTTATACCAAAGCTTTAAATATTAGCAAGTATTATTTTATTCACCTCCCAACTTGATGCAGTGACAAGTGATTAGTTTATTTTGTAAATATGAGGCTGCAATATGATGTTAAATAAATACACTTAAAAACAAAAGCCCCTTCTACTTTATAGACATGCTTAAAAATGTGTAAAAGTATTAAATATAAAACAAAAAAAATGTATTATAATAGTTCAACTCACCTGGGGTTATTTCAAACCAAACATCATCCCAAACTGACATGTTGGTATCTGGATCTAAATGGAGACAAAGCAAAATATTTATAAGATTAAATACTGAAATTGTAGACATTGTGTAGTCTGACAGTGTTGCCTTTACAATGAATAGTCTTCTAAAAATTATTAGGCTTCTCTAAAAGCTCACAAGTGAACAGCAATTGAATATACAAGTGCCTTTTCTTCTATTGCCCAATAAAAAAGAAGATAATGTCCAACCATATGATAAGTGTGTAGCTCAACATTTCCTGTAGAATGTTCAACAAATTTCCTGAGTTAGCATAATTGGCTATCCCTTTCCCTATTGAACATAAGATAATACCTAACTTGCTCTATTAATCCATTTACAACTCTTACCATATGTGTATGCAAATGACACAATGTGTTGTAGAATGGTATGCATACAAGATTACAATACTGTGTTAACATCCAAAGAGTATATATTAATATGACGACTCAGTACTGTTGAGACACAACTTATTTTGAAACCTGTAGACATATTGATCTGTATATGTAATCACTTATTGCAATCCACATTTTATAACCATTTCATCCTAAGCAAGGCAAAAAAGTCACTAAGATGCTAGGAGTTACTGATATTGAAAGAAACTGTTATAAAATAAGACATATCTCGGCAAATACTCAAGAGCAAGAGCCGGATGCGAACGGGACAAAGCCCCATCACAAAATGACCATTACCTTCAATTACAAATGTTCCCGATACACGAGTTCCGGTCGAAAAATAAAATAATAATTAAAGTGTTCTATTTTTCGTCCAATAAAAATGCTTCCCTCCTAATTATACTAAACTTCGTTTTTTCGAGCCTGTTAAGCCATAAAAAACGCTATAAAAGGGGTCACACGGAAGTTCAACGGGCAGTCCACAGGTGCCCAGGGTAGAGACATGTCACGGTCAGCAGCTGACAGCAGGGGAGCATCAACCACCGTCAACATGTGTGAACTACTATGAGAGATCGACCTAGATTCGAAGCCAGCTTATGAACTATACCACAAGGTAGCTGTCCCAAACCCACACGTTCCTGTTGAAATAAACCACATAAATCTATTTCTACTGTTGTCGTATTTCTTTCTTGCAACCATACACTTGTCTATAACAAAACCAAGAATATGTTATTGATGAAAGGAAGAACAATAAAAAACAGGTTTCAAGGAGACAGAAGATGATGATTGACATTGCATTTTAAATTTCTGAAGATCATAATTGAGAGAAAATCAAGAAGCCAGAAGAGAGTTCCTTAAATGAGAAGTGTAAGAGAAGAAACTTTTAGCATAGAACTTACTGTTACAACTAGCAATTTCAACAGTAAAATGATGAGACCTAGTTGCCAATCTAGTACTGGTCAAAGGTACATTATATATAGATTTAATCTTGATTAAACAGAAACATATATTCAAGCTGTTGCCATTTAATTTTCAATCAGTGTACATACAAATGTTGGAGGGAACAGTAATATTGATTTTCAATGATAAAAAAAAAAAAAAAAAAAAATTCTGCTTGAAGATAAAAAATTTAAAAAAATCTCAAGTGATTAAAATAAATTTGCTTCAATAATTTTCATTTTCTTGTAGTGATAGCAATACAAATTTTATTATTTCTTTTCTATTCTCTGGGCATTATTTACGGAATGGCTAAGTAAAATTCACATGTAATTGTCATTTCAGATAATAGATTTTGTATTTGTATTTTTCTCTTCACATCTCCCATGGAAACTTCATACGCAACACAAAGAATAGCAAAAACAGCCAGTTGTTTAACTTTGCATTTGAGTCAATATGGACATAAAAAAAAACACAAAAAGTAAATTTCAAGCAAAAGAATATGAAACATGGAAATTATTCTCACCTTTTTCCATATCTTTCTGTTCATGCATAGCAAAAAATACAAAGGGCATCACCAAAGCGGCATGTCTCTTTAGAATATCAGGGTTGTGATGGCTAACAGCATGCAAGGTTATTCCACAAGCTATTTGAGCAGCTTCATCTACAAAATACAAAAATATTTTAAAATATATAATGATAATGATTATAAAAAGAGATTTCAGTAAGAATTTTGCTATGATTAATAAAAGTTATTTTTAGTAATTGCTGTTGCAGGAAAATCAAGAGTGATTAATTAAAAAGTAATATTTATACCTAACCCTCTAATTGATTATTCCAGTTATAGGAATTTAAAAAAATGTTATTGCTTTCTGAACATCACAAGTAAATTCATTTATAAAATACTTTTAGTTTGTACTGAAATGAGTCTACACCTATAACCTGTCAATGCGCTTTTCTCATTTTGCTGTACAAGTTCTTCCAAAAAGATTTTTTCATTCAATTTTTCTTGCATTTTTAGAAGAATTTTCTCTTCTGGACATAAAGTGCATAAAACTGTCCAAATCTTCTATATGTCCCAGAGCTAGTGATGGGAATACAGATATATAAAAATCTACATCTTTAAAAATAGAAAAAAAAAAAAAAAAAAACTTTTTTCATAATGACTAATACCCAAAAACACCCATATCTAGAACATTTGGACAATTTTTACACACTTCATATCTAGAAAAGAAAATACTTGTATGAATGCAAGAAAAATTGAATAAACTTGAGGGATTGCTCCCCAAATATATATATATATATATATATATATATATATATATATATATATATATATATATATATATAATAGCATTCTGACTTTTAGAATTAAATCTGACAAATTGCACTGTGTATTTAGAAATTCTTTTTGGGCTATAAATGTTTATTGTCAAAATATTGGGTAAAATCAAAATAAGTTATCATAATTACTATATTATAATCTGTTAATTTATAAAATTATATTTGACAATGAAATATTGCATGGGATAAATTAAAAAAGTAAAGGGTTAATATTCATATTATTAAAATTAGAAATGAATTGAATGTTAAATTATCTAAATGAATAAATAACAACCATAATCTTATTTGTTTTATTATTTTGTTGTCCTCTTTTTTCTTGTTTTACTCAGTTTCAACAACTGAACCCACCTTTTTCCATATACCAAGTTTTCAGTTTCATCATCAACTTTTCAGTGCTGCTATCATTAGCCACCTGGATATTAAAAGAAACAATAAATGTCCAGAATAAATGATAAATAATAACAATAAATGGAAAAGGTTTTTTGGAAAAGCCAGATGTTTGTTGATAATTCTTTTCTATATTTTGGGTGTACAACCATATCACATTGAAACATTGGTTCCTATATGATCACTGAACCAACATCAAGCCTGGTCAGTACCTAGATAGGTGACCGCTTGGGAATACCAAGTGCTGTAAGCTTGAATGTGCCAGTGGCGTAATGGGTAACATAACTGGAAACTGGAGAGCCAAGTTCCACTTGAAGTCAAGTTTGTTATAGTCACTTATTTACAAATACTCTTGGGAAAGGTAGGAATCCACTTCTCTCTCAGCTATAGGCTAATAAGTAGGACTTGTATCAGTAAATCATATTATCACCCAAAGTGGGAAAAATCTAGTATGGCAAGAGAAGTGTTCACCCCTACCCCATTTGGCATATTCCTAAAGTGGGAGGGAAATTTGAATGAAGCTGTCTAGATAAGTCTTATAGAAAGTTGTATAAGTCAGGTTGGTGCAAATTTAACAAGAAAAGGGTGAAAGAGGGTAATTGTTCATATAAAATATAGAGTTGCCCATATCACATTCATTAATGTGATGTTTAGTATAATATATTTGTCTAATCAGTATTTTACCACCATTGGAGATGATACCTGCAATAACCCTACCTTCTCTATATGGATTGTAGACCTGATGAAAGTTGAAGACTTGATAGGCTAAGATGTTGTGGTGACAATAAAAATTCAATATTCTGAATAATTTTTTGAAAGCCAAAGTTCATGTGATAAGAATTTGCTATGAACTGCTGTTCTCGTCTTGGTTGGTATAGATGCTTTTATAGACACATTACAGTGAAGATGAGAACAACAGTTTCAAATAATTTAAAATATATTGACATTGATCCAAGAGATATCTGAGGGGTTGTATTTTTTCAGTTTATGTAATCAATGTTGGTTTCAACATTTAGTTATTATGGCAGATTCATATTTCATAATTTAGTATTTCATTTTTCAGATGAGTAATTGTCTATAATTTAAATTATTTCAAACTATTGTCCTCATCTTGTCTGATATAGATGTTATTATCGACACAATGTTTTGGCCAAGTACCTGCTATATGGATGTAAAATTGTGTCACATGACAATGGTAAATAAATAGATGCATGCTGGATCCTTATTATTATTAATTTATTATTGCGTTTGATATAAGTAATATTGTATAATGTGTGTAATAATAATTAACTTATTATTTTGTAACATGAACTGCTTTTAAAAGGAATCCTATAGGCTTATGGGTAGTCTTGTATCACCTAACACAAACAGAAACTTAAAGACTAACATGAATAATCTATATAATGTGAATGTCAGTATGTCACTGTGTCACACTTTTTCAATTAAAGGGACACAATTCTCTAACTTTCAATAGCTCTTCTTCTGTATAATAAATGCAAATGTCAGTGTGTTACACTTTTTTAACTTTACTCCTGGAGGCTATAGCCCAACATAATATACCATTTTGGAATCAGGCAGACTCCATGAATGAATTAAAAACATTCTGGGTCAGATCTGGACCCACAATCCTGAAATTTTGGATTCCCTATTTTTTATTACTGCTATTGTTTTTGGAGATTTTTGTACATGATTTTTTTGTGACAAATTTTTTTCTATAATAACAATTTTTATAACTTGGAAATAAATTTGGGAATAATCAAAATTAATTGAGAAATCCAGTAAAAGTCACACACAAAATAAAAATAATTGTTTGTATGGAAAGTAAGGAACTACATACATTAAACTGTCTTTAAATTAAGAACTTGTTGAACTTTTAAAAAGTAAGCTTAAATATTAATGCAATACTTAAGTGCAGCAATCAATTTTGATTTCTTCTGTAGTTTATTGTTGCCTATTGCATCTACTCCATCCTACTTATTGTGATGAAGGCTTAATCAAGAGCCCTCTGCAGGAGCTAGCTTAAATAGGGCAGCTTTTAAGCTAGTAATGAATAAATGTTATTTCCTCAATTGCCTTTTTGTGCTGAATAATAATATTGACTCATAACTTATATACAGAAAAAATATTTGTTCCTAATATGATTTCTTGAATAAAAGCAAATTTGAACATGACAACAAATACTTATTTGTAGCAAAATCACAGATGATCTTGTAAAGCCAAGTAATTCCAAATCAGAATAATAAATAAAAGAATAAAAGACTTGTAGCTATCCATGTCAAAGAATGATTTCATTTATTTTAGAGAATCTCAAAGTGGTCAATAAATAATCAAGCTAGACACTTAAATTCAAATAAGGACATATGTTTTTAGAAATTAAAAGGAAGTCCTCAGTACTAATTACTTACCTTGACCAAATGACCAAGAGCAGAAGCATAGGCTTTTCTCACAGCCACATTTCTGTCAGACAATCCTGTCAACATGGCTGACATTAATCTACCTACAAACAATACAAACCTTTCATAGATTAGTAACAAAAACAGTATAAAATAAATGGAATAAATAATAGACAAGACAACAGCCAAGACATTATTGATATTTATTGAATCCTGCCATGACTGATAATAATAGCTTTTTGTTGTTATTTCCTTGACAGATAAGAGTCAGGTATAGGAGAATGATTTATTCATGTCCATCCTCCAAATCACTTCATCAAAATATTAAATAAAATAATAGATGCTGAAAAGTTATCTGCCAGACCCACTTCCAAAAATCCATCTTTCAATGACTTAAAAACAATACTGATGTTAGAAAATAGATCAAAGTGACAACTTTTCTAACTGCTGTTGGCACACACAATACATGAAATTAGACTATCGTTCAAACATCAACAATGTGTTATATTTGCAGTATGTAGAATTCATAAATTAATTAAGTTTACATTTGCTCATAATATAGTGAAGCCTAAAAGAAAAAAACGTACATACAAATGCTATTTAATAGTGTTAACACTAACAATGACAATAGTAAAACAATTTTTATAAGGAATGTTTGATAGAAATACGACTGAAGGATTTTGATGAAGGCAATAAATAAAGGATATTTGTACAAAAATTGGAAACATTTATTTTTAAAAGGAAAAAATTAGAAATAATAGAATTAGCATTATTGTAAGCTTAACTTAGTCTAGCACAAGGTCATAGTAGTACGAGACTCTCAATGATCGTGGCTTTCTCTAAACTGCCTTTAAGCTTGTATCAAAGTATAGTATCTATTTTCTCTTCGTATGAGGGAAGCCCAGTTCCAGGTATTTCAGCCCTGTGGCAACACCTTTCTCATTGCACTAAAGAGACATGGTTGATGAATACCAATACCAGCAAGACAGTGTTCATGGGGGACTGGTCACTTGTTGTTCATGGCCAATATGTATGCATATGTGCACCTCACATTCAAAACAATCTTGTGTCATATCCTACCCCCAGGGGTAGTTAGGTAAATACAATTGGCAACGATGAAATGATAAGACTAATTTTCTCCAACCTGTCCGCTTGTATCAAAGTGCAGTAACTATTTTCTCTTAAAGTTATAAGAGGACCCTGGTCCTGGAGATTCTAAACTTGCAGCAGCACCTTCCTAATTGTATTAAAGAGGGAGGGAAGGTTGGAGGATTACAGACATCAGCATGACAGCGGGTCTTTGGGATGAAGGAATTTTCATCCTTGCAGAGATCTTCACATTAAATTGACATGCCACTGAGGGGAGGGGAGGTAAATAACAAATTAATTCTTTACCTAATGATCTGCCCAACTGGCTTGTTAACCATTGCTAGTTGGAGTTTTTTTAATTTTTATTTAATACCATAATATTTAACAAATTGATAACAATAAATTATGCAGAAAAACCTGCAAGGAATTACTGAAAAACTATATTAGAATATAATTAAAATGATCTGCTTGTAATATAACAGGTTAAAACTTGCCTGCATGAGGTGAAAGTTCATGGGGACATTGGGTTACCAGTGAGGTGATGAAACTGGCACAACCAGCCTGAAAACAAAAAAAAGAAGCTGTTAAATATAACAAAATCACTGAAATATCAGGATTTCCTTTTTTATTAAAATTTATTTTAAGTTCTTTTTTTTTTTCTTTGTTTAGAAATAATTTTAAGAAGCACAATTAATCCTCACAGATGGGAATAAATTGTAATGGAATATTTATCTATGTTGATACATCATAGCACTTGTCGAATGTTAGATTCTTGCACATGATTCTACAATTACTGCAGTTGTTGTAAAAGTGATGCAAATCTTATTTTGCCTTAAAATTAAAGTCTGAATTACTTTTACACGTAAAATACTTATATACAAATTATTCTGATTAAATTAAATCACAGGTGGTGGGGACAGAAAAGTGATAGACTACTGCAACAATGAAGTAAAATTAATATGAATTTATTTGAATTTTCATAAAATATCAAAGTGGTTGATATTTAAAATTTCAAGCATTTTTCATTCAAATAAAAAGCATTTTAATCTGAAAAATGTATGGATAATGTCTTTGTTTAAATCCCAACCAAATGAATCAATCAGAAAAAATCCTGTTCCCCTGTTATAAATATAAGTAATATTTCATAGGAGCTAATTTAAATTTTATTTTATGAAATCAATCCCTTTTGGTAAAAAAAACAAACTAAAGAATAATAAAAAATTGACATGATTCAACAAGATGATAGAGTTGATTAAGAAAAATTTAATTTTACTTATTTGGTACATTCAGCACAACTTGAAACAAAATGCCTGCCAGAAATAGCCTGGAAGACCAGAGAAAATAGATGCAAAATATAAACAGAAAAAAAGAATACAATTACTGTTGCCTTGTATCTGATTATGATATTGTTTATAATATTTTAAGATATCGTCTTTGTTATGCTTTCAAGAACAAATGGTAACTTGTTGCCTTGATTGTAGCGAAATATACAAATATTGATAAATCTTTTTGTCTTCTCCAGACTTTCATTCAGGATAAAAAAGATTAAATCGATCCGATAAATGTCCAAATAATTAATAAAAATAATCTATACAAGACACATTTATTTAATTTCAAATTAAAATATTAAATTCTTTGGTCTCCTAATCTTGTGCTTCTTTATGTTTTGAAATCTTCACTAGCCCCAAATTTACATACATTTATATGCAGCTTCAATTTGTGCTCCCCAGCAATGTACCATATTATCTGGACCTCTTCCCAGAAAAGGTAGTGAGATTTTTTTTTTGCATCCAGAATTTTTTTTGTTGAGAAAGGATTAGTGAGCATATAATAAAATGAAAATATTTATTTTACAAGTATGACTGATAACTGACATGATGGACTGATCCAATTAGTATATTAGCCATTGTTTTTCTTTTCTTGATTAAAAAAAAAAAAAAGACCCCTCTCCAACCAACCAGATTCTATAAAATTTGACTTGGGGTAAAGATAAAAAGAACAAAAAGAGTGAGATCAATAGTTTGAGTATATTTTTTTCATGCCATCCATTTCCAAAAGAAAACACTTAATTCCTTGCACCTAGAACAGGAACACATTATTATTTGCATAATAAATCATAGAACTGAGATATGGATGATGGTCATTAAAAAACACAAGAACCAAATTCAATCAAGTTTAAAAGGGTGTAACTCCCTTTTGTTTTGATTTGAATAGACAACTATGTATATGCAAAGATTAACTCTTCATCAAGCAATATTATATTCATACCATCAGACATTGACAAAAATAGACTACAAAATTTGGTTATTTAACCCAGAATTTAAATACTAAATCTTTTATAATTTATTACATAAGGCTTAAGAGAAAAAGAGAATTCAATTTCAACAAGTTGTATCCTAAACTGTTTGAAACCACAATATTTATTATACATTCCATCCGCTATTCTTTACTAGAAGGGTGTGTCGTAAGATGATATCTCTATTTTTATGATTCCTTAAAAGGTGTTCAAGTATTTTTATTGAACATTTTTTAAGAAGCAAGCACACAAACAGCCACTGACCTTGGTGCCAACACCAATTCCACTCTTGACCAGTTCCACAAGACGTGGTACTAATTCAGGGAGGACAGAACTATCCACATACTGAACACACTGTAAAAATAAACACATTAATAAATATATCTTCAAAATCAAAACAAAACATGTTTACATGAAATTCAAACTTAAAGGTCAAATCAATATGAACTCATGTTACAGACCTAAGTTTTATTTGAGATAAATTTTAATTTATTTTTTTCAATATAAATAAAATAAATATAAAAAGCATTTCAAATAACTATGAACATTTATTTCTCGTTGTATTGAAACAAAATTAAATATTATCTAATTTCAGTGAAAACTTTTCCAAATAATTTTAACATTTATTTATCAAACTTGAAAAAAAAAAGACATTAGTCTGAAGTCAGTAAAATCTATTGTGAAATATAGCTCTTAAAACAATTTAAAAAAGTAAAAAACTTTAAACATACAAAATTGACGGTCTCCATCATTGGAGATGATTTTGAAGCAGCAATACGAGCTAAATCCAACTGTAAAAAAAGAAAAAAGGATGTTGAAAAAAATGAATACTCAGTACTTAAATACAACTATGTAAATAAATCAAACATTTATGATATTGTTGCAATGTTAGTGATTATTTTGGATTTGCTTAATGCTGAAAAGTTTGCAACCTGAACATCCAGATTGGTAAAAAATAAAAAAAATTAAAGTTGTGAAAACTGCAGCTGATATTAAATATCAAGATGGCAAACAACACTTCAAATATACTAGTACCATCCCAAAGAAAATCATTCACATGAATAGAAATTATTCTTTGCACTTTGCCATTGTTGTGGAATAAAAACAGGAAATTATCCAAAGAAGCCCCTTTTCAGAGAAAGGGACATGAACTAATTTCCGATTCTAATATATCATGCTCCAGCTGTATCATATATGTCCAAAGTTTGCATTGAAATTTCAGGTTTGAGTTATAGGTAAATGTCTTGTTCACTCTGACATATTTACTATTTAGAAAACATCTAATGGTAATGGTAATATTAGCCATTTCCTTGTTGTGGTTAAACTAAAAGGAGTGGCAAACAAAATTTACACATGTAAATGACAGGTTGTCATTACTTGCAGAGGTGAAAGGAAATGGAATAAATTTAATTGAGGCGATATCTTCTTGTGTTTTTATATAACAGAGTAACAAAGAAAAAATACACTAGTATGAGTGTAAAAGAAAGAAAAACATTAAAAGAAAGCAATTATGAATTATTATCAGAGAAAGCAATTGCATACAGTTGACTAGTTTAGATATTTCTGAATAAGTTTAGTACTATACATGGAATCCATATAAAAAGCTCAAGCTGTTAAGACTATTTAAGAACATGACTTTAATTTTTAGGTTAATGCTTTGGTTTTGTAGCAACTTGTGATGCTGTGTGAAACTCCTCCTAACACTGCCTATTCTATGTTCAACTTTGTTATCTCCTATACTAAATTTGTTTTAAATGATCCATACACTGAGATATTTGGAGTACTTAGTATTTACTAATTCTGTTTCCTGTATTTTATGATGTAATCCAAATTATATGCCATCTCTGCTTTCATTCCTATTCCATATCATAGTTTCTGTTTTGGAAAGGTTTATCTTGAGTCCTACTTCTTGGAACACTTGGTAAAGAATATTAATTTTTTTTTTTGTCCAAGATCATTATTAACCCAACAATGAATACCTAAGTTGTCATCATAGCCCCCCCTATCCCTTATCATCAAGTATACTGGCCTCAAGAGTGAAAGCAGGATTGCAGTTTTCTATGAGAAAGAAAATGGTATACAAACTGCTTCTCTGAAACAAGTTGTAAAATATTTGTAGAAATTCGTTCTATTTTTCCTTATAGCATCTTTCTACAAGACTGGCTACATCATAACTATGGAATCTTTTACTTTTTCAGACACAACCCATCTGACAAGAGATTGAATTCTCATCTTGATTTTCTACCACATCCAGTCAGGTTTATTAAATTCATTTATATGCAAATACCCTTGAGAAAAGTAAATGGAAAAATCAATGTTATTCTCAAAAACATGCATTATTCATTCATTCAAAAAAAAAAAAAAAAAAAAAAAAAAAATTATCCTTACAATTCAAAAAATATGTTTAGGCTTTAAATAACCCACAAAGGGTTGATAAGCTGTATAAAAAAAAACAAAAAAACAATCAACTCTACTTCATCAAATATACCTGTTAAAACAGGATCTTCCTCTATAAACTGAGTGATATCCCTTCACCAGAAAAATGTTCACTGAGAAATTTCAATAAACTTAAATAATGCCTAAAGGTTAAATCAACCTTTGGCAGGAAGGGAGACAAGCTACTACCACTGCTTAGAACATATCCCTTAAGCTGAGGAGTAGGAGACTAACTTCTTCAGAAATTTGTTAGCCAAGGATGTTAGGTAGGATCACAAGAGTTAGCATAGTTAACAATACCATTAAAAATCTAGTTTTTAATTTCATTTTTCTTTGCAGTCATCACTTCATCCGAGTTAAGCAATACTGGCATTTCCTCTTCATTTGGTACAATTTTCAATTTATCGAATTTACTGAAACAAACAATCCAACTAGTATGGTCATCAGAATCAGATTTAATATTCTAACAATGCTTACATATTTTCTATTGGTTTTCTCAACATGACTCAAAATCTTATAAAAAATATGCTGACCTGTATAAGAATATTTCAATTCTTTGAAACTGTTGTCCATTGGTAATGTTATTTTCCTTTAACAGTAATTCACTGCCTTCTACTAAGTCAATTTGGACTGAATCATCACCATCATCTGATGGTAATGATATTTTACAGAATTATTTTGCTGTTCATTATAATTCAAAACACCAACTAACATAGGAATCATAATTAACATCTGAATTAAACAAACCAAGTGTGAAATTTGGTTTATAGTTTCCTACACTGAACTAAAACTAATTTTCTATCATGTCCAATTCCCACACCAGGTCCATTCTTTACTATCCTTTTTTTTAACACTACACCTGACTGCCATTTGTCAAATTTTCAAAAGGTGTGTTTACACTGGATTTACCACAACTAAAGAAATCCTTATTTTGCAGCATGCATTGTATTTAAATTATCTATAACTATGATTGCTGAAGAAACTCATTCTAATGCATGGAGATGTCTTTCAATGACACCTGGAACTGTATGATTGAATCCCAAAACTAGTTAGGTGAAGATCCAGAAAAAAATTTAACAAAATGTGCAGTTACTACACAAGAAAGTGCAATGTCAATATTACATAAAATATCAGCAAAAATCTTACAAATCATATCACCAATTAGAGCATTTAGTCATTTGCAAGTACAAAATCACTAATGATCATAAAATATAATTCTTCCCACCCTCCATACTCTTTAATATCTATAGAAAGTGATTTTCCTTTATTTTTGTTGCTAAAAGAATATAAGTCAGGAATCTTTTTATTTTCTGTTATAAAGTTTGTATAATGCTCATAGTTCTGGTTAATAATACTGTAAGGAAACACTAGAACAAAAATGTTGAATGAAGAACATGGTTAATCACATGGGAGACATGAATTAATAATACAGTAACAGAGAATACCATAGTTCAGTGCAGCAATGCATATGACCCAAATACTCTATTTTGCAATGTCCATTTCTATGAGCAGACGTTCTACTCCTAACAGAGGAATAAGTCCATTTTCAACAATTAGTGTAGAGAAGGTCGGTTGCCTTTCTCCACAACATTTTCATACAATTATCATGCTTTGTTTATTTTATTGCTTATGTAATTTCAGATTAATCTTCTTTGCATAAGCATCAGTGGATATAATAACAGTGACTTGTAATTCCCAGTTTTCTAATTATGGATAACAAGAAAATTTAATGACCTTAAGTTGTTTTTCTTCTGTTTCAGATAATTCCTTCATTTTCTGAATTGTCCATCAACATATGATAGTGAAGTGGGGGGGGGATAATGTTGTATGGTGAAGTTGAAAAATTGTTAAACTATCATTTGTAGACATAATGTTAAGTTCATTATAACAAAAAAGATGTTACTGCAGAGTTTTCAACCCAAAACAAATTTGGACATTTTGTTCACACACTTGTGTAGTATCTTCACCTTATAGACTTATATTCCATGTCTATTATTTTAACTGCATTCAATATAAGGCAATGTAAAAAAAGACTATTTCAAAGCTTTAGAAAATAACTGATGTCTTTCAATTCCTCTATAAGTTGCCCAAACTGAAGTGGCTCAAAATCAGAGGCAGCAGCCTAGTGGATAGTTTCACCTGCCCCAACTTGATGAAATATCCAGGTAACTTATTTAGTCTTAGAAGAACCTATTTATAGAGAAGTGAGGTCAAACTATTAATTTAGAAGGTTCCATAATAAATATTTTTTTTACACTGACCATTTAATGATCACGTATCAGATTTGTTTTGGGTAGAAGAATCTTTCAGCACACCCTCGTAAATGAAAGAATTTTTGTTAATTCAAAAAAGGACACACACACAAAAAAAGATAAAACTTTTTCTCATTTTATTTTGGAACATGAAGAACCAAAATTTTTTTTGCTATTGAGATTGTCTCTGTAAAGCAAGAAGGTTAAAAGAGCAAAGAAGGAGGAGGAGGACGACAACAACAACAACAACAATAATAAAAAAACAAAACAAACACCTGAAAAAATTTTTTTAAAAAGTAAATATTTTTAAAGCATGAGTAAAACTAATTAAGAAGGAAGTCTGTTTACCTTTTCTTGGGTGGCCTGACTACCTGCACCAGCTCTCACAGACAGATAATTCATCACTTGGGGTTCCAATCCACTTACTGCCTCAAGTAAAGCAATCACTAACAATGGAATGTGTGGTCTGATGAGTTTGCCTGCATTTTTGCTCATCTTTAAAATTGTTGACAATCTGTCAAACAAAAAAAAAAAAAAAAAATACTTAATGGTCAATTGTAATTCAATACTAAAAATACAGATTATCTTGAACATCATGGATTTTCTAATCACAACAGAATATTGTTTTATTATTCTATTTTTCATAAACTAATATATGAAAACAAGACAAGCTAAAAAAAAATGAAATTAAACATAAGTTTTGAACATATGTACTTTAAAACATCTCTCAAAATAGCAATAAATAATAGTATCAATAAAATCAATATGGTTCTCTGGTATTAGATAAATTTTTGCTGTATATTTTAATTTTTGTTCTTGTGACTATTCAACATTTAAAATTCCATTGGCATTTGTTTTTTTTTTTTTTAAATTATATGTCTGTTACTTATATGATTTTTAAAAAACTAACTCTCATACATCTCACTTGTAGAACTCTTTTCTGACTTCTTGCTTTTCAGTCAACTTTGATTTTCAAAAATTTAAATGCAATGTCAATCGTTATGTTGTATCTTCTTAATTCATGTTCTTTCATTGTTCTCTTTCCTTAATAGTGTTTTTTTTTCTCATATTCTCTCACATTCTGTAACCCCTTGCATCTTAGTGGCTTTATTGCTTTGCTTGGGGTGAAATGTTTAAAAATAAATAAATAAATAAACTAACTAGTGTTTATTTTTATTTTCAAAGCAGTGCAGTCATATAGTAGCATACAAAACAACCTGTTATATGACATATTTTTATTATATTGTGTTGGGAGTGTTGTTTAGCTTAGTCTGTATTGCAGAGTATCCAACCAAAACGGCAGTGCCAATGAGAAATTGTGAGCAGTGCCCATGAGAAATCATTGGCAGTGTAATTATAGTTATTTAATTTCAATAAATGACAATTTCTTATTTTTCTCAAAACAGGCCAGCACAGACAGGCAACAATGCTATAAAAATGCAGCAGTGAAACCTTTAATGAAAATGATCTCATTTCTTTCATGATTAGCCTGAAACCCAAAATTTGTACAATCATTACTTTGAACATTCTGTAGGAATTAATTATTTCTGTGTTTGATTCAGTCTAAAAGCCTTAATCTGTCATTTAATTATTTTATTTTGCCTGTAATATAGCCTGGCAATTATGAAAGGTTTCATCCCCAGTAGAAGACATCTTCAAATTTTCTGCACACTGGTTGTGGCACACAACAAGATTTTTCAAAATTCAACCTTGAATAAGAAAATAAGTAGCTTTGTCTTTCACTTCAAGATAATAATTTATAGTACTTACCCAATCGTACGAACCTCTTGCACTTGGCTCTGTAAACTGTGTTTCAAAAGACAAGGCAGCACAAGGCTGAATGCTTTCTCACCAACTTTTCCATTATTCACATCACATACTTTTACGGATATCTGTAATATTACAATGAGACATATACGCATCAATTATTACCTTTGAGACAAAGATTCTGTAGAGTATTTTAAATTAAATTAAACAATCAAAATTATTAAATGAGCTAATTTCAGATGTTTGGATATTTACTATAGAAAAATCGATTCTGATTTTAAAACAATAATTTATCCTTAATAGCCCAATGGGGTGAGCCGATTTTGGAACCGTGGTAGTGCACTCAATTTGAAAGTTAGGGTTTGACCTGATAAGTAATGACAAAATATCTTCTTCCAAATCATTATCGTTTTTTGAGGAAATGAGTTTAAAAGATTAATTTTAGGTAGAAAACATAGCGATCAATTTCGTTAAAGTGATCAGTGAAAGCTCATAACTCAGCCTTATAAAATTTATAATTTACTGAATCTTTACGAATTGTATATGGACAAGACACATGACACAAGCTCATTATTAATAAATCATTTTGCCATCAAATATGACCTTCATTTACTCCAAAGGGAAATTATACTGAACAATTTAGCTATAATGTGATGTACTATGTTATAGAGGGCATTAATTTTAGTGTGATTTTCAATAAACAATGCAAATTTAAACATTGTCTTATTATTTGTGCCCAGCCATATTATAGTATTATATATTCTTTTATCTATTTTTTGTTATTAATTATGATCTAAAAAATCTTATTCATTGAATAGCCTTTTTTGTAATCTTTTACAATTTTTTTTTTGTTTTTTTTTACAGTTTTTATTTATTGAATATAGTAAAATAATTGCATATTTTATTTGTAGTGATTCATAATTAGAATTCTAGTTTGAATATATTTTGTATGTAATATGTATCTAATACAAAAGATATCAACTTTATTTGGATTTATTTTTGAAATAGTAAATTTTGAAGTCAGTTTGTAAGCAAAAAACCTCAGGAAATTAGGTATTTCTGTACATTTTTTTTTTCAGATGATCTTTAAAACTAAATACTCAAAATGATTACATACATGATTATTTAGGCAGTTGATTGGCTAAAATGTCTTCAAAAAGAAACTGATTTAAATTTTACGATCTTGACAACACATCTTTGCGTTAGACTATTTGAAGTTTTTCTTATCTGAATTCTGTTACGTAAGGCGTTTTGATTCAAACTAATTTCATTGTCCTTTTTCATTTTCTTTTTCCTTCCCCACAATGTTTCACTGTGTACTGTCTAGCTTAGCTTTGATGTCTGTTGTATTCTAGAATGATGTTGAATCAGATTAGGAGTGTGCAGCACATGTTCTCTAATATACATCACATCTGGTGCTAGCATATCTGCATTCTTGGAATTGTCTGTTTCTGATTACAGCAATGACCCCATGACCTCCTGCTTAGCTTTGCATGTGCTCTTATCTCTTGGCACATATTTATTAATTGCTTCTACCAGATTCATGGTTCCCATAAATTATTAATGTTTAAAGTTGATATGCTGACTGTGTTATCTCTGCATAGTATGTAGGTATATTCTTTCTGATTTCTTATTTTCTAATGCTGTTTGTAGTCTATTTTGACTTGATTCAATAAAGATTGGTGTGTCCCTCTCTCCCTTTACCCACGGTTAACTATATAGTTAGCTTTAAAAGTGTCCAAAGTGTTGACAGTTTCAATGTGAAGTCAAAAGGGGACAATTCCAAGGTCATGAAGACACAAGCACTGAATATGACATGCATGAAAGAGGATACATATTCTCTCCCAGAACAATATTCAACAACATTATAGAACAATAGATATCCAAATAAAGCAAAACATTAAGAAGGAAAAAAAAAAAAAACAATAAAAGAGGAGGAAATTACTCTGAACCAATCATATATTATGAAAGACTTTTGTAGTAAGTGTTTTGATATTAAAATAATGGCTGGCCATTATTCTTTGAAGCAGGATTAAAAGATTTAGTTTTGCCTAGTCTAGATTTTTATGTCATCAACAATATTTCAACAATTTTGATATTCTTAAATATCTTCTTACAAATATCAGAAAAAAAAATGTTTGGAGAATTTTTCAGAGCTTCAGCAGTAAAGAAATACTGAATATAAAATGCCACATTATGAAAGGTTTTAAAAATACTATATAATGTGTGAACATTAATGAAAAGACCTTAAATTTTTTAGAAAAAGACAAACTCTGTAAAAAAGAAAACCGCTTAAATAAGCCCTCCACTATTCAGAGAAATTAAACCTGATTACTTGGTATCATAGTGAAAGTAACCTGAAGCTTACAGAAAGAAAAAATCTTATAATACTGATTGTCCCCCTCCCATAGTTACCACAACCTTTACATCCTGCCAATACCTCATAAATAATGAACTATTGTATTTTGATTGTGTGGAAAGACAGAAAAGACATAGAGAAAATACTTAGTTTCAGAAAGAAAGAAAAAAAAGGGATGATAAAATTGTTTAATGTCTGTTTCAGTGAAATGGAAAAGTTATCAATTTCAAATTTTTTCATTGCACTTCTTAAAATAATGAGCAGCATTTATATTTATGATTGTTATTACAGAATTTTGTTAAAGTTGTTAAGCTCAAATATTTAATGATGTGATAGGGGAATTTCTATGCATACTTCATTGTCATAGAATTTACTATAGAGTTTATTCAACCACTTGAGAATTAAAACTGAAATAGGAAAACTGAAATTTTCAATAATATTTCTAGTAAAATAATAATATTGAAGGACCTTTGTTGATTTATGAAAACCAAAAAATGGATTATAAAAACAAAAACCACAAAAGAGAAGAGAATAACTTCCTTACCTGACTGAGATTCTTGCAAGTCTGATCAGCAGCAGTTCGGACAGATTCCTGTAAATATAAACAAACTCTTAATTACTATCACAATACATGATAATAAACTGATATTTTTCTATGTGAACTAACATCTTTTACTCAATTTTTATTTAAAGATGAGAAATGTTTTATCTTGTACATCATTTCTTGTTTGAATTTCACTAGATAAAGTCTTTGAATTATTGCACAGAATTGAGTTTGGACTAATTTTCTTGTCTTTCTTTGTTTCTTCTTGAAACAACTTTTCAGCTATGTACTCTTCAACCATTGTAAGGTATATTCAGATATATTTCAGATCACAACAAACATGGAGGGTACATGACATAATGTTGTGAAAAACTAAATTTAAAAAAGGATATTAGTCTGAACTAATAACATAAAATTAGTTAAGTTACTGTTCTATAAATTAGTCACAAGTAAAATGCAGTACAACATAATTCTGAAAAGTATAACACTTTCTTGATAAAGAAACTTTTTTTATTAGTTCAAGATCAAATTAGACATCAAACTGACAGTTAAGTGCATAAATGAAATACAGACTTGTTGGTCTCATGTTTTTAATAGTTTGTAGTAACATCTGTATCAAAGTCATTTGTAGGATCAAATGTTACATAGAGTAAAATCAAATCTTATAAAAAAAGTTGAATATTTGGTTAAAAGAACAGAAAAAAAAACTTTTTCCATTTTTACAAGCAAAAAGCTGCCATAGTAATTTTACCATAGGTGTTATAATGTCTAAAGGAGAGTAGTTAACAATAGATTTGTTTGCATTTCTAACAGAATGAAATTATTAGTGATTTATAATCTGATATAAAAAAATAATGAAATGAGGATAAAAATAAAATAATCATCAAAAATTTTCAATAAACTTAATTTTGATTTAGATTGAAACTAAGATATTTAAATAATATGAACATATCACACTGAGACACACTGTAAAAGATATGAAACAATATCAATAAAAAATTAAAACATATAAAAAGATTTTTATGCACACATGAATTATTTCAGTTTGTTCAAATATGTTGATGCATTTTTTTAAAGAAATTGTTGAAAATGTTAATTTTTTAATTGCTTAGTTACAATGTGTTATATAAACTAGATACTTGTGGTAAACTAATTTTAATTTAGTGAGAAAATAACTATAAGCACTAACTTTTATTTACAACATATATGTTAAAAACAAAAAAGAACTTATGAACTGTCAATAAGTAAATCAATTTTAATTTTTTTCTGCAAAAATTGCATTCAGTACCTCAAAAAAGAACTATTATTCTTTCTTCCGTTGTAACAGGCTTTACCATAATTTCCAAGCCTTGAACTGGGATTATTTTCAGTTTTTTTATTATGTCTAATTTTCTTGTATAACAAATTATTTTCATGACCTAACACTCTTTAAACTTCAAGGTAGACACAAAAAAAATATAGCTTATATGATAGCTTATTTGATGACAATAAACCCCTCAAAAGAAGGATGCTAAGTATGCTAAATTGTATAAGATGAGAATAGTGTTGTAGTTTTTCTTTTTACCTACCTTAATGTCATCTCGTACTTGGAGACAAATCTCCCAAAGTGCAGGCAGTTTGTCAACAATGTCACTCATTTGACGTCCACGTAACAAATCACTGACTGCATGGCAACTGAAAATATAATTACAAAGTAATTCAAATTAATTTTTGCCATAAAAACTAAAATATACAGAAGATGAATCAGGAAAACAATATTGTGAATTACTAAGATTTTTCAAGAAAAATGCCCAGATTTTTCTGTTTTTTTATCAAGAATCTCTAAATATCATTTGGATTACCATTTATTTTGATCCCTACAAAATTTTGTGAATGGGAAGAACTTCAATCCATTAAAAGCCTGTAAAAACCATTTAGACCAGTTCATCACCTAAAAAGATGCCAAGTTTGTGGAAGATGGAATCATGAAGCTATGTCAGATGGTAACCAAATATTTTATTTGGAATTCACTTAAAGATGCAATTAACTCTGTTCCAACTAATATATAGATATATGTAAAAATTTCAGATAAAATATATTTCTAGAAGGACAATATGAATAAATGCAAAAGGAAAACTTAATCCATTTTGTCCTCTTTATCATTTGCCTTGATAAAGTACCTCAGAGGACTAAACATCAATTAAGATTAAGTTTTTTTTTGTATATATAACTTTTTGGCAAAGAAGCTTTAATCAACACTGAATTGGTTAAGCATTTCACCTCAGTGTCTTCTTTCAGACAAGCAATATGGCTTTTGCTTCTCTAGATCAACTGCTGATGTGTTAACAGTTATTGCTGAAAGAATCTACCAATCTTTAGGTAAGAATGGTGACACTTGCCTTTAGATATCTTGAAGGTGTTTTACTGGGTTTGGAATACCGGTCTTCTTCACAAGTTGAAAGGTATTTCTGGAAGAATGTTTGCTCCAACTCAATCTTTCTTATCAAATCATGAAATGAAAGTTGTCCACTTTCAAAAGCATTAATGCAAGCATCGTCCAGGACTCTATCCTTGGACCCACTTTGTTCCTAATTTTCATCAACAACCTTCCAAATGTCATCAGTTCTCAACTCGGTATCTATGCTGATGGCACAACTATATACTCCTCTCTTAATATTAAGTCCGATATGTTCAATAAAATCAAATTGCTAGCCGATCTAAAAAATGAACGACAATCTGTTGTTAACTGGGGCAAGAAATGGCTTATTAATTTTGATGACTCCAAAATGAAACTGCTCTCTTTTAATCATCTTAGAGAACCTTTCTGCCTTCCTTCAGAACAGCTGATGCTAACCTTCAGGAGAGTGGCTCATTGCACCATTTTGGGCTAACACATCCAGCTGATGTGATGTGGAAAGATATTGAATCAATTACTAGGTCTGCTGATAGGAAAGTTGGTTCACAGTATCATGCTAGACAATTTTTCTCACCAGAATCTATCTTAAACATTTATAAGTTTACCATTTATCCATGCATTGAATATTGCTGCCACGTCTGGCCTAGTGATCCTGCTATATATTTAGAGATTCTTGATAAAATACAAAGAATCTGAAATGTTATTGGTCCTGACATCTTGGCTTTAATCACTTTCCCACCACCATAATGTAGCTTCCCTGTGTCTTTTCTATAAATATTTTTATGAAAATTGATCTGATGAGCTTTTGAGGCGAATGAAGAAAACAGTAACCAGCGAGTAAATTCAAGCTCTCCCAGCTGGTATTTCAAACTTGAGTCGTTCCTTCCTGAGTTCTGTCTCCAAATCACACTAACTGCCCGTTCTAGCCTCGAAGAACTCAGGAAGGAACGACTCAAGTTTGAAATACCAGCTGGGAGAGCTTGAATTTACTCGCTGGTTACTGTTTTCTTCATTCGCCTCAAGCTATTTCGGCTTATTGATTCTTCAAAATGGAAGGCAAGGTCTTTGACGTCCGTTTGATTCCAGAATTCAGCGGCGCCCCAGCGGATATGCCCATTGTTGAATGGATAGAAAATGTGGAATTGGTCTGCAAACTTTGTGCCATGGACAAGATCGAGTGCATCTTGCCTCTACGACTTCGAGGTGGTGCCCTTGCTGTGTATAGACAACTCAAGAAGGCGCCAGACTCAAGTTTGAAATACCAGCTGGGAGAGCTTGAATTTACTCGCTGGTTACTATTTTCTTCATTCGCCATAGCTTTCCTCTTTAATAACTAAACTTTACAAATTTAAGCACAGTACTAGATTGGCAGCTAGGTCCCATCATTTTACAGTTGAGATTGTTAGATGTAACCAAATTCTATGCTAACAGTTTCTTCTTTTGCACTTCACACTTGTGGAACTCTCTTCTGGCTTCTTGCTTTCCAGTCAATTTTGATGTTCAGAAATTTAAATGAAATGTCAATCATCATGTTTTGTCTTCTTAATAAAGTTTTATTTTTTCTCATATTTTTTCACACTCAATGATTCCTTGGGTCTTAGTGTCTTTATTGCCATGCTCTAGACTGAACAACCTTGAACTTGGACAGAAATAGAATCCAACAAAATTTGGACAAGTCCTATCACAAGAATTCAATATGATCAATGCACAACAAATACAGAAACTAAAATTGTTGACTGATCGCAGTCTGAGATACAAAATTCACCATCAACCTGTGAGAGCAGCTGTCAACATCAGCAAGCATCACTAAGTACCTCTGAGGAAACAGTACTAAATAAAAGTCTTAACATTGCTATACTCATCAAGTTTCAGAATTCACATCTATACTTAGATATGATAGCCCTTATAATCCTTAAGACACAGGCTTATGAGTTGAAGTGGGAAGTGAGACCATCACTGGAGAAAATCAAGCCTCCTAAAACATCACAAGAGAAGAAAAAATGCTGCTCAAAACTCTAGTTTTTTTGGCCACAAGATAGAAAATAAACAAAGTCCAGTTTCATGGAGCCATTCCCATTTTCCACATTGTACTTCAAAATGCTGGATGTATCCCAAAAAGGTAAATGCTGGCAGCACTGGATAATTTCTGGCACAACATGCATATATGTGTGCAGGGCTCCATATTGTAACCTTGTGTCAAACATATTATTGTGGAGGGAGGGGGTCGTAAGTAAAATCATGGACAAATCGAACACTCAGAAAAATAAGTAAGCTGAGGTGAAAAAAGTAGCTACTACAAGTTAAAGAATCCCAACCTGAAACTCTCAGATACAAGAACAAGGATTCCATTGCACTGAATACAGACAGACATATGATTCAATATTGACTCAAAGCTACTCTCTCTCTCTCTCTCTATATATATATATATATATATATATATATATATATATATGTGTGTGTGTGTGTGTGTGTGTGTCCAAAATTCAAACTGACAATATTTTATGAAATAAATCTGATAGTTGTCAAGTCTCAAATATAGTCAGCCTATATGGTCAACAAATCATGCTATGTAAAGAACTTTGCCTACTTTGTAGAGACAAAGATGTTTCCAATCATTCCAACCAGATGCTAAGTTTCAGCGATGTGAGCCTGTTCACTAAAATTCCCACAGATGAGATGCTATTATGGTTTGAGATAAACTGAAATCAGATTCTTCTCATGGGGAACATAGCAATATTCTAATATTGAACAAAGGATTTGGTCTAAATTCTCAGACACATGCATCTGAAGATTGCTAGACAGTACAACAGTCAAATTGTGACAACAACCAAGATAGGGACACTAGTCCAAACAAATTGATGTATAAGAATGATAATTTCTCATCATAAAAATTTAGACAAAAAACAACTACTTAATATGCAGCTGCACCACATACAGAACAAAAGTTCACCTGTTACTCTCTTAAATCATTGTGAGAGTTCAATCACCACAAATTTGATCTGGCACCAAATTTTGCTTTATTCAATATTGATTATTTTCACTTATTCATATAAAACTAAATATTTTCTATTAGCAACAAGTACCTGAAATGTAAAACTCTATAAACAAAATAAAGTAATTAGTAATTCTCACCTTGATTCACGAACTCGCCACTCAGGGGCTGTAAGATTTTTCAGTAGGTCATCCAGAATTTCATTGATGTATAAATCCAACTAAAAAAGTGAGAATAACCACATATTCAAACAACAGAAATAAAATTACAACATAAAATACAAACAAGTGGATGAAAAAATATGGTAATTAAAAAAAAAAAGGATTTTTCAATGGAGAATCAAAGGATTTTTTTTCCTGAAATCCTAAGATGATGCAACCTCATGAAGAACAATATTAGATGAGTCATTGTCAATTAGAAAGTTTTTTCTACTCAGCTCGTGCAGTCAAAATGATATCAAATAATTTTTACATATTCCTTTGGATCATGTTTGCAAGCAGGGAATCTGATGTCTGGATTGCCCAAATTCTCCAGAGCCATTGCTCATATTTTTGCTGCCAGAGCACGTTTGCAAGCTTTCACTATTTTTTCAATATCTTGGTCCATTCTGGTCCAATATATGAAACTTCTCATCAGAGATTTCATTCTTGAAATACCAAGATGTCTATGATGAAAATCCTTCCTTATTCACTTCTGTAACACACTAGGTATTACAACCCTTTGCCTGAATATTACTACACCATTGCATAATGAGTAAGCGCACTTAAATCTGGATTTTATTCTTGTTACTTTCTTACAATTGATTTTTATTTTTGTAATAAAGACATCATTTTTTGCTTTTTTTTTTTTTTTATTTCTTCTAGGGTAACTGGTAACTCTCGTACTACATTGCACAAAATGTTTTTTTTTAATTCCATTTCATTTTTTAGTGCAGCAATGACCGTATTGTCAAATGGTTCCTCATTTTTAGGTATTAATCTTGATAATCCATCCGCATGTCCTAATTTTTTTAGATGGCTGGTACTCCATCATAAAATCATAGTTTAATAAGATGGTATCCTAGCATTGCAACCTATTTAGCTGTATGTGTAGGTATTCCTTTCTTTGAACCATATATGGTTAACAGAGGACTGTTTGTAACCTAATATTTATTTCATAAATAAATTTATGAAATTTCTTCACAGAAAATATTATTGCTAGAGCCTTTTTTCCAACTGGCTGCAATTTTTCTCTGCTGGTAGAAGCGAGTATGAAGCATGAGCAAAGGCTTTCATTTTACCGCAATCATATCTGTGTAAAATTACTGATCCAATACCGTACTCACTAGCATCTGACACCACTACAATTTCTGCTTTTCGATCATAGTGTGTTAATGATAAATCTGATGTAAGTTTTTTTATTTTCATTTTGTCAAACACCTTTTGACAATTATCGTCCCAGTTCCATTTTACTCCTTTTTTAAGTAGATCGTTCAGTGGAGTTCTTGAATTATGTGTATTATGTACATATATTTGATAGTAATTAGCCAGTGTTAGAAAAGCTCATAATGTAGTCATGTTTGTTGGTAGAAACATATTTTTAATTGCACTTGCCCTTGACAGCTCTGGTTGCTAACCATTTTTATCAATAATTTGACCCAGATATTTAATTTTCAGCAAAAACAATTTGCATTTTTCTTCACCAAGCTTGAATCCATACTCACTTAGAGGTTCCAAAATTGTTTTCACATAGCCAACATGTTCTTTAGAAACACTTTTGATTAAGATATCATCTAGATACTCCACTCTGCAATCACAATCTGGACTTGGTAATGGGTTTTCTAATATGTTTCAAAACAAGTGTTTAATCCTGTCGAGAAATCTGCACAAACACAAATTTTATTATTTTTCTTCTTTACATACACTGCTGATGCAGCCCATTTTGAATGGTTAATTTTTTCTATTACACCAATTCTTTCAAGTCTGTCCAACTCTTCATTGACTTGCTCCAAGGCTGCAAATGGTATACTCCATTTCAGCTTAAATACTAGTATCAAACCTTTTTTTACTTCAAAATCTGCATTGAATTTTGAACATTGACCCAGTTCATTTGACAGGACATCTACAAAACATTTTTTTTAATTCTTTCTTACTTCTTAAATTGGTCACTTAACCACTTATGCTTTTACAATGAACATTTATTGGCAAATCCCAAAGTTCAAATAGTCCCATTCAGTCCATTCTAAATAAATTCATAGCATTTTTTTAATACTTAAGCTTTAGTTTTTACATGCTTATTATGGAATGAGACATTACAAGCCATTTCTCAAAAAAAAAAAAAAAAAAAAAAAAAAAACAATATTCTTACCCAAAACTGAAATTGTGATTTTGGAAGTCAGTTTTAATAAAGGCTTTCCAATTTCCTATCATGTGGTTTCATTGATTATTGAATGTCACTACCAGTATCCAGTAGCATTTTCTCAGCCACATTATTTATTTTCACATTCACAAATTTCTTTGTTTTCTATGACCATTTTTTCCATTGCAATGCTGTGTAGAAATTTCTTCCTTTCTTAATTTTTTTCTTTGTTTGGTTTTGCAGTGTGACTCTATATATCCTTGTTTACCACACTTGTAACATTCTGCATTTTTAAATGGACAGTATTTTCTAAGATGTAATTTACCACATCTGAAATAAGAATTTATTCTCCTTTTTGTACATTTGTCCTTTGCTTGTACCAACGCACATTCTTTTTTTTTTTTTAATTTCTTCACCATCGTATTTCAGACATAGATTTGTCTTACAGTGTAATGTTACTGTTTTCTTCAATTTTTGTTAAAATTTTCACTTGTATTCTTAGCTGTTAAACCATGAATGAAAATTAACCCTTTGAACATATTTGGAGTCATTTCCTTTATTCTAAATTTTTCACATTCTTTATTGACAATACCAGGATAATGTGACAAAATCTTTGTTCTTTTTTCTGGTTAGATTCATGCACCTCCAATGAGCATTAAACAGAGAGCTCTTGTCACTAAAGATTTTCATCAGAATGTGTCTTCAGGCCTGTTTTTTTTTTGTAATATGTAGTTGCAGTATTTTTCATATTCTATCAGAGCTATTTTCCTCAACAACAATCTTATTTTTCTCTCATCTTTATTCCTGAATGAATATTATTATCTACAAAAATGTGCAGAAAAATTCAGCCCACATCAGAATTGTATACAAATACTGATATGATGTTTTGGGCAGTGTCTGCTGTAAGAGATGTTGAACAATTTTTTGTTTACTTCAGAATTATATCCAACAACTCCTGTTGCTGTTTTTGTAGTTCTAGCAAATGTTGATTTTATTGTTGTTGCTGTTGAATTTCAACTATCGAAGCCAAAATTTGCTCTATATTTGCAATAAATTTTTTCATACACCCAAGAAAAAAAATTTTTCTTCTTCTACATAAGAAAAAAATATTTTTTTTAAACCAACATGGTTGAAATTCTTGTCATCACCTGTATCCTTGTTTCTGAAGCAATGGGTTTCCAAAATCCTTGTAACTCCAGTTAAAACTTGTATGAGTTCCAAAATCCTCGTTACTGTTATAAGTCATAAGAGTTCCAAATTCTTCTCATGACGGTTATAAATTGCTGAATTTCAAATCCCCCATTGCCATTGTTATAACATGCTTCATAGCACTTATAAGTAATGCATCAGAAACTTACCATAATGCTTGTATTCTGAAGACCGACTCCAAATGGTTTATTCTTTTTACCTCTGACCTGAATCTTTTTATTTATAGTTATGGACTAGTTCATATAGTCACTGGGGGTGTACTATTTACTCCACAATATATTTACACTCCAAGAAGTCACCCTGATAGTACAACAAAGTAGCAGACAGAAGAATATCTGTGGCAACAACCACATCCCTCAACTTTCATCTGCAACAGCAGCGCCAAGGATTGGCATTCAAAACAAGTTGTCCAACTGCATCTGATATTGTCACACATCCAGTTGATTCCTCAGTGGGTATACACATTATTTAAGAAGACAAAGATCAGAATATACAGGAAAGCTGGAAGACCTCATTAGAAATAGTAGCTACAGTAAATTAAAGAAAGATCCAAGAATGAAAACTGTCACAGATTTGTATCAAGAACAAGGCCCACTTCTCACCTAAGACATACAGGCAGTTGTCACAGCATTACACCAAGCTACCTCACATATATGATCTCCCCAAAATTCACAAAGATGGTATTCCGCTCAGGCCAATTGTTAGCTGCCAAGGCTCTGTGTGCCACTCTCTGAGTCATTTCTTTGTAGATATAAAAGATCCATTAATAGGAAAGTCACCTTCATATGTCTGAAACTCTGTCCACTTCATGGAAATAATCAAAGATGCTCCCATCCAATCCAACCAGATGGTGAACCTGGATATGGTAAGTTTGTTTACCAAGTTGAGTTAATGGGAGATAACTGAGTAGAGGCATGACACATGGAACTAGAACAATCTACCCCGGTGGATGAAATAAAGGGTTCAATTCAAAATTCCTATCATCTGTACAACAGCTAAAGCATTGTGAACATGACAAAGATGATGACAACAGTCCGAACAATGTAACTAATGTAAATTAATTTAAGTTGCTTTTTATTGCAGTTAATAGGTCAGGATTCATTTCAAATGGGATGAAAAAAATGAAATTGCTTATTTACAATCTGTACAGTTTACTAAAAAAAGAATTCAAATTGATAATTAAAACAAAAATGAATTCAAATCATTAATTATTAGATGCACAAACAAGACAGTGTTCTAAAGAATAAGAAAAATTCTATAGAACTTTGAAATCTTTACCAATTGCCAAGAAACTGGATCTAGTCATTAAAAAAATCTACTAAATAGTGAGTGTTACCATTATAGCAGATTGCAAAGAAAAAAAACTGGAAAGAAAGCAGAATTTTACTAGAAAACAAGATTGTGGAATATATAAATGACAATTATTAGACCACTTGAAACAATTTGAAAAATGATTGCAAAAAGAATCCATTCAATCTTTGAAATCTGCAAGAGTACTGGTTACAGGACTATTTTGTTGTCACTTGATCTCCAGCAAAAGTCACCATATACTACTGTGGTGAAAATTTAACAATAGCAGAAATAGTAGAAGTAGAAGCAATAGCATAATGATTAAATTTTCACAATAAATGATTTTGCATTTTCATGTCACTTGAAGTTAAATTTAAAAATAAAAAGGATAAAAAAAATCAATAATAGTTACCGTTTTTTTGTTGTCTGTGACAAGGGACTCCCAGATGCTGGTCATAGCGCGTTGCACTTTTGGGTTAGGGTCAAATTGATAACGGTAAAGTCGAGGTACAATCTTTGGGAGAAAAGGAGCTAACTGTTCCCCAGCAAACTGGGCTATAGTGCTAAAACCAAAAGCAGCACCCTGCAAGAGAAAATGCATAAAAGTATTTATACCTTATAGATATCTTGATAAACTGATTGCTTTAGAGACTCTAAACTATGGCAGATTATGCTAATCTATGTCTTCACAATAAAATTTCTATTAACCAACTGATATCAATAAAATTTTCATGAAAAAATATCAGGAAGACAAATATCTGAAGAAACTGGTGTTGCAAATGTAAATAGAAAGAAAAACTGTAGAATATTAAAAATATTGATTAAAGACTTGAAAGCAAACAATTAAGTAAACATGAAAAAGAGAGAAAAGTGCATTTTGGGCAAAGCAGTACATGAAAATTGATTTCTCAACAGATGCATTGAGAGGTTGAAAACAGTCAACCAAGAAGACAATACTGAAGAGTTGGCGTTACTATTTATTATAGGTTGTAAAATTATAGGCCCCTTCAAGGTATAAAAATAAATGCAGAAAATTACTGTGAGCTCTTGGACAAGACTTCTTTTTCAAAATAGCACAAATTCCAAGAAATTTTCCTGATTAAGATTTCTTCATTTGTAAAGATTTATTTAAATGCATACAATTTTAGTTCATAACTTACCTTTTTTGAATTCCATGTGGCCTGGTGATTGGCCAGATGCATAAATTTGTATATGAGATCAGGCTGGTTAAGGTCACTCGCAATAGAACACAACTCTCGGTAGGTTGACATGGAACCTCTGGAAAAGAAAAATGACATCTATATATAAGCGCCAAAATTAGCCTCAGAATAAATGGGGAGATAAATATGTTGATCTAAAATTTTATACCTTTAATGCTTAAAATATTTAATTTTTCACAATATGGACTAGTTCATATATTCACTGGGGGTGTACTATTTACTCCACAATATATTTACACTCCAAGAAGTCACCCTGATAGTACAACAAAGTAGCAGACAGAAGAATATCTGTGGCAACAACCACATCCCTCAACTTCCATCTGCAACAGCAGTGCCAAGGATTGGAAGAATAAAAAGAAACTGGATGTTTAGCCATTGTGTGTGTCTTCTAATTTCTGTTTCAAATGTTATTTTCAAATTTTCAGGAAAGGTGCTTTCTTGTAACATTAGTATTATCAAAACATGAGAGACCTTGTGTATCCTCTTTATTAAATTTTTAATCAATTTCAGCAAATTTCCTGTCTTTGGGACAAAAGATGTTCAGTTACACTAATTCCCAAAGAACAAATGTTGCCAACATATCAAATACCTTTTGTAAACAATTGTAATCAACATCCGCCTACTTTGTGTTTTATTATCTATTGTGCTGAGGGTATCAAATAAGAGGTTTTTAATGATAACTCCTCATCGCAGAAATTCAGAGATAAAGGAAGCAGTATAAAAATTTCCAGGTTTCTGAATACAGAAAATACCTAAATGATGCTGGTGGATACAAAAATTGCAAATGAAGTTAAAAATTTGAATAGATAAGGACTGTGTACGTGTGTGTTTTAAATATTTCTACTATTATCAACCTTATATTCTGAATATGGTAAAATGTTATCTCATATTAGTTAATTCTTTGTGATGCGGTTTTTCCTTTTTATCAGTTCATGACTTTCACTGCCTAAAGTAGGGACTGAACTTATATTCTCCAACTAACTAAATGCACTCAATGCACTTTCGTTATATTACAGTTTCGTGGTAAAAGCAAAAGTACCATCACAAAGGTGAAATAACTTAGAAGTGTTAAATAATATCAGTTATCTCCCCTAGCATGGGTAGTTAAAAAGAGAGCAATCTATTCTTATGGATTTAATAAAGGGAGTAGTATAGAAAAAATTCCAGGTTACTGAATACAGAAGATAAACAATGCTGGTAGATACAAAAACCGTAAATGTTGTTATAACAATCAAGATGAAGCTATAAGTCTGAATAGATCAATAGATAAAGACTGTGTTTTTTAACCTTGTCATCTGATATAAAACAAATAAATATCCAAATATTTACAATATCAACTAAACTTTGTTGATTACTAATCAAATATAGATTTTGTATACATATATTACTTTTATCCTTTCTTCTTTAAAATTGTTGAATAGACAAAGTTACAAAAATGAAATATTCAAAGTAGAATTCATATTTCATAAATATATGTCAGAAACAGCATATCAGACTGAAGACTGGAATATCAAATGGTTTATATCCTATTATAAAATATTGGTGGCACATTAACAAAGTTAATTATCATCTAAAGAAGATAACTTACCCCTCAGGAGTCTTGCCCAAAACACCAACTTCGAATATTTCTGTATCATCTGTAACATTTTTTCGGCTTCTGCAAGAAAAAATTTAAATAATTTTTGGTTCACATCTAATCCAAAGTGAACAAAATCACTTCACTAATTTCATTCTCCATGCTGCCAATTACACTTCCACATTCTTTTAGGTATTGTGTCTGATCATGTCTCTCCACAACTTCCTATCCTTTGTTCTATCAGTATTCATTTTAGAATAGTATGCGTGTTTGTTTTTTTTTTTAAATCTTGGAACAATGTCCTAACTATGACTTAAATCATTTCTAAGTTTGGTTGTGACTATTCACTTTTTTTTTATTTTTATTTTTTTACGCTCTGGTTGTATATCAATAATAAAATGTGTTCCTTGTTAAGTATAAATATTGTATAATTTCTGCTATTTTTGTTTCTTTCTATCCTGAAATTGAATTCATTTGTGTACTTTATTTGATAGGAAAATTTCATCTCTCACAAATTCATTTTTATTAGATGCAGCATTTGAATCTTAAAAAAAAAATGAAAAAAATTGAAGATATACAGATGATCACATCAATAATCACCATACAGTCTTTAGCAAGATTTGGGTGGCAAAATGAAATGTCCATTTTGATTAATGAAAAATTTTTGTACAAAATATGGTGTAGTTGTCTTATTTACCTCTTCCCAGTCATGAGTGTTTCCACTAATTCCTGAACCAGAATGTTCTTTTGCTCAGCTGAACAGTTCTCATAGACCAAGGCTAATCCTTTTGAGGTGAAATCTTGGGTAACTTCTGAAAAGGCAAAACATAACTACTTTTAGTTTTATTTTACACACACACACATATATATATATTTATAAGTAATAAAGTCATGAAACAATATCCAGTATTAAAGACATAATTAAAGAAATAAAAATAATATTAAAGATGTATAAATAAAACTAAGAAATTTACAATTTCAATCTTTTCCCAGTATATATTCAATTACTGTAAATTATGCAATAATGGGCATGATAAATATAAAAATTAAATAACAACAACATTTGATAAGAACCTAGGGCATCTGAAACTTTTTCCTTTTACAAAGTATATAAAAAACCTGGCGTTTTTTCTAAACATTATAGACTACCATGACTTGTGTCTATCCTAACTTCATAATAATGTTGGAGAGAATACATGCCATCAAATAGAGTAATAGTTGATTTGAGTGGAAACCTCATTATAAATGTGTAATTCTTTGTTAACATGGACATGCAGTACAAAGGGAAAAAAAAAACTATCTCAAGTATTTTGTGGTTGAGATATTCTAATATATGAAAAATCATCATAAAATGATTTTCAGATTAGTGCAAAATTTTGAGCCTAATTTTTATTGTTCATATAAATTGACTGCTAGTTGACACTGGTGTTTGTTTTGGTGCCAATTTCTGGTGTGTTCAAGATTGAAACCTTGTATCATTCAGTTGCGAGTCAGCCTTTGTTGAATGTTGGTGTTTTGTCAACAAATGAATGCCTTAAGATGGAGGATAAAAAGTTGCACTTTTTCCATATTATGTTCTATGAATTTTGGAAGTGTCAGAATTGTGGCAAAAAAAATTCAGAAGGTTTATTTGGATTGTGCTACAGTTCTTCAGATGTTCAAAAAGTGACTTGGCAGATTTCGTCAGGGTGAATTTTAGCTGAATTTTAAATGATTAACCATGCTCCAGGCGACCTTCCAATGTTGAAGACACTTTGCTTGCCATTGTAGAGAATAAACTGAAGATTACAACAGAAGAGACTTCTAAGAGTTTGAAAATTGATATCTTAACAGCCTTTCCCCATTTGAAGGGACTTGAGTTCATTTCCAAACTTGGCTCATGAGTGCCACATTCTCTGATGGAACAGAAAAGGCTTGATTGTGTTTCTGTGACAATTTCTTTGCTTTTATGTCAGGAAAAGGCGCCATTATTGGACAAAATTATCATAGGCAATGAAAAATGAATTGTTTATGAGAATGTCCCATAGAAACAAGCTTGCGAATGTGCAAAAAACAGACCTGGCAGAATCTTAAAAAGTTGAAATCGGAAAACCTCTAGCACCATGACTTGGCTACTTTAGATTTTCATTTGTTCTGGATTCTACCAAACAATTCAAATGGCAAAAAGCTTGTACAATATCCAAAACTTCCAACAAAAAACATGTAGTTTCTACAAAAATGGCATCACCAAGCTTGTAGAATGGTGGGAGCTAGTTGTTAAAAAAAAAAAAAAAACCCAAAAAATCAATGGAGACTATATACTTGACTAATGTTTTTTTGCATGTAAAATTTCAAAAAAAATTTTATGAGGCACAAACTTTTGTAATGATCTAATGTTGAAGTAAAAAAAAGTTTATCTGTCTATATCTCTGAGATGAGGTATTATGATTACTTACATTATTTACATAATTCGGACTGTTATCCTAATTTTCATTGCCATGTTCACAACATTTTGGCCGATGCACGCTCCGGCCTTCTTCAAAGACAACCAAAATGTTGTGAATATGGCAATGAAAATGAGGATAACAGTCTGAATAATGTAAATAATGTAAGGAAAAAAAGTTTCGCACATGAAATAATTCAGTCATGTTGCATTGAGAAAACTTTGGTATGACTGTCATATTTGGGCTGGAGTTGACCAATCCTCACTTTCAAGCCTAAACCAAGTTCAAAATCTCATATGTGGTCTTGTGGGGAAGACTTATTATCCACACTACAAACCCTTTCTCACAGATGCAGCATCATACACCTATCACTACTCTCATTATTTCCATGGCAAATGTTTAGATGAGGCTCCATTCTTTGATTCCACCAGTTCAGACCTTTGCAGCCAAGACCTGCCTTGCTATGTCAGAGTTGGATCACCCTCATTCCCTACATATTCCTTTGGTAAAAAGGATGTTCCACTCAGGTTATTCTCAAGCTACATTGTGTAGATGCTCTTCTGACCACTACAATCTTAATATCTTCAAAGTCGTGGGTCAATTGTTATCTATCCTCCATATCCTCATAATCTTCACTTCCTACTTCTTTCTCTTAATACTACATCACACACCTCGTTCAGTAACCCTCTACCTTGAATGGCTCTTGGGCCTTATATTGGATGACCATTAACAAAAAAAAAAAAAAAAAAAAAAAAAAAAAGAAAGATCCATTCTCTATAATTTATTTAGCAGTCTATTAAGGTAAATTCTTTGTTAAGTGAGAAACTCAATTTCTCATCATTCCTTTTGCTTAATTCTTTATATCCTGTTGAAAAATATAATAACAATGCATTACAGAAAAATAATAGCAGAAAGATTGAAGTTTTCTCCCTTACATCACACAGTTTATCTATTTATATAATACTAAAATTCTAATCTTGTATGTATGTATGTGTTCCAGAGATACAATTTAGCCAATACATAATACCCCAACCAATTTAAAAGCATATTGTACCTTGAACTCTTACTGAGTTCAGTGACAAATTACATTAAAATTAGACAAGAGGTTCTTTAGCTAGGACCGTTTTTCTGTTTATATGGCATTTTTAATAGGAAATTCAGTATTTGTTTTCAGTACACATTCTTATATTAATCCACATTTATAAACAAACACTTGCATATTATATTCCAACTATTATGTGTTTGAAAAAATAATAAACATTCATAATACATTATAACATTATTAAATAAATTTAAATATGTATAAAACAACATATATTTATACAATTCACAACACTACATTAGAACTTTTTTATAAGCTACTTAAAAGGTGAAGGGGCTATATGTGTCACATGACTTGATGATAAATAAATGAACAGATGCACGCTGATTTGCTGCTGTTACATAATTTAAAATAAATGTGAGAAAGTAACGAGTATGCATAATAAAAAATATGCTTATTATTTGGGAAAAGACTACACCTGTTTTAAGCTATTACTCCAAATTTTCACACAATGTTTTAACTATGAAGCTCAGTAGAACAATAAATACTGTCTTTTGTATTAATTATTAATTTTGTATTCAAAGTACATTTCATGGAAGTAAAAGAAAATGGAAAATTTTTTACTTATAAACTAATAATAAAATATATACTTATTATTTTTAATAAGACTACTCTTATTTTAAGCTATTACTCCAAATTTTTATGCAATGTGTTAAATAAGAAGCCTAGTGGAACAATAAACCTTCTTTTCCTGTCTTTAAATAAAAATTAAAATACATAATTTATAATAAAGTTGATAATATTGTTACCTCGTCATTTTGTATCATGACCCCACCCATAAACCCACTGGGTCTTTTTAACCCAGTGGGTTTATGGGTGGGGTCTAGTCACTTTTAAAATGAATCAAAAGAAGGTTCATACAATTTATGCTGTATCATGAGGTTGAGAGAAATGAGGAACTGTGTCATACAAGATATTAAGAGTTAAACTATCTTGGTTACAAAATCATAGAAAATAAAATTCCCTTCAAATTGTGACTTATAACCTATTGTTTAACCAATGTACACTATAACCAAAGCATCAGTACTAATGATGGTAGTAGTATAGAATTTTTTTATAACAAGTCATAAACATTGAAACTACTTCACACACTAACACACCCCTCTCTCTGTAATTATAAAATTCTCTCTAAATTTATTAAGACTGACCATCATTTTCTGAAAGCAGTTGCATGAAAGCAGCTTGAATGTCTGGCAGTCGTTTCTGCAAGGCGGCATGATGTCCACAATGCTTTACAAGAGACAGTAACCATATGCAGGAAGCCTGAAGAGAAAAAAAAAAAATAATTATAAAAAAAAAAAAAAAAAAAAAAAAAAAAATCACATTTACATTTTTACAGATTTATAACAGAAAAAGTAAAACAAATTCAATTTAAAAGGACAGAAAATGGTACCAAGTTTTTAACCAATTAATCTTCCTTGACTCCAAGGTTAATAATATAAGGCCTGCACCTCACCATATGTTAGTGTTGCTGCTGTAGTTTCTGTAACAAATAGGCCTTTCATAGGGTGGAATTTTTAGACCCAGGCCCAACTAGTTGTGAATTTAGAGTTATCCTCCTCCTCGGCTGGTTGCCAATCAAGGCTAGAGAGTCCCACCTTGCTACTTAACCCATAGCTGAGGAGAGAAGAAGTAGATTTATATATTTCCAGGTGTTTGTGTGAAAGTGAATACAATGACTGTGGTCAGAATTTGAACTCATGCCAACCTCATTTTCTTCATCAATAAAGGGTTTTCCTTGATAAAAATCTCCTCAATACATAGTAAATTACTTCATAATATTTGGATTTTGTAACTGATTGAATAAAAGAGAAACTCACCTGCCGTACATGATGATTTTGACTATGGATATGCTCTTTCAACAATTTCAATAAATACCATTCCACTTCATCCTTTTTGTTAGCAACTGATGCCTACAAAAAACAAATCCTTATAGTTACTTCAAGATGATATTTAACACAATGGGACCAATTTATAGATGAGATTTTATCAGCATATACAAGTCTTACCCACAGCAATGGTATGATTAAACGTATAATAGAGTCTGTGTGTGTATGTGTGCATGTGTCATTACTCAAAGCTCCAGTAATAAATGAAATCTGACACAGCCAGATTGCTCATCAAATATCCAAGTATTTTTTTTAATTTACCAAGTACAAGCCTCGAAAGCCATTGTAGAGTGTTACTGTTAAAATAGTAATGATGAGCGAGGTGTGTGCTATGAAAAAAAAAGGAGATAGTAGAAATAAAGATGATGAGAATAAGGGGATAGATAATTGACATCTAACTTGAAGAGGTTAAGATTGTGTTCAGGGAAGCACTCAGGCAGGAGCCTGTTGCCCAATGTGGCAGTTCTTCTTACATTTGGAATACAGAGGAAATGAGGATTATTCAATTCCATAAACTAGTATAGGGTTTCCTAGTTGTAAATGTCTGAAGAAGTGAAAGTAAAGAATGGATCTCATTTGAACATTGTCATGGAAATATCAAGAATAGCAAAAAGGCAATGTTGTATCTGAGATTGTAAGGTAGTAGTCTGCAGTCACTATTTTCCCACAGATGAAGAAAAGAAGTGAACTAATGCTTTTCATAAGGACATTAGTGCAAAGTAAATTCAAACTGTTCTAGCCCAGGTATGAATCATGAGGCCACCCTCACCTCCAATACTGTGTGTAGCATTTCAAATTAAGTCAACTTTTCTTAAGTTTGAATAAGAAAGATTTTTCAGATCATGAGAATTGAAAATTTCATCATGCAATATAGGATCAGTATATGCTCTGAAAAACTTAAATTTATGTATTAAAAAAAACAAAACAAAAGGAACTTAATTCACTACTCACACAGTTAAAATTTAACATTTTTCCAGTTGCTATTGTATTTTGATGTTGCAAAGAGTTTAGAGATCTGATAACTCAACATAAAATTAACAAGAGTTGCATCACTTGCCCTCAAAAATGTATATACAATATATAAAATGGATTTTTATAGGCATCAGGAAATTTTCACCTATTTAAATATATTTGCTTTAAATCACTTTTTTTTTTTTTTAAAGCTTAGCTTATTTAAGGGCATCTAAATAGAGCCCTTGAGTTTGATGTCAACTCATTTTATATTTGGAGAATTTGTATTATAATTATTTTTTTATGTGCCATGTCCTGAAAAGACATGGACAATCATTGTTCTCCCTAACTTCTTGTTTTTGTTGCTCAAAGTAACTTTTGATCTTTTATCATTCCACTTTGTCCCTCTTCTACTATTCCCACAAACGCATAAGGCAGGTAAACTCATGGCTTATTGTGCTTCATTTGCTTTCAATATCATGTTAAGTATTAAATTCTCCAGGTCATCTTCCTTCAACATGTGTATCAGAAATTTCAACTTTCTGATTTATCAGCTTCATTGTAATATAATTAATTATATGCAAATAAAGAGAACTGCTCTGTAATTAGCCAAACTCTAACTGCATTTAAAATTTAAATGTTGCTTTACTTATATATATCCCTAACCAGCAGGAATCTAGTGTTAAGTGATTTTTAAACATTATCTGTAATAAAGTATGGACATGTTCATGAAGGAAAAGAAAAAAAAAATGAAAGGATTTATAATTTTTTTCGTAAAATAATGATACATTTGCAATAATGTTACATTTACTTGATAAAAAAAATATTTCTATATAAAAATATACATTAACAATATTTTTCAATAACATAACTGTATCCTTTTATTAGTAATATTTTAATTTTTACTCCTTCTTTCAATATTTCTTTTCAGTTTTTTTAACACAAAATCATACAAAAATTGGATTGAGATTACTGGAATGACAGAAACAAAGCACCCAAAATATCCACTGACTATTATTAATTTGTAAACTGCAACTGAATTAAAAATGGCTTTATTTTTCAAGTTAGAGCATTTTAATGGTATTTTATGAAAAAAATAAATCTCACAAAAATATACTATATTTGCATTTTGTATTATGACAACAAACAAATATACCCATAAACCAAAATTAGATCATTATAATATTAATGTATTTTACATCTGGAAATGTAATGTATTAAAATTAACATTTGCTATAAATACTTCTTTAGATTGCATTGATTTGATGTATTAATTATATAAAGTTTAATCAATTGTCTTCAATAGAAGAAATTTATTTTTATTTTGTCGTACAGAAACACTGACTTACCATGGTAAAATATCATCTTTGCTGGTCAATAAGATGCAACTTTTACAAAAATGATATTTTTAGATCAGTGGTCATTAATACAACTCTTCAGCAATTGAATGTCCCTCTATAACACTTACATATTGGATACAGTGAAACATTTAGATATTTATTTTTAAATATTGGCCTTATAGGTTACTAACTTGGGGAGATATTTAAAAGGCGTTCTATTTCAAATAAATAAAAATAACAAAAAAAAAAAAAAAAAAAAACCTTGAATTCATGTTCTTGCTGAATCCAAATATTTCTTCCACTGGGAGAGGTGACACCAAGGGCAGCACAAACCAATGCCTCAGCAATGGTCATATGTAGTTCCATTTGTTTGGCCTGAAAGAGAGAGAAGGAAAAAAAACCCTTACTTTACTGCTCAAGTAATTTGGTTGTCAAGAAAGATTGTTAAATCAAAATGAAATTAAAAAAACAAAAAAAAAACACCAATCTTTTTTTCAGTTTGCACTTTTTACTGTTCATGTATTGAAAGAACACAAAAATATATTTATATATTCTATAATATATAATCAATTAGAACTGACACTTCAATTCTATAAATACCTCATAAACTGAGATATCTATTATTAAGTCATTAAAAAAAAGCATTCAACATTATATTCTAGTAAAAAATATTAATAAGAAAAAAAAAAAAAAGAAAAGAATTTGATAGACCTTATAACCAAATGATATAAAAAAAATGATTTGACATTTGTAAAATTATTAAAAAAAATAAATATAATTCTTTCTATAGAGTTTACCATTCTATTGACAACATATTTTAAAATTGGTAACCAGAATAAAAATCCATTTCAAATTTTGTTCTGATTAGTGCCAAAATACAGGCATACATTTTAAAATATTTTCAAAAATGATTTTGTCAATAACATTAAATCATTTAAGGTGATAAGTGAGCTATATTAGTATATATATATTACAGATTCTATCATCATACCTTTGTCCATGAGGCCATAAGTAATTCTGAGCTAGTCTGAGAAGCTGTAATAAGTTTGATACTCAAAGGATGCTCTACAAAATGTGATTGCTTAAAGTAAGCAGAGTTTCTGACTTGAAAGATTTTTATTATTTGTTTTTTTTAATATTAATTGCCTATTTCCTTAACTGATTTACTTTATAATTCTATTTATACATTCAACACAAACCAACATTTTGCAACAAGCCACGAAGCTGAGAGCTCTTGTTAGGAGTTACCTGAACAGCAGCCATTATTCCCTCAATAACTTTGTGGGTGTAAGGGAAATCTGGATCTCCAACACACAAATTTCCAAGACAAGTGGCAGCATGTTCTTTGTTCTGGAAGTGAAAATATTTATATATTTTTTAATATAAAAAATAAAAAAAATTAAATAATTAAAAATAAAATCAAACATTTGGATTATAATATAAAAAGAATGTGTGTATGCATATATATATATATATATATATGTGTGTGTATGCATATATATATATATATATATATATATATATATATATATATAGTGTATCACAAAAGTAGTACACCCCTCACATTTCTTCAAATATTTAAGTATATCTCTTCATGGGACAGCACTGAAAAATTACCTTTTGAAACAATGAAAAGTAGTCTGTCTGCAGCATATATAACAGTTAATTTCTTTTCCCCTCAAAATAACTCAAAATATAGCCATTAAAAGCTAATATTTAAATATTTGAAGAAATGTGAGGGGTGTACTCACTTTTGTGATACACTGTATATATATATATATATATATATATATATATATATATATATATATATATATATATATATATACGATTTTTTTTATAGTAAAACTAAAAGAGGAAGTAGTCATATCCATAAAAAATCTTAAATACCTGGGTTGGATTGGACAAAGCAGTACAAGAATGCACTGGCTCAGAAGAAGTATGTTGTAGTGTTGTTATAAGATGGATAGAAGACAAGGAAGCTACACATAATGAAAAGCAAGGAATGCGAACAACATATCCCAATGACTGAAACTATCTGAATGATGCCAATTAGATTTTTTTCATATTAATTGCTTACAGAGAGGAAAAACTATTAAAAGCTTATTTATATAAAGTAGTTTAATTTTTAAATTTAAATTTGCAGCTATAAATGTGGAATATTCAACAATTTTCATTGACTTAACCAACAACAGATTTGTTAAATAGTAACTCAAAGGAAAACTATGAAATGATAAATTTAGAAGTAATCAATTTATAATTACTCTAAAATGGAATGGATAGTGATTTGATTTTATTAACTAAAATAAAAGTCCTTTTTTAAAAGACCATTTTAAAGTAAAAATTTCTTTAATAACTCTCAATATATTACAAAGATTTGTAAGAGGTTCAACTTAAAATAGCAAAGAAAAAAAAAGCAGAAAAAAAAACTAAAAAAAAAAAGTTTAATACCAGCTTTAAAATATTTAAGAGAGTCAATAAACTTTGAAAAAATGCTTATTTTTATAAAGCTATAAAATCTCATCTTTAGAAATTTGCCTAAACATTAAGAGCGATAACATCAAATCCGTTTTCAATGTAATATAACCTCTGATATAATGTTAATTAATATTATACTATTTGATTTCTACAAAAAAGGAATTTTCTCAAAACAAGAAAAGTTAGATAAACAGAATCAACTTGATAAGAATGGCTCACATCACATCATCTGACTATGACATAGATTAGCAGAATGAAAATAACAGAGCAATACAACAAACAAAATTATAAGCTTACCTTTATAGGATCTTTCTCTTTTATAGACTGGACCAAACGTAAGAGTGATTTCACCACTGTTAGTTTGGTCACTTCTTCACTATCTTCTTTATCATCTGGGGATCCAGGAGCTAATGGCAAGGGCCCATTCCTACCAATTTCCCCAAGAGCAATACAAGCCCCACTACACAGGATTGTACTACCATCTTTCAGGAAGAATGCTGTTAAAAACAAAAAAATAAGAAAAATATATTTTTCTAAATCCCTAAAAAATATTTCAGAATTACTTTGTAAAAAAAAGTTCTCATTGAATGATCCTTTGTTTTAACCAGAATCCTCATCTTGATTGTTTTTATCACATTTCAGCTCTCTGACTTTCTCCCTCCAGTATATTTCAAATTTATTTCATACTCTAGCATGGCAAAACATGGGAAGCAACAGTCTACTGATGGGAGGATTTCAATGATTCTTCTGTACGGGAAAGTGGCTACTGGCAAGAGGGCAATCTCACCTTTGCTTCAAGGACGTCTGCAAAAGGGACATGAAGGTGATGGACATAGACATAGAGAGGTGGGAAGACATTGCCAATAACCACTCATGCTGGAGTTGGAGTGAGGAGGGAAGAAATAGACGCTTACCACAGGGAAGAAGCATGCTCAAAGGAAAGAAAACAACACATTTATATTTGGGGAGAGCCTCTTCACATGTATTTGTTGCAATCAAGACTGTCACTCTTGTTTGGCTCTGTACAGTCATAACAGATGCTGCACTAACATCAGCAGTTGAGGCATAACTCTTTGGGTGCAAATTCATGGTCTCAAGACCATTGGATGCCACACATCCACTTTATTCACTAGACATTAGATCTTCAAACTGACATTTATTCCAATCTTTATAGAATTTTCTTAATCCATGACTTAAATCATTAGTAAATTTGACCAGTTTTAAGGTAACTCAAATTTAAATTCAATTTGTGATTTGTCTATATAAGTCAACTCTTGCACACCATAATATATTCTGGTAGGATTATGATCAGACATTACTCATAAATTTTTGATTTGAGCTGACTTCATGGAAACCAAAAAGCAATAAAATATCTATGTTGTATTTAACTGGCCAGATCAAGCCACTCCATCTGGAAAGGGTTAATAAAAAAATTTAAATTACCGAGAAGACTGCAAAAGACAAAGTAATTCATTGCTAAAAAGAGATTAAAAAATAAAGTTCTGGGAGGATGAAAATATATGAAATTGCATGAAAGATGACAGACAATTGTGAAACAAAACAGTAAATGTCTTGTTCAATAAAGTTAATATGAAAAAATACCTTTTATTTTTACTTGATAGACCAAACAAACTTTTTATATAACTTGATAAATACAATCCATATTTAGAAACGGAAGAGTATACAAGCTGAAATTTTGCAATAAGAACATCAATGATGAAGATATTAGCCCAGTAGAATTATTGAATAAAGGTCTGTCATATTAAATTTGCTAAATAAAAAATCATTCTCAAATAAACCCTTGTTGATAAACAGTCTACTCATTCTCAAACCTCATGTTTTAAGACTGAACTATACCTACAAGTATTTGAGATGATATATATATATATATATAGGAAAAATATTCAAATTATAGATTACTACTGAAATAATTTCATCATAGATTACTTTAGAAAATATGCCAGATCAACAAGTGAATTTATTTTTTCTAAAATAGAAGATCTGCCGAAAAAGTAACCAGTAATTTTGAATATCTCAAGGAGTGATTGTGACACCTTGATGTAACTTAGCAACAAATCAGTGTATATGTGCATGCAGGGAAACGGGAGGGAGGTAGCCAAGTGCACATGTTTGAACAGGCAATCTCCTGTGGATTTACTTAGTTGGTAATAAGCTTATATACTGCGTAACAATCATATTCACAATAACCAAGAAAGTAGAACAGTAATATATTTATGCAAAATTTTTCACACCACCAGATTTGGTTCTCTGTCTCTTCTGGATATTGCTGATGAAAGGGAGATTCCAGATGGTGGATGAGATTAAGGAGACTGCAGTAGGGCAGTTAATGGCAATCCTGAAAGAATTTACAAACTATTTTGAAAATGGATGCTGGAAATTTCCTTACAAACCTTGTAGGTTTGTACAAAAAAAAAAAAAAAAAAAAAAAAAAAAAAAAAAGAAAACTTTTTCACTGGAAACACAACAGAAAATAATCTGCAAATTTCTTGCTTTTTAGACTTTTATCAATAAGAGAAAAGTTAGTCAAAATATTTGTAACTGATATTGTTAGTTTTGAGTTTCAAACCAAAAAGTGGTTGGGACAAGTTTCACAAAATCTTTAAAATCTCAAATCCCTGCCACCTACAAGATAGCAAAATATTTCCAAAAAGAAAAGAATATTTCATACCTCTTAATAACATGTCGGTTTAAGTCAAAGAACAAAATTTATAATTTCACACTTTGTAATCAAACAGGTAAGCACATTTCTGTGTCTGTAAGATGTACAATACTCAAGAAGCATACCTGCAACATCTACTTGTTGATATATTAATTATAACCAGATTCCTACTTCTAAGCATACTTGATACACAAATAAGAAGACGGTTTTAAATTTACCTAATTTTTTCAGAGCCTTTTGCATAGCCTCATATATTTCTTTCAAACCTTCCTGTTCCATAGCCTGAGGGTCACTAGTCTGACGCAGATGCTGTCCTATCACATAGCCCAGCATCAAGATTGAAGAATGCTGCATCTCAAGATTCTGGAAAGAAAACATATACATGCATACATATTTTGAAAATGAGTAATTTCAGGTATCACAGTTGTGAACTAAAACTTAGAATAGAAAAGGGAATCAACCTTTCCTTTTTAAATTGATGCTTTATAAGTTTTACATAATTTGTGAAGCAATGGATAACAAGGACTCGAGATAGACTTTTCCAAAACAGAAATTATGATCTAGAATTGAAATAAAACCATGTGACAGCAGATATCCTGAGCATCATAAAAATTCAGGATGTGTAATTAGTAAATTCTAGACACTTCAAATAACTTTTTTTATTTCCAGATCTTCAGTGTAGACATGATTCATGCGATATTGAAATTTTGTGTGGTCTGTAAGGAAACTGGATGAGTGGGATGCTAATGATAATTTACATTTTTTTGTTTTGTTTTTGCAATGCATATTTAAACACCCTTAAAAATTGAAATAAAAAAGCGAGTTGTTAAAACTTAGGGAATGAATTCCTTAAATACTATGTTTTCCCAATTATGGACTTCATCATGACCTTTAACAGAATGAGTCAATATTAGAAGATCATAATTGTGAAAATACCATGAATCAGAATTTTTGAGAAAAAAATTATTAAAAGTTTTGAATTGGAAGCTTTGAGAGACAGTTAATGAAACTTATTGGAAGATATTTTTGTGAGATTGTTGAGTTCAAAAATGGAAATGTCCGCAACCAGAAAATGCTGATTCAGCAAAATGGTATTTATACACTTGTTGGAAAAAGATTTCTGTACTTGATGGGGAATACTTTTCTGATTAAATTTTTTTTCATTGTCTTTGATTTCTTTTAAATCACAAAAAAACAAAAAAAAAAAAAAAAAAAAAAAAAAAAACAAACATACAAATCTTTTTTGGTTTCTCAAAATGTTGATCTCTTATCGGTAAGATTCTTCTGTTATGTTCATGCAAATTGTTTAGTAGAAGGTTGTGATATCTACAATTTATTTTATTTTTTTAATCATTTTACACCAAGCAAGATGATAAAGTCACTAAGGCATGGGGGTGGGGTACTGAGATTGAAAGAATTTAAGAAAAACATTATTGAAAAGAGAGAACAATAAAAGAACAGGTTTCAAGGAGACAGAAGATGACAATTGATACAGCATTAAAACTTTTTGAAGATTGTAGTTGACAGGAAAGCAAGGAGAGTTCCATAAGCGAGAAGTGCAAGAGAAGAAACTTTCAGCATAGAACCTATCTAGTAATTTCAACAGTAAAATGATGAGACCTAGCTGCCAATCTAGTACAGTACTTACATTCATAAAGTCTAAGTACCAAGAGGAAAGTTCACCAGAACAATTACAAAGAAAATATTTATAGAAAAAGCAAAGGGAAGTTATGTTACAGTAGTGGGAAAGTGACAGAAGTCGGTATAAATTCTAAATGTCCAATATTATATAATTGACATCTGTTTGCCACCAAATTGGGGAGTGAGGTGATAAGTTTGGGAGACAACTGATGAGAATTTTAAAGTAGAATCAGTGATAATAAATCAAGCAACAAACCTTTGAATCCAGATTATTATGAAATTCTTGGAGTGATGATATGACAGATTTAACATCAGCAGCATTATGCAAAACAATCGAGTACAATTGTGCAGCATGTTCTCTCATGTCCTCTTTGGTTGAACAGGACAAACGCTGCAAATAATCCAAGAAATATTTGTATTAAAAAAAAAAAAAATAAATAAATATTACCAAAAGAGGTATAATAATAATTGTCAATATTCCATGAACAAAATGTTTATATTGTATAAAAAAAAAGCTTCTTACAAAATCTCAACTCTCATCAATTCTACTTGAAGGATAAAAGTTGCAATAAAAAGCAACATATGATTAAAAGAAAAAATAGGAAAAGAAAAAATAGTAAAAAAAAAAAAAAAAAAAAAAAAAAAAAAAAACAATGACAATATTTCATTTATCACCAATAAACAATTATATTACAGTTTTTTGAAGATAGACATTAGCAACAACATGAAAGGAATTGAGGTTGATTTTTTTATGAGAAGAGTGTAGAATCACAACTCAAACTTGGTTCAGACAGTGATGATGAGGATACAAAAACCTGGGATCATGAGAAATTAAACAAAATGAGAAAACCTGTTTGGTGTATCTAATAATGATGATAATGAATCTAACATTGAGGGCTTCTACATTGAATTGATTAATATCTATAATTTTCTTTTTACAAACCGATTTCATATCTAATTAATATTTTATTTATTGCAACAGATTAGATTGTGGTGAATGATCATACTCACATATAATCCACTTACACATACAATGTTTTGAAAAGAAGAAAATAAAGATTGGAAAATTGAATTGAAATATGTAATTGTAACTGATTGATGTCAGTAATTATTGCATATTTATGCTATAGACATTAAGGTATGAAGTATAACAGATCAGGATCTCACATTGTATACATGGGGAGATTCCCCCCCCCCATTTTTCATAACTTAAACTATGGATCACATTAAACTAACAATTCAAGTCATCATCTCAACATAATTCAAAATATCTATTTTCTAGCTTAAAAAATAAAAATCTTAAATGATACCATATGTAATTATTTTAAAGATTAGCAAAAGTAAGCAATTAAAAAATACTTATTGTGTCATTTTAAAATATACACAATTATATTTTATTAATGTTTACATTGATGGATGAAAAACATTTAAATACAAACATGTTAAGTATTTTTTTCACATAATTTTGTTGATGCAAAAATTTTAACCCTTCAGGAAAAATATGACACCTGAATACCTTTGTATTTTAACCCCTTCAGACCAGTAACCAAAAAACCAAAAAGGAGTTTTAAACTCTTCAAAAAAAAATTACCTGTGTATAGTGCAACCCTCTATCTTTTATATCAAAAACTGATCCTATTGATGCAGAAAATGGAATTAGCAAACCAATTTAAAAAAGAAACTTACTTTGATCCAGTTAAGCTGGTCCCAAAATAACCCAGCCAAGCGATCAGCAGCCACAGCTACTACTTCCAGCAAGCAATACATGAGACATTCATCTAAAATTAAACAAGAAAAATAAGTTTAAATTTGAGTTTGTTTTTATGAAATATATCTTGGTTACTTGTTATTTTGAGCTATCATGCTTTTTATTTTTTTTTTGTTCCAATTACAAAATTTTCAAGGACTGTGCAATTCAATCATTTTTATGTCATAATATACTATATGTATATTGGAAAGAGAAAGGCAATTAGTAAAAAAAAAGTTAATTATTATGAAAGATGAAACAGTAGAAAAATGACATATAGTTTGCAATCAACTTTCTTTTAAATTCAAGTTTGGAACTGAACAGTTCTTTTGGTGAATGTGAGAAACAATGGCAAAGAATAAGTATTTAGCGTTTAAAACATTTTTAAAATTATTATTACCTTTACTTCCATTATGCTTTTTTCTTTTTTTTTTTTTTTATTAGTTGTTCTCATTTAAGTGATATCACATATTTGTAATTTAAATTTGATATGACTAAGAGAGAAAATACAAATATTGGGCAAAAAAAAAATGTTGGAGGAATTATGGTAAACTAGCATTGTAACCCCCATTATTTGATTTGATTGTTGTATATTTATGATTACAGTAGTAATAATAGCAAAGTAACAATGCCTGATAACAAAAGACTTGCTATTACGTAGCATCAATGTAAAAACAATGCTCAATGTCAAAAAGCAGAGCCACAATATTTACTAAAAATAAAGGCACAAAGGTTTGTTTTGTTTTACAGCATATCAACCTCAATGGGTTATTTAATGTCAACAAAATTTTCATTGTTGGTAACTTTTTTCCCCAAAATCTTTTACTGGCACTATTTTTTCCTTCAAATATGTATTGCTGTAATTCTTTTTTTTCCAAAAAATGTATAGCTAGTAATGTTTTTTTTTTTTTTTTTAAACTATAACTGGTAATTTTTTTAAAAAAATGTATTGTTGGTAATAAATTTTTTTACAAAGTATTTCTGGTATTAAAACCCATTTTTATCCTTTTTTTTTACCCTTTGTTTTTGGAGGTGGGTAACTATTTGCCCATAGCTGGGACTCTAACAAGTGCTATCACTCCAGCTCAGGGTGGACCTGGGAACACCAGCAATTAAAAGGTGGTTCCATGCTCCTCAAAACCTCCTGATCAGAGGCCTTGCTGTTGGATGTAGTTTATCGTCTTACCCAGGACGAGGCATGAAAGTAAAAGAATAAAACTGCTCATTATGTTTGAAACTAACATCTGTGCTAACTTTTT